GTCAGTTGGTAGTAATGACATATCATAAATTAATCACATACGAAAAATATTTAATTATTCCTTAAAAATATATATATTTAATTAATTGGAGCACGTTTTAGTTATAAGATAATTAAATTTGAAATCAGAACTGGTGAAGGGTGTAGAGAATTTATTATGGGTTTTGGATCCAAACCCAACGTTTCTAACTTTGTTTTCTTAGGTGATTGGCTATTTATTTATCCATTTTTCAATTCCGTTATCCATCACGGAGAGAGTGTCTATGTAATGTTTACATCACCACACCAACGTTACAGTTACTGTTAGGCTGCAAATTTAAATTTTATTTTTTTATAATCACGCAGTATTACTTTTATAAAACTATGAATATTGAAAAATTAATTAATCATAATATTCAATTAAATTGTGAATTTTAAATATTACTACTGAAGATAGTTTAAAAAATCATATCAAATAGGTAAAGAAAACTAAAAATAAAAAAGATAGATTAACAGATAATGGATGTTTGAGTCAGAAGCCATGTTATGTAGTAATATAGTAAGCAGTGTAGTAAGTGATTAATCAAGATTTAAGGATAAGTATAATTTTGATTTTTTTTTTTAATAATACGAATATTGAAGTGATGATTGACAGCGAGGATTTGTAATATCGGTATGATCGAAGAAACAAACCAACACCACCGGAACCATCATATGGTTCCCTTTCTTCATTACAATCCTTAGAACATGTCTTCAAACACCAGTTTTGTTGGATTTTTTTTTGTTTTTTTTTTTAAAATTATATGCAGGCATTTCAGTATACTTTTTTTCATGTGAGAATTTTCCATTACTGTAATATATATTCATTTGTAAATTATATTTTATGAAATATTATTAATTAAAGTCAAAGACACTATCGAGCAGAGCAGATTATGAACTGTTATTCTCTTTAATGTTTGATGAAACGTTGATAAAAATAAAATAGCTGATAGCTATAAAGATTGGCTAATGATTATTAAAATGATTAATTTTGCTGAATAGACTCGAAATATTATAAATTAAACATGAATAGGATTACTGTGGAACAATATGAATTGATTAAATCCATGGTGAGCCCAACTCTAATTCAGCCCAGACAGCTAATTCACATATTATTAGAATAGGCTGGTGGTGTGAGCTGTGAGGCCATGATAGAGCTGAAAACACACTAAAGGTCCAAATCCAAAACTAAGATTTATAACTAAGACCGACCCGAAAAGCAAGATCCAAGATATAGCCCAACCCCTTCTATCAAAGCCACAAGATTATAAGAACATTCTGGAATCCTAAAATTATAAAAATTTCGCAGAAGTTAAAAGAAAAAAGAGTTAGAATTTGGACAGCCACTGTCTTTTAAAGATTTCATATATACCAAAAGAAAAATACAAGACCATTCTTTGTTGAATTAAAACGTTAATTATTCAATGATTACATAAGATTTCACATGTGATTCATATATAAATGATTGTTATTGAACTAATTCCACAAATAATAAAGATGATAAGTATATATATGACCTGATAATATATCAGGTTCGAATCTCTCCTTTCCCTATACTAAAAAAAAAAAAAGAATTGTATTTCAGGATTTGCAATATGATTTAAAATTGGAAATAATCTAAATCGCAGAAAGCGAATAGTTTAACTTTTTTTTTTTTTTTTTTTCTGATTTCAAACTATTGACCATCATTGTATTTCATCTTCTCTTCAGCAACAGTTACCAGGAAAATCAAGACCTTGTTTCCTATAATACTGACACGGTTGACTTTGAATCAGGCAATATAAAAATACCGAGTCAATAACTCGAAGCTGGAAATAAAAGTTGAAACATCCATCCTAATATAACTATAATATCATTTCCGAAACCAGAACCTGTAAACAAGCCTAGAAATGACTAAATCTTTAATCCTTCATCTAACAACTCCAAATCCAATATTCAATACGATTGGGTCAATTGGTATCCTCTAATGTCAAGTTTATTTTAGAATCAGAAAATCAGTTCGAGGTTAATACAAAATATGAAAAAGCTAACAGACCAAAAAACACTTTTGCCCTTCACAATCTCAAGCCAACACAAATCAGAAAAAAGAACTATTTTATGCAGATGCCATTGCTCACCTTGTCCGTCAGCTTAGACTTTCTTATAAGCATGTCGTAGGCCTTGCTTGATCCCAACTAAACAATCTGACCCGTCAACTAATAATACCTATACTATGAGAAGAAAATTCAATTATAATCTCAAAATGAAGAATATTCCTCATATTATGAAATGAATGATGCAACTGTGGTTAGCTAACAAACAAATAAGCACTTTTTAAACGATCTGACCCTTCAACTAACACCTATAATATGAAAAGAAAATTCAATTATAATCTCAAAATGAAGAATATTCCTCATATTATGAAATGAATGATGCAACTGTGGTTAGCTAACAAACAAATAAGCACTTTTTAAACGATCTGACCCTTCAACTAACACCTATAATATGAAAAGAAAATTCAATTATAATCTCAAAATGAAGAATATTCCCTATGAATAGCTAACAAACAAATAACCACTTTTTATCCTACATAGCACATAGTATCAAGTTTATTCTATGCAGATGCCATTGTTCAGCTGGTCAACTTAAATAGATTTCTTAAAGAACGACGATGAATTCTTGTGTGGTTTATCAGAGGTCGGGATACTGACCCTTCAACTCACCCCTAAAAATATGAAGATATTGATGTGTTAATTAGCATCATACTTGATTTTTATGAACAACCAACCATTTGATTTAGTGAAATCAGATGTCCTGTTAGAGTTTTATGATTACGAAATGTTTTGAAAGTGATTAAAATTACATATATATATGATTATAATTACATATAATAATAGTATATAGTACTATTATGATAGATTATATATGTATAATATATATCGTATCATCCTTCAAATGCTCCGCTCATGAATTGATGTGTGTGATTATACTATAACAGATCTATCAGAGGTTGCAAGATAGTTATATATTCAAATGCTCCTCTGAATTGATGTGTGTGATTATATATAAACAATATATAATCTAACAGAGAAATGCTAAGAGACAAATAAACACTTTTGACCTACGAATTTGATGCTAACACAGTAAGAGAACATATATTTATATTAGCTTTCCATAAAAAAAATACTTTTGGTTGGACTTCAAGGCTTCACCCTGCCATTTTCCTGGAGAGTAAGAACACAAAAGTACATACCAAAAATAAAAAAGGCAAAAGTAAATAGCATCAAGCTGCTAAGAATTCTAATCACGTTCTCTCTTGATTGGGAATTAAATTTGAAGTTGAAAATAAAGCACAAATCTAATATGAAATGCAAATAAACATCAGTTGGTTCTCCATTAGCAAACTTCCAGAGGTAACATCCAAACAATGATCCTGGGTCTGCAACTATAAATAAAAAAGATAACAGTGGGGACATGTAGAGACGTTAAATGGATTAAACAATCTGCCGCCACAAAGGATGAAAATACTTGCTTTTTACACAAGTGGCAGAGTGTTCAATTAACAAGTGAAGGGGATACTAGCATCCAATGAATGGTTCATGACAAATGTCAAATGGTATTATAAGCTTTTTAGATTTATAATAAGGTTTGTGGTTACTACAACCAGCCAACCACACACAGTATTATCAGTCAACTTGACAAACTGCTCTTATATTATGCATAGTTATGGACCCTTTTATAAATAATCTGCCCTTCTTTCAAAGGTTTACGCCAAGTCCCAGGGAACATTATGAAAATCACGACCTATCAAACTGAATACTACTAGTATAAGAATCTTTGAAAAAAAAGTGTTTCATGAAATTGTCATGCTTATTAATGCCTAATGGAGATGCATGCGCAAGAAATTAAATGTTCTCATATAATCTTTATGCATAAACACTGTACAAACACAATGATCAGCTTCCAATAACTCCAATGAAAGAATCCTTTCAAAAAAAAAAAAAAAAAAAAAAAAACATGAAAAAAAAAAAAAAAAAAAAAAAAAAAATCAATGAAAGAAAATGCCAGAAACACAGTATTTTTATACATTAATAATCTTGGCACCATATATAAGTTGTGTTAATTGATTGATATATTAATAGTTTATTACTTTTTACAGTGGATTTACAATTTAATGCACATATTCATTATAATTGCATTAATTTAACTACGTGTGCCCGACAAATTAAATTAAAATTGATGCTAAGTTCAAAAGTTTGAAAATTTAAAAGGAATCATTACTCATATCCTGAAAATCTTACAACACATTATAATTTTTTTACGATTAAGATTTGTCTAGACCAATCTATTGGCCTATTCCTAGATCAAAATAATTAAAATAGTTATCTCTAAAAATTATTTTCACTTTATTTTTTTTCTTCCATGAAAATAATTAGAAATACATTCATTTTAATAAAAAAATATTTTTATTGATTTGGTCTATTATGATATCCATATAAGTTTGATCAATTGCAATTCAAGAATTCAACGCCATAACATATGACTACCACTAGTGATTTTTTTCTTGAAATTTTGGATATAATTGAATCCGATTACAAAATTTTTGGAAAAGTATTATCTTATTAATATTTCTTGACATTATACAGGCTATCCTGTCTGAGCAAATATGAATTCTGAGAAAGAACAAGTTGCAATTAAGTTGATGTTGAAGTGGTTGATAATTCAGCAATCGAAATACTACCTTTGATTGTCCTGTCCTTCATCTAGACAAGTCCTACTTTGGCTGCTTCACATTCAAATGAAGCCGACGAGACCGCTTCCTCTCGTTGTCAAAGTCCCCACCTTCGCCTTCACATCTTAAAGTTTAACCTAAACCAATAAGCAAACTATTAATTAATCCATTAATCACATCAGTTCACAAATAATTTAATTCATTAATCAATCAATTAACCATAATTAATTCTCAAGAATGCAAACAGGTTAAGTAATCAATCAACTAACCTTCATCTTCATCTGCTCCCTTTTCCTCTCAACTAAACAGACCCCACTTGGAGCTTTTCTGAGAAAGGGAAAAAAAACAGAGGATTTAGAATCGCCATGGACAGACTGGTCAAGCCAGACGTGAAAGAAGTAGAGATAGCTTTCAAGAGGGGCCAAAAATGCACCACAACTTTCAGGCTTACAAACCTTATGCACACCATGTCCGTAGCAGTTTCCTTGACCACCACAAACCCATCTGTTTTCTCTTTCACTCAAGTTTTCTCCATAATCCCCCCTCTTTCATCATCATCTTACAATCTAGTTCTTTCTCAGTCACCTGATCCACCATCCCTCTGCTCTCCACCTGACGTCATCACCGTTAAGTCCGCCATGCTCCCCACTGGAAAAGCTCACATGGAGGATCTCCGCCGCCTGTTTTCAAGACCTGGATCACATATATTTAGAGACGCCAGCATACCTATCTCGATCGTGGGTCCCCATTTTGCTGAATACCTCATCTCCAATCACGCCCAAATATCTGATGTCTATTCCTATTTTAACAGGGCTATATCCGGTTGTACAAGATCCGAGTTCACAACCCTGCTAAAATCCGCTGTTTTATCCGGTAATGCGATTTTGGTGGCTAAATTGCTAGATATTGGCGGAGATGTAAATTGTAAGGATTCAGAGGGGCAATCGTTGATTACTCAGGCTATAAAAGCAGGTAATATAGAGGTTGTTCGAGTCTTGATCGCGTCTGATTGTTTAATCGATAACTTAATAGATAAAGTCTTGCACGAAGCAGCAGCGATAAACAGAGTGGATATAATGGAGGTTTTGTGTAGTCATTTTAAAGATATTGATGCGAATTCGATCGATTTACATGGTCGAACTCCAATTCATGTTGCAGCAAGCTATGGCCATGTAGAAGTCATTCGATTCTGTTCGTCAATTGGAGGAAAAGTTGATTCTGTGGACTGTAACGGCTGCACTCCCCTTCATTTAGCTTCAGAGAAAGGGCATTTAGAAGCTGTGGAGTGCTTGTTAGATTGCTCTGGTTATATAAAATATGCAGTTAATAAAGAAGGAAAAACGGCTTTCGCTCTTGCAGTTGAAAATGGAAATTCATATCTATATAGTCTTTTACAATTGGGAGATGCATTGCATAGAGCAGCTAGATTGGGCGATGTTAATGGAATCAAGAGGTGTATTACAGAAGGCGCCAATGTTAACGACAGAGATCAAAATGGATGGACCCCTTTGCATAGAGCTGCGTTTAAAGGAAGAATTGAGAGTGTAAAAGCCTTGATTAGTCATGGAGGTCGAGTTGATGTGGTTGATGATCTTGGGTATTCTCCGCTTCATTGCGCAGTTGAAGCAGGGCAAGTACAGGTTGCCCTGTTTTTGATTGCTAATGGAGCTAAAGCCAATTTGAAGAGTATTAAGACTAAGAATTGCTCTCCTTCCGTCTTTTCCAAAGAGAAAGAGCCGATTTCTATAGAAGCAGAGTTACCGGTTGAATTTGAATTTTGTAAACTGTAAAAAAGAGAGAGAGACAGAGAACTGTGTTGTGTTCCGCTCCTAGCTACCGCCAGCCATGTATATGAATCTTTGTTGTATACTTTTGAGGATCAAATTTATCAGCAAATGAGATTAAGCTTTGAATTGGTTCTTTTTGTTACTTCTGCTGATCTTTGGACGAAGTATTTTTTGGATCCTTGCAGATTGTTCACTCAAATGCAACTCTTGCTGGTTTATGGTTAGATATGGAATGGATTGATGGGATTAATATTGTGATGTTAACCTTAAAAGAAGGTTTTAAACCTAGTTATGAAAATTGTTATGTCAGATTTAATTTCTTTGGACCATAACAATATTATAATAAGTAGAGGATGTTACGCAGTTTATGGTATTAAATTTCTGTCGATCATAAAAAGATTTTTTTTGCCTCATTTGGTTCAATTTAACTTACTTCTGAGGAAGGAAGTTCAATTCCCAGTAAGTACAATTATTGGGGAAGTAATTTCCGAAAGGCATGATACGATTGCGTTTGGTTGATTATTTGAATTCCTCAAAAACAAATATGCATTAATAATATTTGATATTAAAAGTGACATAAATATCTCCATTAGAAAAGTCCTCACATAAAGCCTTTGGCAAATAATAAAAAAAAGGAAATAGACAAAATAAGAAATGACAATACTTTAAGCTCGAGAAGTTAAGTTCATAGGTGAAGAGAAAAGTAATTTCCTATAGGTTAAAGGAGTAGGGTTGTTAAATTATCGAAAACTTCTCTTATAGCGACAACCAAACATATGACTAATTTCAACTTCCCTTCCCTACTTGCCTCAATCAAACATGGCCTTTTTCCTGTTACAAGTAATTGGGATGAGTGTAAGGGTTGGAAAAAAACAAAAAAAATTCAAATCAAAATAAGACGATTTAATTAATGAAATCTGATTTTAACAAAGCAGTAAAACATGTAGTTTAAAGTCATAAAAAAATATATATCACAAGGAAATTTGTATAAATATTCTAATTTTATATTGACAATTATTTATTAAAAGATAATCAATGTAAATTTTCCTCGTTTCATCTATTGAAGGTCAACTGATTAAATAATTGAAAGGGAAAAAATTCTTTTAACTATTAAAAATCAATTTATTGTTAAAATGGTTTCATGTAATTTAAATGGTTTTAATAATTGAATAAAATTATTTTAAAAAATAAATGGAACTAACATTTTTTTTCTTAATTTTCACACTAAAAATTCCAAGAGCAAGGATTTAATGGTAATTCACAGTTCATATTTCGTAAGGCCAGGCTAGCGAGTGGCGAGTTGAGCTTTTATTGTTTGAGTGGGGCAATAGTTGGCCCAGTCCATTAAAGAAAGAGTCCATAGCCCAGGCCGAAGAATTTGTCCTCACAAATAGAGAACGACGCGGTTTTGCAATTTTTAAGCAAAAAGCGAATTGATTTGCCACGCCCGCTCAATCTGAAATTTTCAAATACAAAGGAAAAATCAACTGCCACGCTGGCAATCCTCACTGAACTCAAATAAACCAATGAGAGGATTCCCTATTTTACTTCCAACTCCAAAACGAAACTTCTCGCGCTCAATCTCAAATTATTCCAAAATGCAAAAAATCCTCTTGCCGCTCTGGCAATCCTTGCAAAACTCAAATCAACCAATCAAATGGCTTCTCTGTTCCGTATTTAAACACAAACGACCCAATCTCTCGTCTCACAAATTCAAAGTCTCAAGTTCTCTCAAAGTTTTCTCCCAATCTAGTTTGCCAATATCCAAAATATAGAATCATCATGAGTTCCACCACTGTCCCTTCTGCCACAGCTAAAACAGCCAGGGGCGGCCGTGGTATATCCAAAGCTAAATCGGTTTCTAGGTCTCATAAGGCTGGTCTCCAGTTCCCTGTTGGCAGGGTAGCCCGATTCCTCAAGAGGGGCAGATATGCTCAACGGGTCGGGTCTGGCTCTCCTGTCTATCTGTCTGCTGTTCTTGAGTATCTTGCGGCTGAGGTTCGTTTGTTTCAAAACATCAAGTTCTTTTGTTCTATCTTTTGTCTTTATGTTTTGGAGACTTGTTATTGATTTTTTGATTCTTCGTGTTTAGGTTTTAGAGCTTGCTGGGAATGCTGCAAGAGATAACAAGAAAAACAGGATCATCCCTAGACACATTCAACTTGCGGTGAGAAACGATGAAGAATTAAGCAAGTTGTTGGGTTCTGTGACCATTGCCAATGGAGGGGTTTTGCCTAATATTCATCAGAATTTGCTTCCAAAGAAGACTGCAAAAGGGAAAGGTGAAATCGGGTCTGTTTCTCAGGAGTTTTAGGGGTATAAATGCTTTTTAGTTTTTGTTTGGGTGAAGCTGGGCAGTTTTACAGGTAGATAATAGTTTGATGGGATAAAAAAGTGTTGATAGCATGTGACGAAATTGCTCTTTGGCTTGTAAATCTCATTTTGGTTGGTGAAATGGGAAATTGATGAAATTTTTGCTTATATTTTTATTTTGGTTCCCTTTTATTACATGGACGATATGAATTCATTTGTTTGCGTATGAGATTGGCCCCTAGAATCGCATTGTAATTGCACAGATTCCAGCTAAAATCTGATTGAATAGGAAAAATGTTAGCAGGTTCCAACTAAAATTTGAGGAACTTGAAGAATGTTAGCGTTTGGAAATTCACTATTTTATGATGTGATATGCAAATCGATACTTCCGAAAAGAAATTGGAATTTAGCCAGATTTGTTAGGGTTGAAGTGGATACGGCGTCGTTTCAGTGCTTGCTATTGGGGCTCTTCGTTGATTCGTTACTCATCTTGGCCCATCAACAGAAAATGCAAATTATATTAGTACTTTTACCAGAGAAGCCCATCCTGGCAATGAGAGGATTGAGTTAATCCAGAATCATCTTTTACATCCCACCCGTCAAACATTCCACGTTGGCAATCTGTGACTTTGAAACTCACGGGTCCCTCACTCGCTTTAGGTATACTTCTCACGCCCTCTCTCTCCGAAGCCCTTATAAGCAAACATCTAATATCAGACTTCAAATTCTTTCATTTTCTTATTCTCAGGGTTAGGCATTAATCGTAAACCAGCAATGAGTTCCGGAGGATCAACCAAGGGAGGCAGAGGCAAGCCGAAGTCATCAAAATCGGTTTCCAGATCTCAAAAGGCTGGTCTCCAGTTTCCCGTCGGTCGTATCGCCCGTTTTCTCAAAGCTGGAAAGTACGCCGATCGCGTCGGTGCTGGCGCCCCCGTTTATCTCTCCGCTGTCCTCGAGTACCTCGCTGCTGAGGTTAGTCCTTGCTATTTCATTTGATCTGCTCTGCATTTGATTTTTAATTTTAGTATATATCATAGGTTGGAGATCCTCTAATGTTGTTGGTTTTTGAAATTCCATTGAATTGCAAGTGCAATGATGAAACAAAGGCTACCTGTGAAAGCAAACATAATTGAATTGAAATTATTAATTGATTGGCTTGTAGTTATATTGGATTCTAATATTTTTGGTACTTAATTTGTTCAATGCAGGTTCTTGAACTTGCTGGCAATGCTGCTAGGGACAACAAGAAAAACCGTATCGTCCCAAGGCACATTCAGCTTGCTGTGAGGAATGATGAAGAGCTTAGCAAGCTCTTGGGAACTGTTACTATTGCAAATGGGGGTGTTTTGCCAAATATCCATCAAAATCTGTTGCCAAAGAAAATGGGGAAAGGGAAAGGTGATATTGGTTCTGCATCGCAAGAGTTTTAAGAGTGTTGTTAATGTTGCTATGTGAAGTTTTATGTTTTGAAACTTCGAAATTTGGTTAAGAATGGGATTGGAGATTATCACAGTGTACTTGTGATCCTTTTTGCTCCATGTAAGCATTAGTTTTTGGGAGGGTTTTATGGTTGAATACAGAAAAGATAAACAGCAATTTTGTTATTACCCATCTCTATATGTGATGGTGCTGAGCTTTTGATTTATATAATTAATGGAATTATGTGTTTTAAATAGTCATTGATGTGAATTAAGAAGTTAATGAGAAATTTTATGGTGCAAAGTGGTCACAAATCAAACATTCAAGTATTCTCATGAATTGCATTTTTGGATCATTAGGACAATGTGTTGTTAGTTTCAATTTGAATGTTAATGGATAGGTAATGTTAACGAGGAGTTTTATATCAAAATCTATCATTATCTATAGTTCATTAGTTGCCAAAAGAAGAAGGTAATCTAGGAAACATTTACTTTGTATCTCCAAACTCGAAAAAGAGAAGGTAAACTAGGGAGCATGTCTAAATAACATAATATCTCCAAACTTGAAAAGAAGAAGGTAATCTAGAGAAAAAAAATGTTTTCCATTGGAGATTAAAACACAACTTGGAAGAGGATGCAGGGTATCAAACCCTATACCTCTTGCATGCAAAGCGAGCGCTTTACAATTTAAGCTACATCCCCATGTTCTTTTGGGACCTTATGAAAATTTGAACGTTACAATTTAAGCTACATCCCCATGTTCTTTTGGGGCCTTATGAAAATTTGAACGTTGATAGGGAGGTAATGTTAATGAGGAACTTCCAGAATCTATCATTAGTTTTCAAGCTTTTATCAGTTAGGAAGAAAAAGGTCCAAATGTGAGTGTATGTTATGTCATGTCTGAATATCATAGTATCTCCAAACTTGAAAAGGAAAAGGAGAACGTAATCTAGGGGAAAAATGATTGCCATCGGAGATAAAAACACAACTTTAATGGAGATGCAAGGTATTGAAGCCTGTACCTCTCGCATGCAAAGCGAGAGCTCTACCATTTAAGCTCCATCCCTATGGTTTTTTGGATCCTTATAGACAATTCGTTGTTGGCTTCCATTTGAATGTTAATGGAGAGGCAATGTTAATAGGAATTTTGTACTTGGAATTGAAGATCTGTGTGATCATTTATACCAGAATATGAAGCTTCAACTTCCAGATCGTTTACTTTAACTTCCAGATCATTTACCCCAGGAAAAAAAAAAGGTTCAGTGTCATTTAAAGAACAGTCTTATTAAGACTATAGTTGCCATTCCAGATCATTTACCCCAGGAAAAAAAAAAGGTTCAGTGTCATTTAAAGAACAGTCTTATTAAGACTATAGTTGCCAAGCTTCTATCAGCCAGTACCTCTCGCATGCAAAGCGAGAGCTCTACCATTTAAGCTCCATCCCTATGGTTTTTTGGATCCTTATAGACAATTCGTTGTTGGCTTCCATTTGAATGTTAATGGAGAGGCAATGTTAATAGGAATTTTGTACTTGGAATTGAAGATCTGTGTGATCATTTATACCAGAATATGAAGCTTCAACTTCCAGATCGTTTACTTTAACTTCCAGATCATTTACCCCAGGAAAAAAAAATTTGAATGTTAATGGAGAGGCAATGTTAATAGGAATTTTGTACTTGGAATTGAAGATCTGTGTGATCATTTATACCAGAATATGAAGCTTCAACTTCCAGATCGTTTACTTTAACTTCCAGATCATTTACCCCAGGAAAAAAAAAAGGTTCAGTGTCATTTAAAGAACAGTCTTATTAAGACTATAGTTGCCAAGCTTCTATCAGCCAGAGAAAAAAAAAAGTCAATGTCATTTAAAATATTTTGTTTTGTTTCAGGAATTAGATGGAGATGCAGGGTATCGAACCCTGTACCTCTCGCATGCAAAGCGAGCGCTCTACCATTTGAGCTACATCCCCATTTGTTGGGGGTGTTTATAATTACATATTTAACTGCTCTGTCATCAATGCAGCCTCATCTTCGTTATCGTTGCTAGTCGCGGGAGATTCTCTGGGCTGATTACCAGCAGAACGTGGTGAATTAGTCCTCACAAAAATTAAAATGTCAGTTCCTCTCTTCAACCTCACTGCTAATTTGACAGTTTCGAGGCTCTGCTTAGGTTTGACCTCCTCCTTTCTCCCTTCCTCTGCTCCAACTCTCCTTGTTGATTTATATATGGAACTCTAAACCTCTCCCAATTGTCAGGAACCATGACATTCGGTGAGCAAAACTCGTTGTCTCAGTCCTTTCGTCTTCTCGATGAAGCTTTCCATGCCGGAATCAATTTCTTCGATTCAGCAGAAATGTACGTTCCTTTCGGGGTTTTGAATTATGGTTTTTGTTTAACTTCCTTTTAACTTTGGACTATTGAACTGTTACTTTGTTTAACTGGTTGATAGGTATCCGGTGCCTCAGCGCGCTGAAACTCAGGGGAGGAGCGAAGAGTTCCTTGCCCGTTGGATTAGAGGAAGGAAGATTCCACGGGATCGCGTTGTCTTAGCAACGAAGGTATAACCATTGCTATTTATTATTTGCTGTTGCGGTACAGTAGCAATTGTCATTGCATTTAAACTCAATTAATTATTATAAAATGTTTCTTTTGTACTTGCAAAGTTAGTCATAGCTTATTGCATGTCTGTTTTTATCATTGAATTTCAGTTTTAAATTTCTAACTTGAATTTCTCATTCAAACTCAGCCTTGTCATTTACAGCAAACCTTTGCTATTCCTGATTTGGTTATGATAACTGGTTTGCACATTCTTTTCTCCAGGTTAGTGGACCTTCTGGGCAAATGACTTGGATTCGAGGTGGACCCAACTCTTTAGATGCCAAGAATATCACTATGGCCATTGATAATAGGTTGGTCTGCCTATGTTCTTTTTATTTGACATGCCATCATTTGTAATAGAATAATGGTGTCTTGCTGGTCACTTGTGATGTGAACTTGCAATAGATTTGTGGTATGATTTGCACGCCAGTTGAAATGGCTACCAAGCATTCTTTAGTATCACTGTCCACTTTGATCTATAACCTTCACATATTCTCTGTTGATTTCTTGCTCGACTTAAATTGTGTTTGCATGTTCACTTTGATATTGCAATGCTTTGTGTTGCATTTCATGTGACCTGCAGATATCAAATTGTATATGTGCTTTTGTTTCTACTTACTGCATGTCCATCAGTGGCTTTACCAAGCAACTTATTAAGCAACTGTTATGTTAAGGTTTGATTTTTAATTAAGTGAGATCCCAGCACTCTATTGTCTGAGATGTGAATACTGATATCAGTGTCCGTGATTTTGCAATTAATGTGCCATTTTATTCAGCCAGGTTTTATACCGAGCAACCATCAATCAAGATTTTATGACTTTCTGTTTTTTGTTAACTGAAACAAATGGTCTTTTGCTGTGGGTATGATTATGGCATTTTGAAAGCCTATTTGGTGCTTACAAAAATATCTCATGATATATTGGCCAGGTGCTTTTTTATGGACCTTCATTTTATATCTTTGCTATTTTATTAGATTTTTATAGTTATTATTATTATTTTTAATTAATGCAGCTTGATGCGTATGCAAACGGACTACATTGATCTGTACCAAATTCATTGGCCTGATCGGTTTGTATGTAGACCTTGCTCCATTTTCTCTTTTCTTTCTTTCCTTTCTCTAAATGAGAGCGGTGGTAGAGGAATAGTGTATTGTTGAATTTGGAGTAGATATTCAGTTAACATAATTATAGGAGTTCCTGCAAATATCTCTGTAAATTTTTTAGAGATATTCCTATTGTATGACGCCTTTTGAAATGATCTGTGGTTGTTTCTGAAGCTATGTTCCCATGTTCGGAGAAACTGATTATGATCCCAGTCGACAGTTCTGTTCAGTCAGTATAGAGGAACAACTCGATGCACTTAGCAGAGCTGTTGATGCAGGAAAGGTAAGGGATAATATCTTAGTAGACTGTTGATTGTTCACTACCATGACATTGAAATAATGCTGAGCTTTACTTTTCATGTGTAGGTCAGATACGTTGGAGTTAGCAATGAAACACCATATGGTATTATGAAGTTCCTTCAGGTTTCTGAAAGGGAAGCTTGGTATCCAAAAATAGTTTCTGTGCAGGTTGTACCAATTGCTGTTCCTGGTCTTGTCCTTGTTTAATTCCCTCACCTTCCCCCACTTTTCCAGCCTCCTCTTCCCTTTTCTCTCTCTGTTTCTGTGCTTTTTTTTTTTTTTGCTAATGCACAACTCATTGTCTTGATGATAGAACTCGTACAGCTTGCTCTGCAGAACTTTTGATTCTGGACTAGCTGAGTGCTGCCATCACGAGGGGTACGTTCAATTCTGGTGAATATGCTGCTGTTAGAAAAAAGTTAAGGGATAAAATGTACGATGATGTTTAAACATGTTAGAAAAAGTTGCAACAGTATTTTTGTTTCAATTGGTATGGTCTAGAAGCAAGTGAAATTTTCATTATATTTGATACTTCCTGTTGTGTATGTTGTTCATGGAAATTGGTGATCAGACTCTTGGCAAACAGACATTAGGAAGCAAAGCTATAATTCCAACTTAGGACACGGTTGCGTCACTTAGAGGAGAATGCTTTTCTTTTCATCAGAGAGCTTTGATTTGTTATGAGAGTTTAGCTTTTAATGGGAAGTAGCCTTACCTCGAGTTTAGTTTTTTGAGTATTTTGTTCAAATGTTTAACAAAAGCTTTCTTCAGCAGATTTTACTGTGTTCTATGCAATGTAACTTGTTGGATTTTGTATTGCAAAAGATTTTGATAGATTATCCTCGTCTCTGTTGGATCTTGAACTTTTTTAGGATCAATTTATTGGCATACAGCCCCCTTGCGATGGGCATACTTTCTGGAAAGTATTTTGCACCTGATGGTGGTCCAGCAGATGCCCGGTTAAATCTTTTCAAAGGTTGATTACAAAATTTATTTATTTAGTATCTGTTATGTGATATTTTTTTTTTTTACAATTGCAATTAAACTCTCCCTATCAGGTTCTTCTTATGTAGACTATTTTCTTTGTTTCTCCTTTCAGGCAGGTATATAGAAGGGGAATCAAGATACAACCTATCAAATAGCATGATAAAAGCAGCTACTATGGTGAGAAGATTCATATTGGCTAGAACTTCAGCGCTGTTCCCTGATGGGTTTGTTAAATGATTAGAAGAAACAAGGAAGTTATTTCTAATAGTTGCTTGAATTGGTTTTAAAGCATCCATGCTGACTAGTAATTGAGTTTGAAAATGGGAACTGCATTCGCATCCCCTTCTCCCCCTCTCCTTTTCCTTCATTGGCCTTGATCATGATAAATGGCACACTGGTACAACAGCACGAATCATTTTGAACTGATAATAAGAGACAAAAGGGTGTTCAAAAATTGTCTAAAAGGCCTTTAGTGCTCTGTCAAAGAGATAAAAAAATCAGAATACTTTGAGTGACCACTTGCAAATTACACTGGTAAACATGTTGATGCTCATTAAATACATCATTAGGACAAAATTGGGGAGTTGAGGTTCTCAATAGAACACATCTATAGTGTAACTGTGTAAAGCTCAATATCAACAGTATGCTCTATTTATGTGCTCTTTAATTGTTTGTGACTTTAAATATCTTTAGAATATAATAAAACCATTTATTGATGTGTCTTTGACACTCTTGTTATGGTTTTGGGGTTTGAGCTTATGTCATAACCTACAAAAAGAAAAAGAAGTGGGCTATGGAACAGTTTATACTTAGCACACAAGGATATCTGTTGAAGTCTTAGGTTTCCCAACTTATTTTTGTAAATTACAAAACACTTCTTTGCTTTCCTTGCATATCTGGTGAAAACCTTGCATTCTAATTACTTCTTGTTCCTTCCATATTCTAATATTTGCAGGAATACCTGGGCATAGCAAAAAAACATGGTCTTCATCCTGTATCTCTGGCAATTGGTATGATAACACCATCACTTTCTCAAACACACCATCTCTTTCTCAAACACCTCTATATATGCTTGTGACACTTGCAGTTGCATAAGTGCACAATTATTAATGTTTTTTTCTGCCATTTTTTTCCTCACATATACTCCACAGTGATTCACATAATCTGGATGTTCTCACAAATTGATGAGATATAAAGCAATTCTGAGATTGCAAAACTTGCGGTGAGTTATGGATCTGTAAACGCTGGAGATCCTGGTCCCTGGATATTTGGACCATCAGATGGCATTGGATTTATGATTTGTAAATAGCACAGGCACCATTATGAGAGTGAAACTGCTGTGCATACTTATTGATTTTACTTTTTAAGATAGGGTGGTGGCCACCTATAGAAAGGTTTAGCATATTAGAGAACAATAATTCTGGTGGCACACATCATAAGGAACTGACACAGATGCCTGTGTGGGGGAATTTATATCAGCATATTATCTTCAAAAAAATTGGCTCTACCATCTACCAAGACTGCATCCAAAGAGAAGTGTTTGCTCCACTTTGGTTCTATAACATTGGATTATCTACAAATGGACCCATCTGAAGTTAAATGATTTGGCATTGCCTTGCTTAAACATAGTATCCAATTTTAATGAATAGCTAGTCATGAATAATGTGCAATTGATCCCTTTGTTTATCTTAATCAATTAGATGGAAGTATTATCCGATACTCTTTGATATTTTATTATTTCCATATTCTCTTATCAGCCTACCCTTCTAACTCTTTCTTTCTCCAATTTTTAATATTAATTTATGAATTCTATTATTCATCAATTATCTCATTTGCAGCTTTTGTTTTGAGACACCCTCTTGTTGCAAGTACTGTATTTGGCGCTACCCGGACATGGCAGCTCCAGGAGATTCTCAATGGTTGCAAGGTGAATCTAACACCAGAAATAGTTGAAGATATCAATAAAATTCATGCAAGGTTTCCTAATCCATGCCCTTGATTAATTAAGAGTCATGTAATAGAAGTAGACAAATTATCTGCAATTGAGCCAGATAATGTAATTTGAATACTTCAAGGGTGCAGTTTTTTAACTCGTAACATCATAAATGCTAACAAAGAAGTGGTATCAAATGTTTCCTTTTGTTCCCCGGAATGTTTCAGCGAGGGCAGACAAATTCTATGTTTTGGCCCATAGGTGCAGAAATTGTCGAACCTGCTTAATATGTGGTGAATGAAAGCTTAGCAGGTACAGGGCACATAATACTGCGTCTATAATTTAGGCTTGGACGCGTGCATTTGGCTACTGACATTGATATTGTATGGAAAACACTGGTTCTAGGACGCTGGTAAATCATGACCTTTCGTCGGTTAATTCTCTGGAACAGAAGAACTAGGATAACGATCGTCGACATCAATGAAACGATGTTAGTTTTATTCAAACTGGGAAATAAAAAGTTCGTAGTAGTTTATATTTGGTCGTCTAGGTACACTTGTCGGAGGTCTGACAGAGGTCCCTTTCAATTTATTCATTGGGACCAACCAATGATGATGCACTGCCAATTTTGTCAAGCACCATTATAGTCGTTGCTTTTCTTTCCTTTTCTTTTTCTTCTGGATTCTTGTTTATGGTCAGCAACTTAAGGCCCACACGCAATCTGTATTATTTGTAAATGTTAGGCTCTCATTCAGAATTAATTTTGTTTGTCTTACATAATTACTGGTAGAGATATTTTGATATTTACTTATTTTTTAATCAAAATAATTAAGGAGGCATCCATTTATTCTTGTATTACATTAAGTAATAATTTTTATCAACAATTATTTATTTTTATAAAGTTAAATTCAAATACAATATAAATGCAAATTAACTAATTAATTTTATTTTGAACTGATTAACTAATTAATTGTCGATGGTCGATAGATAGAAGTGTTTAACTTTTAACTTATAGTTGACCTTTAATCAAGTAATTAGGCTAGGTATACTGAGAGTCTCTTGGGCTGGCGTGGCATTTGACAGTTGCGTTGAATATTAAAATTAAAATATTACTAATATAATGATAAGCGGGACCGGACCATCTCAACGGTTGACCTTCTTCGCGGAAAGAAAATTCCTCCAATTTTTTTATTTTTTTATTTTGTTATCATAAATAGTTAATTACCATTAATTATATTCCGTCCTTGTAATAATTGTTTGTGATTTTTATTATATGCGAGTAATAATAAATAAAGTATAAATTATAATAATACCAAAGAGAAAAGAAAACAAAGATGGTCCGGAGCGTTTAGCCCGGGCCGCACCACCACTACACGAACCTTGCCACCGTGGCTCCGATCTTAGGGTTCCATTGGTAACGAATCTCAGATTTCGTGATCCTCAATCCGGGTGAGCTTGTTTTGGCTCTGAAATGGGTTCGAAGCCATGGCTTCACCCGGCTCCAACCTATCGTCCTTTGGAGACCTACTGGGATACAGATGAAGATGCTCCTGGTCCCCGATGCGGCCATACCTTAACGGCTGTTGCTGCAACCAACTCTCATGGACCTCGTCTCATTCTATTCGGTGGCGCTACCGCAATTGAGGGCGGCGGTTCTTCTTCCGCCCCTGGCATCAGTTAGGATTCATCATTTTCTCTCCTATGCAAATATGTGTTGCCACAAAGCTGCTTGTTTAATCAATTGCTGTTTTGATTTCTTGTAGGATTGGCGGGAGTCACCAATTCAGTTCATTCTTACGACGTTCTCACTAGGAAATGGACCAGGTAGTTTATTCTCATTTATTTTATTTAATTTGGAGTGGAGTGTTAAACGATGGAGTCGGATTTTTTTTTTTTTTAAATTTTAATTACGTGTTACCTAATCAGAATACGACCAGCCGGAGAACCACCATCTCCTAGGGCTGCGCATGCGGCAGCTGCAGTTGGTACTATGGTTGTCTTTCAGGTGATTGAATTTGAACCTAGAATTCTGAAGGGAGATTGAATTTTAGTTATAGTTGGTCACTGTGTCTTTGACATTAATAACACGGGTTGGTGATCAATGGTTAGGGCGGGATAGGTCCTGCTGGGCATTCTACGGATGATCTCTATGTGCTGGACTTGACCAATGATAAATTCAAGTGGCACCGGTAAGTTTCTGTTGTCTATTACTCTGGTTTTTCTTTGTTATCCTGAACTGTGAACTAATTACCTCTTCTCATGCTTGGTGTGAGTAGAGTGGTTGTACAAGGACAGGGTCCTGGGCCTCGCTATGGTCATGTGATGGATTTGGTTGCCCAACGGTTTCTTGTTACTGTCAGCGGCAATGATGGTGAGAAGTTTGGCTTTTTAAACTCTTAAATGTTTATGTTTTGTTCTTCGCCTTTCCTTGTATGTAATAGAGAACGAAACTCGCATTTTTCAAATATTACTGCTAATGGAACTGAATTCATTGTTCAATAGAGGTGCAATTAGAACAATAAATTTGTGTTTGTAACTGTTCTCAGCATGATAATTGGCCTCAATTATCCATATTACTTTCATTTGTACAACATTTTGTGGGACCTATACTCTGTGGATTGCATTTGCATTCCTTGTTTCAGAATCTGTATATAATATTCTGTGGCGATGAAATTTATAGGCCTTTGAGGGTAGGACCCAGGTTGCTGATATTTTTCAAACGTTAGTTGAGTTAACAAGACTAGGCAAAATTTTACCAAAGTGAAGGCATTATGCTTTGATCTTGAATGATTGTAAGAAGTTTGATGATTTCATCAAGATTATTGAACTGGAAAATATTTTCATTGGATAACAAGAAATATTGAACCTTTAATAACTTTGTCTAAGGAAAGCATGCTAAGTTTTTATCCATTGTGCGGGGGATATTGCCTTCTCCATGTTAAAATCCACCAAAAGATGGTGGAATCTAGACCAATATATTTTCTAAGTGAACCTTTTTTTTTTTTTGAGGAAGTCCTAGATTATGATTTCTTTCACACCATCATGGTAAAACAGAATGGCTTTTCTGCCATAAAAGCAAAAGCCTCTGATGATCAGACTGAATCTGTCACTTTTTTATCTAATTATAATGTGTGTCATTATGTCAATGATTGCAATGTATACTGTTTTTTTATGTGTATTTCTTAAGCTGGTAGGCAAAACTGGAAGAAGGGACCGATACTTATGAATTGGAGAAAGGGAAATCATGATTTGTATGATTGGTTTGCTTTGAGCCTCGCTGGGGTATGAAAGCTTTATCTGAGCCTAAAAAATTCAGTGTGGGAAAGGTAGTTGGTGATGCAAGAAATTGTTGGTAGTTGGTGATGCAAGAAATTGTTGTAGTATCTCAATTTAGATTGCTTATGCTTTGTTTTCTTCTCCAATTTGGTTTGAGTGTGAATGAATGTTGAGAACAAAAATCTTTGTCATGATAGGAACTCATTCTGTTGCATTAAATGCATCTTTCTCTCTAATTCTATGGTTAATCTTTTGTAGATGAATTTAATGGTGATTGTACTTTAAATCTACTTGTGTCATCACTCCCTTTTGTAGCTTAGCATGTGATGGATATTTGTGTTGAGTTTTTGCATTTGTACGTTTATATGTGAATGAGCAGTAGGAACATATTCAAATTTATGGACCTGATGGTTGTGTATTTTGGCTTGCATCAATGAAGCATAATTTCTTATTTCCCTTTCTTAATAGGGAAAAGAGTTCTTTCTGATGCATGGGCATTGGATACTGCCCAGAAGCCATATGCATGGCAGCGGCTAAATCCCGAAGGTGATAGACCTTCGGCTCGAATGTAAGTGTACTCCAATTTTCAATAGTTGTAAAATTGTTGGCTTTGTTTCTTGATCAATCTATTTTTCACTTTTAACATGGTATAACATTATGTAGGTATGCAACAGCTAGTGCCCGTTCAGATGGCATGTTTTTGCTTTGTGGTGGAAGAGACTCCTCTGGCATGGTATGATTTCTTCTTTTCTGAGGGTAAAGCAATTGATTGCAGTATATGTTTTATACTCTAACGTTTACACCTTTGACGCATGCCACATTCTATTGTTTCCAGTCTGTCGATGCAGTATTGTCTTCTTTTTTTTTTCTTCTAATATCTCGTTTCCTTTGGAATTGGGCAAATCCTGATGTGCTCATTTATTAACTTACATCTAATCTGTAGATGCAAGGTAATCAAAGTAAATAATTTATTCTGAGTGTAATTTGTGGTACTGTAACATTTGACATGTTACAATTTTGGTATGGGTACAACTAGGGCATTAAAAGATAATTGTTGGAGTATGTGGGTAATCCCACATCGGATAAATACAACTAAGTAAAAGGGCATATAATGTGAAGGGTGAACCAACCAAAATGGTTTAGGCCATTTATGCACACTGGCAGCGGCTTTAAAATCCCGAAGGTGAAGACCTTCGGCTCGAATGTCAAGTGATACTCCAATTTTCAATAGTTGTAAATTTGGTTCTGGCTTTGTTCTTTGATCAATCTTATTTTTTCACTTAACATGGTTAACATTAATGTAGGTATGACAAAGCTATAGTGCCCGTTCTCAGATTAGCATGTTTTGCTTGTGGTGAGAAGAGGACTCCTTACTGGCATTGGTATGAATTTTTTTTTTCTTTTCTTTACTGAGGCGTTAAAGCCAAAATATGATTGCAGTATATTTTATACTCTAACGTATTACACCTGACGCATGCCACATTCTCTATTGTTTTCACAGTCTGTCGATGCAGTATTGTCTTCTTTTTTTTATTCTTCTAAATCTCGTTTCCTTTGAATTGGGCAAATCCTAGATGTGCTCATTTTATTAACTTACATCTACTGTAAGATGGCAACGGTAATCAAAAGTAAATAATTTAATTCGTGGAGTGTAATTTGTAGGTTTACTGTAACATATTGAATGTATACAATTTTTCTGGTATTGGGTACAACTAGAGACATTAAAAGATAATTGTTGGAGTTATGGGTTAATTCCCACATCGGATAAAATACAACTAAGTAAAAGGGCATCATATTGTGAAGGAGTGTGAAACCAACCAAAATGGTTTTAGGCCATTTTTGTTTAAAGGTAATGCAACGTTAAAGGTAAGCCCAACTCATTATAAGCCTAATATTAAATATATAATTGAATTTGATTTGATTAATTGCTCTTAGGGCCCAGATTCTCAACAATAATGATGGCTTATGGCTTGAAACTCAAAAAAAGAAATGACTTCCTTTTTCCTTTTCAAATTAAATGAGAAGGCTTGTAAAATTAACAACAAAGTGGGATGGGACTAATGCCTATTCCTCCTCTGCTATTGGGAAGCTGGAGTTTCTATTTAGTTATGAAATCATCTCCCCATTAGTCCTAAAAAGTATTACTGTAACTTTCATTTATTTCAAAATTGTATGCAACAAGATACTACTTTTCTTAAATCTACTTTCCTTTCTTGAGCTACAGTTATTGATAATAGTACTTTGCTATTTTTTCATTTTAATTCTTTATTGATGTGTGCTAACAGGCACTTGGAGATGCTTATGGGCTTCTAATGCATAGGAATGGTCAGTGGGAGTGGACTCTTGCTCCTGGAGTTTCTCCTTCACCGAGGTATCAGCATGCTGCGGTGAGTGATCAACAGAGACCCGAACTTTGTAACTACTAGGTTTATGTTCCCAGTTCATCATAGAAATAACAGGCTTATAATGTTCTCCGGGGTTAAATTATTAGAGGTTTTGAATTCTGATACATGTATCTTTTTCATTTTTGTTTTTCCCCATGATGAGACAACACTTTCAAGTCCTTGTTAGTGATCTTTGACATGCTTGTTATCAGGTTTTTGTTGGTGCACGATTGCATGTTTCAGGAGGCGCTTTGAAGGGGGGACGTGCAGTAGAAAGTGAAGCAGCTGTTGCAGGTAGTCTTTTGGTATTTTAGGAAATATCATCATAAATGGTAAGTTACATTTAATATCTGTGCTGTTTCTGTTTTCTCAGTGCTGGACACTGCCGCTGGTGTTTGGTTGGATAAAAATGGGCTTGTAACTTCATCAAAAACCAGCAAGGGACACACTGAACATGACCCTTCTTTGGAGCTAATGCGTCGTTGTCGCCACGCATCTGCTTCTGTTGGTGTTCGAATATATGTTTATGGTGGTCTAAGAGGAGGTAATGGTTGCATTCCTGAATTGTATCCTAGAACTGTTCATTAGTTCAGAGTAGTTTTGCATCTATGGTAAAGATGAATGTGATAGGATTAGCTAACATGAACCGAGAATCAAAGGGGATTAGGGTTTGTTCATCGGTAAGGGGTCTGTGATAGAAAAGAGAAACCAAAGAGAGGAGAAAGGAGAGAGAGAGAGAGAGAGAGAGAGAGAGAGAGAGAGAGAGAAGTAAAATTAGGTTTCGATTCATTGATTGAATAGTATTCTTCCAGCTCATATATATATATATATATATATATATCAATGGTTGTGTGGCATACATGTCATCAAAATAAGCCACATAACCTCCACCTAAGCAATGACTAGGCAATCTAGATAATTGCTAACAAGTACAGTAATTATCCATATCCTAACTTATTACAAATCAGTCCTTAGTTCCCATTACAATATCATATATAGCCTAACAATGTGCAGCTGGTTTTACCACCTATGATTGCACTGTATTAGCAAAATGACATAAAAATCACAACTTCATAATATTTGCATTATAAGGTTTTGCTTTCATGCAAATTTTTTAGGCACTTCCTCTGTTTTTGGGTTCCTTATTGATTATCTCTAGTATGCTGAAGGCACTGGTTTCATATGATTATTGCTACTTTAGGACACTTCACCATCTTTGGGATTGGAAGAACAATGACAGGTTCCAGTTCAGTTACAGGGAATAAGAGTTCAAAAAATTGGAAGTGAGCCTTCATTTATCTAGATATTCCATAATCTGATAAGTTAATTGCACTGAACGGGGATGGAAAAGCAAGTCATGGATATGTGAATGTCTGGGTTCCGATTTGGCTGTTGCTTTATGATCCTTATAAAGCAACTCTTTTATATGTGGCTGTGTCATGCTTGTGGCCCTCAGTTCATGGTCATTCTCTTGGTCTTAATTTTGAGTTGTTGTTACTGAATGTTTGCGAGTGATATCTATATTTTTTTAGATTTGGTTTGGCTTTAACTAATGGTAATTGAACTATACTCTATAGAGAACTAATTTGATTGCATTTTCCTTAGGAGTCTTGTTCATATCTGTGTGTTTGGTTGGTTACTCATTCAGTGAAGTCCTTGGTTCTTGTTCTTCAATGTGACTTCAATTGTACAGGCAATAAGTATTTATTGTGTGGAACTCATGAATCATGATACTTGACTTGTGCAAGTTGAGATGAGATATCTGCATTTCATAACCAATTAATTTGTTCTTTATATAGATGTGCTACTGGATGATTTTTTAGTTGCGGAAAATTCACCATTCCAGTCAGACATGAATTCTCCTGATTTGGTTTGGCTTTAACTAATGGTAATTGAACTATACTCTATAGAGAACTAATTTGATTGCATTTTCCTTAGGAGTCTTGTTCATATCTGTGTGTTTGGTTGGTTACTCATTCAGTGAAGTCCTTGGTTCTTGTTCTTCAATGTGACTTCAATTGTACAGGCAATAAGTATTTATTGTGTGGAACTCATGAATCATGATACTTGACTTGTGCAAGTTGAGATGAGATATCTGCATTTCATAACCAATTAATTTGTTCTTTATATAGATGTGCTACTGGATGATTTTTTAGTTGCGGAAAATTCACCATTCCAGTCAGACATGAATTCTCCTGTATTAACATCTGAGAGAGCCTCAACTATAACAAGTCCCAGATTGAATCATTCTAATTTAAATCCTTATGAAACAATGTCAGATGGTGGGTTGGAGATCCCTTCATCTGGTTCTATCAGGTTTTAATTCTCTCCCCCCTACTCTCTCATATGCATGATATTTTGCGGGTGGGATTATCACAGTTCAGCTTATCTTGTAAAATTTTATTGATTTATGTTCTGTAGTTTTATGGACAAAAATTCTATGGAGAAACTTAGGGAGGCTTCTGCTGCTGAAGCTCAGGCCGCTAGTGCTGTCTGGCAAGCTGCTCAGGCAGCAACTACCTATTCTGCTGAAGTGACATCTGTGTCTGATGACAATTCACAAGCTGCAGAAGCTACTTCAGATGGTAGTGACACTGAGGCTGATGTTCGCCTGCATCCAAGAGCTGTATGTCCTCTCATCTGTTTTGCCTGTGGTTGGTACTTTAGTTGCCAAGTTGCAAAATCATACTGTTTAGCTGTTTTAGGTTGTGGTAGCTAAAGAGGCTGTGGGGAATCTCGGTGGGATGGTGAGGCAATTGTCACTAGATCAATTTGAAAATGAAAGCAGACGAATGGTTCCTGTGAACAACGACACACCCTATGCAGCCAGAAAGTTCACCAGGCAAAAGTCTCCTCAGGGCTTGCATAAGAAGGCAAGTCAGAAAATTTTTAGACAAAGTTAGTACTAACGTATATACAGGTTAGCTCATTACCGTTTGTTACCTTGCAGATTATTTCTACATTGCTTAGGCCTCGGAACTGGAAGGCTCCTGTGAATAGGAGGTTTTTCTTGGATTCCTATGAAGTTGGCGAGCTTTGCTATGCTGCCGAACAGATTTTTATGCATGAGCCAACAGTTCTTCAATTGAAAGCTCCAGTTAAAGTTTTTGGTGATCTTCATGGACAGTTTGGTGATTTGATGCGTCTATTCGATGAATATGGATTTCCATCCACTGCAGGAGACATCACGTAAGTGTGATATTGGAGCTCTTAGAAGATACTTGTCGAGAACAAAGTTGCATGATGCAGATTGCAGGGAACTAATTAATAGCAGCTTTGAATTTTGTATTCTTTAATTCAGAATATAAGCAATTAAGGGAGGTATATATGCATTTAGGTTTCACCCTTTGATTCAAATCCCTTTACCTGTTTGCCCCCATGATGAAGTTCTAGGATATTTTTGACATTGTTCTGTCCAATTACTAGTTGCTTTATTTATATGATCTGGGATGGCCGATCATGGGAAACTGGTTCTAAACTTGCTCTTTGTGGTCTCTCTAATGACAAACTTCCATTTGTAAACCTCTTGACTTGTTGTTTAACCGTCTTGGATTTGTTATTTAATCTACCTGTCCAATTTTATGTTGCAGTTACATTGACTATTTGTTCTTGGGAGACTACGTTGATCGAGGACAGCACAGTTTAGAGACTATAACTTTGCTTCTTGCTCTTAAGGTAAAACCTGTGCTTGAGAAATATCAGGCAACACTTATATTTCTGTTCTTATATTTGAGCCCTTGGGCCTTTTTGTTTTTATATTTTGCAGATTGAATATCCTGAGAATGTTCATTTGATACGTGGAAACCATGAAGCTGCTGACATAAATGCACTGTTTGGATTTCGTATCGAGTGCATTGAGAGAATGGTATGAGTATATGTGTCATATGCAGTTGTCAATTTTCTATTGGAGAAACTCAGTTCATACCCTTAAAAATTTTTGAGATTTGTATATTTAGCCCCTATTCTTTAATTGCATGAACTTTCCAATTTGATGACATTAAGAATTTTGTTCAACAGTAACAACAACACCACCACCAAGCCTTAATCCCAAACTAGTTGGGGTCAGCTATATGAATCCTTTGTTTCCATCTTGCTCTATTAAATACAGAAATTTGGTAAACAGCAGTTTTAAAATCATTAAAAAAATTCTTTTCTTTTCCCTTAAAGTTGACTGATCAATAAGATGAAATGAAGCAGTTTATATGCTTGGAAATGAATTTTTTTCTTTTCTCTAACGTCAATAATGTAAAAAAAAAAAAAGAAGCAATTTCTTATTACTTTTTAAACCTATGTTAACTAATTTTGTTTTATTTATGCTGTTAATGAACTTATTAAATTGGTATAAGTAGCAAATAATTGAAGAAGACAAGCTCAATAGACAAAAAATTAAGGAACTTAAAAATGTGTTTGTCTATTGTTTTCTGAAAATTTTAGCGTTGCTGATAACCAGTAACCTTGTAGGGAGAGAGTGATGGGATATGGGCATGGACTCGTTTCAATCAACTTTTCAACTTTCTTCCACTTGCTGCACTTATTGAGAAGAAAATTATTTGTATGCATGGTGGCATTGGGAGATCTATTCATTCGGTGGAGCAGATAGAGAAGATTGAAAGGCCCATAACGATGGATGCTGGATCTATAATTCTAATGGATCTTTTATGGTATGTTTCACTTTGATTTATCCATTCTTTTGCTATATATTATCGCATCCCTTAATTTTTCTTGCATCATCTCTTTACACAGGTCTGATCCGACAGAAAATGATAGCATAGAAGGTTTGAGACCAAATGCTAGAGGCCCTGGTCTTGTCACTTTTGGGGTATATATGTCATCATTTACTTGTTTTACTTTGCATGGATTATAATATTTTTGTTTCATGTGTCTATAACCATGTGCAATATGTTCCATATATGATCTAGATCAAAAGTTTCTCATCCAAGGCTAGCTCTTAGCCTCTATTATGTCTAGCATGAAGCAAACCTCATAGATTGAAACTAAGCAAGGGACTGCAATTAATTAAGAATTGCACATGACTTTTTATTTACTCATCATAATTGCAGCCTGACCGCGTGACGGACTTCTGTAAGAAAAATAAGTTACAGCTGATCATAAGGGCACATGAATGCGTTATGGATGGGTTTGAACGGTTTGCACAAGGTCAATTGATTACGCTCTTTTCTGCAACTAACTATTGCGGTAAGCAAAAATAGTTTGTAGTTTCTCCTCGTGATATACTTTGTATATGCATACTAATTCCCTATATCCACATAGGGACTGCGAACAATGCTGGAGCTATACTAGTGGTTGGCAGGGGTTTGGTTGTGGTTCCAAAGTTGATTCATCCCTTGCCACCTCCACTTCAGTCGCCAGAGACATCTCCAGAGCGCGTCATGGATGATACATGGATGCAGGTAAATTTTCTTGCATTCTTGACCTTGCAACTATCCCTTGGTGTCTAAATCAATCCACAGGAGCTTTTTCAGCGGCGAGCTTATATTTGCCTCCCTTTGATATCTGGCAGGAGCTCAACATACAAAGACCGCCCACCCCAACTCGGGGTCGCCCGCAACCCGACCTTGACAGGAGCTCACTGGCTTATATATGATGTGACTACACCTGCATTTGTAATTAGCCAGATTCAGATGTTTGCCAGGATGATGCTCAACGTCTATTACTTCAAGCAAAATAATTTCCACTCTGCATAGATTTGGTGCTTGTGTTGTACTTTTAGGTGTAAAAGTGCAAAAGATGAAAAAGAAAAATGCATTTTTATAGTGTACACAGCTTGAGAATGATAGTAGGTTTTTGCAGTGTAACATATTGTACAATTAGTACGAGGAAGGATAGCTTTGTATTTCTTCTGCTGTTGATAATTGATACGGAGGGAAGTTGGGTTAGTTTTGTGCATTGTAATTTGTAATAGACGGTAATGAGAGGCATTTATTCTTGTATTAAGTTAATTGAACATTTATTCTTGTATTAAGTTAATTGAATTTTGATGAGTAACAAACTTACAATTATAATGAGATAAACTTGAAATTATCTTGACTGGGATTGGATTTGTCTGAGTGAGTGAAACTTGAAAAGCATAAAACTTAAATTTGGTGAACTGGAAGGCTGTTTACATTGTTATACAACGTTTTGAAAACATATAGTGGTTGATGAAATGGATTGAGGGCGACAAATTAATCCTGACATTCTGCCACATGAACTAAATAGGGGGAAGGAAGCAGGTGGTGACATGAGAAATTAACTCATTTTTTGAAAAGTATCTTCCACAAATAAAAAAATAATAATAACTATAAGTTTTATAAATTTAATTTGAGGGAGGGAAAATACGAGAATGGGTGGAAATGACAGTCTCCTGCACATATTTCCTGGAATTATTAGGGTCCGGAACCCAACGAATCTCACTCATATTAGGTGTCTCCACATATGCCATTGTAAATTCTCCAATCTTCTCTATGGTTCCTCTTTTACCTGCTCTCAAAACAAGATTGTTTCTACTGTAGGAGAATATGCCATTAGTTAAACGGACGATGTCACCAGCTTCAAATGCATCACACTCATCTCCCCACAACTGGAAGTGCACAGCAGCTGTTTCATCAGCCACCAGAGCCAAGCATGTCTTATTCTGCCTTTCTATTGTCCTGGCTTTTTCCAAAACTATGAATTTTGTGTTTATGTTTGTTTGAGCTGAAGGCACTATGTCTTTTAGGCACACCAAGGTTTCTCCTTCCATAATTTCTTAGACTTCTTCAACCTGTTAAAAGAGGAAAATCCTTAAGATTTTTATGATGCATTTATGCAAAATGATAAGGTAAACATCTCACTTAGTCATTTTTACAAACACTTAGACAACAATATACAACAGATAAAGAAGATTAAAGAAAAGCGCAAAAGAATATTTTAAAACCATCTATAGGTAGGAATTATAAAATCAGCTTAATGTATTACGGCATCAATGGCAGAAAGACGTACCCTTATTCCGGAAGAGGATTGTTTGCCTGCACCTAAAGGTGTTATGTTGGAAGAGAGGAATCTGCGTGCTGTTATCGAGTTAGCGTTCGTAAACTTGGCGAACTTAAATAGTTTGATGCGGTACGTTCTACGACATGTCGTTCCCGTTCTAATGCTAATTTAACCGTTCTGTCATCTGTTATCATTCGGGAAAATTATAGCTCTGCTCGCTCGCTTCATTTGTTATAAGCCTATCAAAAGACGTAAATAGCCCATGACCCTAAGCCAGCAGTTTCGGGACTCCGTGGCGTTTGTGAGCCTGAAAGTGCATGTTGCGCTGTCTTCCCCTCCTCACTTTTTCCCATGAATTGACTTATGGCTCCACCTATGGATCTAGTTAATAAAATTAAAAATTGTTGTTGAAACAAAAAGTATTTCTAGTTATACACTGCAAATAAAAAAACAAAATAAAAAAAATAATTTTAAAATGCATATTTTAATTGGTTTAGTATATTGATTAAGCTAAGCATCCTGATTTCCTTCTAAATCATGATGAATTTAAAAAGCATCATGATTTTTGAAATTATTTTTTTAATGAGATTATCATTGTAAATAAATATTGCTTTGTATTTGAATATATATATATATCCATTTTAAAAAATGTAAACTAAATAATAAGAGAAATTAAAATTGAGACATGAAATCAAATCCTAATACAAAAGCACATAATTTGAAAATGAAATGGGAGTATTGAGACTTCACAACTTAATGATCCACTGTGAATTAATTCTTTGCCAATTAATCAATTGCTAAAAACCCTAATATTTGATCTTCCTCGCTTCAAAACAAAAGAGGAAATAAAAAAACTCATCAGAAAAACAATAAATCCTGAACCTGATTACGATTATGATTATGATTAGAATCTAATTAATAAAATTAAGGGGAAAAAAAACAAAAAGAGGAACTATATTGATGGTGACAATATGCTATGGGGCACTAAGATTCTAGCAAGGCCATCATCAAGGCCGAAACATAAATATTTTGTTTGAGTCCCACAACACTCTCATTACCCCAAGCTTTGTTTCGGCCTCACTAAATGAGGTGCCGGTGGCTTCAGATGGGTATGGAAGCCTCACCCATCTATCAGCCTTAAGCTCAGTAACATCCACGACACACGTTTCCGATTCCTCCAAATTCTTCCCATACCATTTACCTTGAACTTGATATACTTTGGCCTTACCAATCTCCTCGCCTTGCTTATCTACAAGCACAACATATTGACCTGGCTTGCATTGAACAAATTCTGCAGCACCAATGCCAACAAATTCAGCTAAAGAAGTCTCAGCATTTTCACTAGTTCCAATTCTCGACGTGCTTGGAACAAGTCTTGCACCTGATGGAGCATTATCTTCTCCACGACTCTCAGGTGAGTCGTGAGAATGTGTTGACATACCTTGCTTTACTGAATGAGCACTATCAAACTCTACTGGTGCACGAACATCCTTACCTGCACGTGCTAGTCTTGCTTTTCGGTTGTTGAGCCTGTAATAATACAATACAGAGACAAGTGTTTGTCAGCAGAAGATTAACAAATCAAAATATTAATCTTGCATATTTCACTGATGATCCATATGATTGCAAAAACCTATAGATCCAACCTGGAATAAGGCATTGAGAATAAAAACTTCCTTGATGTCATCATCTTCATTATAAAAAATTATATAACATTGAAGGAGAAGAACATTCTTTAAACATAGAATGCGGAATTTTTTTCAAAAAGAGCAAACTTCCTCACCAATTTTTTAGCTGTGAAAATGTAACTTCTGAACCCTGGAAAACAATGTAGAAATTTATTAGGCAAGTTAAAGCATGTTATTATGTAGAAATTAACCTACAATATGAATACTTCATAGGAACATTTTACATACATGAATACTTAATTTATCAGCCCATCTCTGTATAGAAGCTGAATTCCGCTGCATATCAGGTTCATCCACCAGGGCCTTCTCAATCAATGACATCTGATAATCATTCATTATAGTCCGTTTGCGCTTTCTTGGCTTCTCTTCAAACTGAATAGTTCCAACTTTTCCATCTTCTTGAACGCCTTGGCGACCATTTTCTTTCACAAGATCACTTGATTTGGCAAAATCTCCATTCCCCATTTGACCAACAAAATTCTTTCCTCGTGTAGAACTTGTATCTGAACCGCTTGTTTCGACATTCTGAAAATCCCTGTCCATCTCTCTTGAAACAGCAGAGGCAGTCCCACCAGCTTTACCCTTGTCTTCCTTCATTGCATCATCACCACGATTCATACGCTCATTTTTGAAATTAAGCTGCTCTTCTTGAAAAGCAGAATTTTCAGACATTTCTTCTTTCTGATTACTGCTTACATTGTTCAGAGTTGAAGTTTCCTTCTTCAGTAAAGGTGAGTACCCTACTGTACTCTGAGCCTCCTAAGAGTAATAAACTTCATTAAGGTTTATGAAAGGAAGGTGATGTTATCAATAAGAACTTAAAGGGACAACTCCAGAAATCAGCATCATTCTGGAAGGGAACTTTGATTTTCAGAGAGTCGAGTACTAGATGCTCCTAGACTCGCAAATTAATAGTCAAAATTGAACAGACAAAAAAGAGTAGAGTTTGGATCTTGCCATATTTGTTAACTCTTCATCTTAATGGAGTCTTACATCATATATTTTTACCAGAATGGGCTTTAATCACCAAACTCATATAACATCACTCATGAGAAAACTAAACTGAACTTCCAGAATTTACCTGATGATGCTCATTGATGTCAAGTTTAGAAAACTTGTCTAAGGATATTGATCTCTCAAACTTGATTTCCTGAATTTGCTTACAGAATAATTTGAAAACAAATTTTCATTAATAGAGAAACTAAAGAGGAAATTAGATAGTCGGATATAATAATAATAATAATAATAATCACTAAAGGAAAAATGACTTACTTGAGCTTGGTTTTCTTCAAAATCAGCAGGACTAATCAGTGAGTGTAACTGGTTAAAGAACACCCTGACAAGATATTTAATAATCAAAAGTATTAACCACATTGCACCATAACTACTGCAAGTCAAGGATGACTTATTTTAAAGCATATATACATCAACCATGAAGCAATACACCACCATATATGCGGACAAAAGAATTCAAATTCCATTTTGACATTACAGCACCACAAAGTAAAGAAACATCAGCATCAACAGCTTCCCATAATATGAAATGTATGCTATCCCAATGAGCTTACTATTTGAATTGTCTTGGGATTAATGCATTTCTGGCTCCCTTATTGATTCAAGGATGTCACAAAACCCAGAGTAGCAATATAATTTGCACATCATTGTGTAACTAAAAAGGCATTTGGTTCAGTTGATTCATACAGCTGATAGCTGTTTTGTATCCAAGAGCTAGGTTGTAGGTATTCGGTAAGCTTTTTAACAGCAGCTGATGTTGATAGAAGTCTCAATCAGCTACTGATTCCATCAGCTCCGTTTTGGAGCTTTTTCGTATCAGCTGGTAGTTGATTTGTATTTATATTATATTTGCACTCCATTAACCTCATAAAAATAATTGCTAATACAAATTTTAATTTTTCAAATTAATATTTTTTATGATTAATTTATTTATAGTTATTTAAAAATAAATTTTTTATGAAATGTTATTTTAAAAAAATTTAATCAATATCTGAATACCTCTATAAAGTCAAGAGTATCCTAATTATGCATGAGAAATCACTACAACAGTTGTTCAAAAGCAGTTAATGGTCATGATATTCACAATTAAGAGAAACATATTATATTTAAAAAAAAAAAAAGAACTTGTAGGAAGAAAGAAATATGACTGAATCTTGAACCACCTTAAAAGCTGTACATCCTCATCATTCAAAAAGTTAGGAGTCAGAGACTCTGCATGACTTAATAATGAGCCTACAAATGAAAGTCACTTGTAAGGAACACAACTTATAAAAGAATGTCTGAGTAAATCATGTGAGAGTCATGCTTACGCAGGTTCCTGCAAACAGTGATCGCTTTGTTAGCACCAGAAGTAAAAGAAAATCCAGGCAAGGATTCAGATGGATTCATCCGCATGCACTCACAGAACTTGTGAAGGAAGAGATTTCTTTCCTGTTCTGCGGAATACAACAGAAGGTTGATATATGTAATTAAGAGAAAGGGGGCATATCAAGCTTGTTATGAGAATTTCAGAATCAGCTGAACTAACTGACCTTCACAAATGTTGGGGACGAAACAATGAAGGTTGGCAATTACTTTGACAAATAATGATGTCCTCTGATGAGCATATGTAGCTTGGGGCATGTTGCTAGGAATTAAAGTAATCTCTAAATTTATAGCACTTGATTGGTCCAATGATGAAAATGTATCCAAAAACCATCCAGCCGCTGTAAATACATCGTATTCCAGAGTAGCATCCTCCTCCCTTGGTGGAAGTTCAGAGGAGCACCAAATGGATAAAAACTCTCCATGAGGGAGTGAAAATATGGCAGTCAGAACTTTGGTCTGCGGGATGTATTGAGGTTTGAAAGAGAGGAAAAAAAAGAGTCATGACAATTTTCATAATGAATGCTCTGAAGAAAAACATGATCATGTAAAAGTAATACACACATGAAAATCAGGTAAATATTGCAGTGACTTCATATTTCTAGTGAATACATCAATCATTTTTTTTTTCCCTCTGTAACCTCTCATGAAATGATAAATTATTAGAAAGTCACTCCAGCAAATTTATTAGAAGTAAAAAATGGAACAAAGCAAGTATCCATCCTATGAAATCCAATGATAGCTCACAAAGCATGTTGTAATATAAGATCGAAAATATGAAAGCCCATAGCTTACAAAGCATGTTGTAATGTAAGATCGAAAATTTGAATCATCTGAGAAAATATCGGCCAAACGCATTGCATTGAGTCGCAGAAGCCCCATGGGAAATGTTCTTTCAGAACAAGCGCTGAGATGTTTGGGATCTTTACTAAGTGCAGCCTTTAATAATTCAAGAACCTACATCATAATATTAGAGAAGCTTGATGGTAAAACATTTTCAAAATAAAAGAGTTGATCCAGGAAAAAGTAGGATTGGACAAATTTTGTTTGTAGGTGAACTCAATAAATCCAGCATCATTTTCTCCAGCCTAATAAGTTTGTAGCAAAACATCCTTTTTGCTAGTTACTCAAAAGCAAATCTCATATCACTTTATACTGAAAAGTAGGAAAACTGGAAGAAGAAAAGTCCTCAAAAGGATTGTGGTTGAAAAATCCATTTTTTGTCAAAAAAAATTCCAGTATAATGAATATGCCAGTTAAAGAAAAGAATATACAAGATGTGGATCATAGTCAGCAAGGCGTGGCAGATCATAAGGATATTAAAGGATCTTCATAACCATCAGAAACTAACCTCTAAAGCAACAGATTTGGCCAAATCTAGGCTTCCTGGAGAACTTGCAACCTCATCAAGGTAAGAAATGCTTTCTGCTTCACACAGATGCAATAGCTGCATAAATAGTTGTGACGACATATTGGTATTAACATAGGTCAGCAAAGTAAGAGCCTATAAAAGATTATAATGCACAGTAAGCACTGGTATCACTATGACTTACAATTGATAGCACTTTAGCTTTTAGTCTTGATACAGCAGCCACAACTGTAGATGACTCTACAAAGGGAGCTGTGATTTTTAACTTCAAGATGCCATGAGCCAGAAAAAGAACACCACCCTTTCCACATAGTTCCTGGGATAGTATGAAACCAGACAATTTACTAAAATAATTAAAAAAGATGAATTACATCACGAGAATATTAGATGTGATCAGCGAGATCATCCATTAAATACATTTACACAAATTAAAATGATCTCATGTTCCACAACTGTAATAATATTTTTCTTTTTCCAGCCTAATCAAAGTGTTATCACTGTAGATCTCATGCTTCTCCAAATGTATCTCCTCCCAGCTTTTTCACAATATTATGCACACATCAAAGAACCCTTAATTCCAGCTCGACTATAAAACAAGTTTTCTCCCATCTTATTTCCGACAATCCAAACAATATGACACCTCCAGAAAAATGACTTTTTAATCCAAACAGATGGAACAGGAGTTTTATTTCAGAAACCTTGTTTCTAAGAAGGCGCTCCCTGAACAACTTTTGCTGGCATAATGACTGAAGAAACTGTAAAGAAGCCTCGCACTGTTGGCATAGATAGTTAACTATTTGCTCGGCTGTCGGACTTGATGTCATGTGAAAATCAGTATATTGAGCTGACAGCTTGACCTGAAGAAACCTGATAGCAACATGTACTGCTCCAAAAGCTGCATCCATAAATATGTCAACCTATAACAGAAATTTCAAGATCAGAAAGTGCACAAATGTCTCAATCTCAAAATTATGAACTTCAAACACAAAATTGTCAAATGATCTAAGACTATTAAGGAAAAACCAGCAAATAGATGGAATTAAATTAAAGAAACAAGACCTTTCTCAATTATTTCAAAATGCATTCGACCATTTCTTTCAAATAGCAGCTTGAACAAATCATGTTGAAGGAGTTTTACCTTTGGGTGTGCAAGCAACACCTGAACAAGATCTTGCCACTGTGATGATATACAACCTGTTAATAGATATAGACTGCATGCTACCAATGCTGAATGCAGAAGGGCCACAGAGCTTGTGTTACAATTTTCCTATATCATGAAAGACAAGTTCTGGTAAAAATAAAAAGTATCCATAGTAAAACCTTAAATAAAAGAATTAAGGCTTACCTGTCTGATACCACTAAGAACAATTAGTACATAAAACACCAGATCTAACAGTTGTTCTGATACTTTTACATCATCAAGCAAAATCTGTAAAATCAATGAATATGAAATTTATTTAAGGTGTGTTTATTCAAGGATTTTACTCCAGAATCTTGTAGTCTGTCAAGTCCTTGCTGCTAAGGGAAACCAACAAAAACATGATACTGCACTAAAAGCTGAAAGAAAACCTTATAAAAGGATCACTAAAAGAAACCTGCTCAAGTTTAGTATGCCGAGGTGCTAGGTCACACAGGGAATGCAAAAGCCGAACACCAGATAATAAGTATCTCAAAAGCGATTCATCTTTATCAGATGAAATAAGCACTGCAATTAGATGCAAAGGAAGAAAGCTTGCCAGTTTTTCCACATCAATCTGAAAAATGACACAATTTAAGATGCAAGACAGTAGTAAATAACAAAGCATAAGGATAATGACCAAAATTTTATTTTCTGACCTTTAAATGTGTTCCTTTTTCAGTTTGGAAGTGAATTGTAAAATTTTCGGAGTCTCTTATTAATTTATTAAGTTCCTGGGAGCTAAGCCCATGTAACTCTTTCACTGCTGAAACTAGGTCAACAACCTATTCACATAGTCAGAAACTTGCCAGCATTAGAAAGAGAGAGAGAGAGAGAGAGAGAGAAATCAGGATAAAAATGGATCACTTAAACACAGTTCAATTACTAGAGAAAAAAAAACAAGAATATAAACATTGCTTAAATTGACTTATTAAAAAATGAAATGACAAACAAGATGAATGATTAGAAAAATCAAACAATTTATGTAGCCAAATTTTTCACTTACTTGTTCAGCAATGCATGATGATTCATCTTTCCCAAGCCTCATCCTAGAGACAAGACCATAAATTTTATTAGGAAAACAAAGAACTGAAGCAACTGCAAAGCAGAAAATAGGATATTTCTCAGTGCATTTAAGGTCATTGTTCCAACTAATTTTGGCCAAAAATTTCAAAAGGGTGTTTTCTCTAAAAGCAGCTAAAATAGCAGACCCAGAAGTGTCCTTGCCAACATGCACCTTAAGCAGCCTAAATACTTTAATTTTGTCATTTATTAATGTGTTAAAGGCAAAAGCAAAAGCGTCAGAGTACATCAAGCAGAGGCCAATAAGTAAAAATATTTTAAAAGGGAGGGAAATAACAGCTAGTAGAAGCATCTCTCTGCTGTCCAACAAATGATGCAATAGTGACCTTGCTCTAGTGGCTATCATCATAATAACTACCAGATATATGCTCCTAGCAACAGAATGATAATCCAATCTCAATTTTCGACATTTAAATGGTGAGCAGCAGGAAGGAGCAATATCACTTGCAGAAAATTTGCTAACTTTTCTATATAAATTTCAAAATAAAATAAAATAAACTGAAAATTTTCTTTTCTTTTTTCTTTTTAAGCATGAAGACGTGTTACGAGGTGCCATACCACAGTAATATCAGTCAAATTTCAATACAGAAATCATGGTTGTAACTCTGATATCACCATATATACTGAAAAATGCATATGCACAACTACATGCAGAAGTACATTAAAAAGATTATTTAACAATTAAAATTTGAAACTCGATTGTTCTTAAAAATTAAAATCACTCATTGAACTCAACTAATATCCCATAAACGAAGACCAGTCAATCATAACGGTCAAGTTCATTAAAAATTGAACACCCAAGACCAAAAACGTGAAAATATACAAGTTGGATTACAAATAGAAAGAATTCAAATATAAAAACAGCAGATAATTGCATGAAAACTAAACAAACTAACGTACAAGTAGAGTGTGCTGGAAACGACCTCAGAAATAAAACCCTAGATTTTCAAGCGAGCAAAGAGAATTGAACGTTGAAACCCTAAAATGCAGAGAATGTGAGACAGAGAACAATACAAGCCAAACCAGAAAGAAGGGACCCAAATTGCAAATAAAAACAAAAATTAAAAAAAAATGTAATTTGAAAATATTAAGGAAAGGCACTAACCTGGGAATTGTATCGATGAGATTGCAATTGCAAAATGAGAGAGTTAAAGCGCCAAAAAGAAAAAAAAGTTTTTTTATTCAGAGACCCAGAAAGGAATACAAATTCGCGGGTTTTTGAGGTTGAAATGTACAGAGTGTGTGTGTATATGATTGAAGACTAAGTTAATCTGGTACGGGTTTTTTTCTTTTCTTTTCTTTTTTTTTTTTTCTTTTAAATTAGGATTTGGTGAAGCGAAACTGCGAAAGTGAGTAAATTTAGCTTTAACCACGAGGAAGAGAGTCAACTGGTCAAGGTTTTTGCAGCTGTTTTGTTTTTGGGATTTTCTTTTCCGTTTCTGCCTTTGCCTTTATTTTCTCGTTTTGATTTGTCTCTTCAGTTTACATGTGCATGTGCTGGCACATGTAAATTATTCCATGCAATTTCATACAATTAACGATGTGACATTATATAATCTAACGAGAGGTTGAGGGAATTATCGACTTAAAAATTAAAAGAAATCCGATTCTTTATTTCTTTTTAAATTTCATTCGTGACTTAAATTCAAAATTTTAATTTATCTTTAAGATAAAGAAAGCAGACATAATTTGACGATTAAATGCCTTGATGATTCATATAGCGCATTATAGCAATACCCATGTACTGTAATCATTGAAAAACCATTGACATTGGTCCAATTATCAGAAATGTTGGCTACAAACATTCAGAACTGCTAATTCTAGCCAAAACTTCCAACAGGAACTGCCACAGCCAACCCTCTTTAAGGATTATTGTTTTCCAATTTTGGTTAATGATTGCTCCTCATAATAGAAGACCAAAACCGCAAATTATACCCAAGTTCAAGATTTGTTTGATGTGATTAAGCCAAAAGAAGAAACGATGTGCATAATAAAATCATTCCCCACAAAATCACATGTAAAGCGACTTGTGAATAATCAAACTTCATACATTTAATAAAACCAAATATGTGCTTCACATCTTAGAACAAAATACTTATTCTTCCGAGTATGCTCAACTCAGAGCCAACAAAGTTACATCAAAATCAGAATACTTTTAGAGCTGTCCACGAAACAAATGGAAGCATGAAAGGAATTTATTCATCTACGACGACACTGATCTCGCCTTTCTCCAGCAAGTCATAAAATGCTCTCACCTTCCTCTGTTCATTCCAGTGATGCATCTTCCAGAGACCACCTGCAGCCAAGCCAAGTGCAATACCAATACATATCTCCTTCACAACACTAGGTCCTTTCAAGGTAGCATGAGCAATCTTACCACCAGCCATTCTGCTTCTCTAGTTAAAAGCTAATGAACCTGCAGGAAAGATGAAGGGAATTAAGGAAAGCTTTAAATATGAATTGTCATTTCAAGGCAATTGCTAAACAAAAGCAATCATAAGAAAGCAACATATTATATCACAGATTCAAACTATTCTCATGCCTTCTGCAAAATATATATACAAGGTTACTTCAACTCGCCCTCCCTCTAAGAACATGGATCTTAAAGAAATAGAAATTAAGTACACAAAAATAATAAATTCAACTCAGAAACCAATCATAAACTAAACAACTAAAGTAAAGCTGCCGTAGATTCATCTAACAAAGCCAATAAAGGGACCAACTAATATATTTACATTGCAACAACTTGATTACCTCTGCACAAAAAAACATCCTAATGCAATACCTACAAGAATATTTAGTTTCATTGATGCATAAAACAGAGAAAGCTGAACAAAGTTGACAACTTCATGCCAGTTTACATATTACATTTTAAGACATCCCCTTCATCTAGTCATGTAAGTCGTTAGTATATGTCACTCATTTGTTCTAGCATAGGTATTTGAGACATTATGCAAAAATCAATATTCATCTTTCACATATTCTGCAATCATTTAATTCACTTACAAAGAAACTCAATTTATAGGTTTGACATAAACTATTTCTAGCATTTCGAAAGTCAACCAGATTGTCAAACATTTGTAGAGGGATGGTTATTACTATCTGTTAAATATCTTATAAAACATATGTCAACACAAAGAGGGAAAATTTATTCATAAACAGCTAGTGCTTCTCCCGCTAGTATGATTTAACCTATCTAACTTTCACAATCAGAATCTTCAGCGGAAATTCTTCACTAAACCTTGCCCAGTTGATCCAAACGATTTTCCTAGATCAAGATAGCCCATTTACTAATCAATTATAAGTGGTATAATTATCTCAATCCAATGGGCTCTAGATTATAAAATAAGCAGTGAAATCGTTCAATAACCGGAAAAAACTATGGCGGCTGCACCAACATTTTCTGGAAATAATATTTTCATGGGAAACAATCAAGCGAATATTATAAAAGCATGTTTAATTTTGAAAAAGCAAAAGGAAAAGGTGGAGAGGAAAAAAAAAAAGAAAAAGAAAGCCCACACCACAGAAACTAACAGATTTTATAGACAGATATCTGAGCGAGAAATTTCAAATCAATGTTTCTGTAGGTCAAATAAATCAGGATTGGAAAGGAAGAAAGCACTTACCCAGATCGAATATGATTTAATAAATCGCTTGATTTGAGGAACACTTGATTCGCTTAGAAAAGAGGTAGAGCGTACAGAATTCTGAAGAAGGAAAAGAGAATGGGAGAATGGCTGCGAGATGATGAGAGACTTGTTTGTATACCGACTCTCTATTGGCTGAGTGGCTGAGAGGCAATTTGGCCTCTGAAAACGATGTAGTTTTAAGCGTCGAAAAAAGCAGAAGAAACGGCGTCGTTATTGTTGGACAATCACAATATTATTGGTTTCGTCAAGCGCAATACGGTGGCACAAAGTTTCATATTTGGAGTCAGCATACAAGTACTGAGGTGTTTAATTTAAAAACAAGCAGTTAAATGTTTGGTAAAATCGTCTAAAAATAACATTTAAGTGTTGAAAAACAAACATACAATGAAATTATAGAATCTTCTATGATGCAATCACAGAAGTGAAATTTGACTTGTCAAGTGTCCAGTCCCAGTGATTATTCGTGGTGCGTCCAAGAACTAAATAAGCAATGAAGAGATTTCCAAACGAGTGTAAGAAAAAAGATTTCTTTGAAACAAGAGATCCAGTGGTGTTAAGTGTCCGGTATGATCCAGTGCGAATGTATTCTCTTGATGCTCTGGAAGCAGTTCAGGCAACTATTAGCATTCATAGAAGGCATATTTTACAGTAACCGACAGAAATTGTGTAATCCTACACCACATTATGTTTTGTTGAATTCAAGAAATACATGTTCTACCACTATCCATGGAACACATTGAGAAAGGACTTGAAGATGTACATTTGTGTCAAAACCTCCCCACAACTTTTGATTTGAGCCTTAAATATACACCATACCTCAGGCAAAGCCAATTACTAGCTTGATGCCCCTGCAAAAGAAACAAGGTTATTAGGTGAATAACATTATAAAACACTGAAACCTTATAAAATTCTTACCTGATGTCCTGGAAGCTGAAACACCTGTCTTTGCCCGACTTCTATTTTCATCCCTTGAAACCTTTAATGACCTCAACTTGGATGATGACCTAAAGGAATGTATTAAAGGAGCCTCTTCCTCTTCCTCCTCGTCTTGCTTCTCTTCTTCTTGTACATCTTGATCTGAACCACTAATTGAATCCTCCTCTTCACTTGAACTATGCTCATCAAAGAGTCTCTTTCCTTCTATGTTTTGCCTCTTCCTTGGACGACCCCTGCGTCTTACAGTGGTCCCCTCTTTCTCATCTGCAATATATTAGCAAAATTGGCATTATATTAAATTCTTAAAGCCAAAGTCTAAAGCCAATTTCATTACCCAAAGAAAAAGAAAAACCCAAAATAAGATGTGATCAACATCTATGCTAAATTTCTTCTCAAAACTTGATTCGTTAAACACTAAGACAGACAAATTATCTGTTCTCAAAGAAGAATTTCCTCTAAAAAATGTGATACCTGCATGGAAAGGAAATTAATGACCCAAGGTGTAAGCACACTTACACAAAGTGCATATGCACGAGCTTGCTTGTGCATGCACACACACACACACACACACACAGAGAGAGAAAGCAAGATAAGCAAGTGTAATGGTCATCAATATCAAGCTGAGTAAAAGTACTTTCAACTTAATTTTACCAAAAAAAAAAAAAAAGGTTGAGATGACAGCTGCAACTATAAATAGAATAGATTAATCATACAGAAGGTGAAGTGCATACCTGGAAAGCCATCATTCTTTGCATACTTTTCTCGTAAGTTATCCACGAATGTGTGATAGGGGCGCCAACCACTAGGATCTTCATCAGTATTTACATTCTCTGTCCGACTTTGGACATCTTTTAGACTACATGCAAAACAATGAGCAGGTTAGTGCAGTATGTTTTCACAAAACTGTAAAAAGTTGCTAACATTCTACCCTCAAGCCGTTTGACCAATAAAAATAGAGTATAAATAGGGAGAGAGTGCCCTAATCAAAGTGAAATTGACTACGCCACCAGCTATCAGAATTAGAGAAGCTGATTCTTACATTTCCAGGACGTCAGATGTCGGAAGTTTGGATACAAAATGGAGCACTGCACCTTCCAGAAAAGATAGCTGTTTTGGAGAATCAATGAAAGCATATTCAATACCTTCCTTGACAATTTTTAATATGTCTGCTCTATGCTTGTTCCGAGCAGCACCCATGAATGTTGCAGAGAGTCGAGCAGCCAGGTCCTTACACTCCTGAAAAGATTTTCCTACGGATCCATCATCACTTCTGGAAAGTTCCTCCAAATGCCGGTGATGAGCCTAGTTAAACAGGCAATAACTATATAAACATTCATATTTTTCACCAGCACTTTTTACTAAAAATTTTAAAGGGAACTTTTAGACGCTAATTATCTTTACAGTAAGCCTGAAAAATCAAAGTTCCAAATACCAAACTTCAAAGCTGCAGGTACAGAAAACAGAAAAATTTTCTTGATTTAAGAAAAAGATATGGTGAACATACCAAGATCAAAGCAAGTCGTGTTTACCCATAAAATAAACAAAAATTATGAAGTCACACATGCATTCTATCTTTTCTCTAAGAATAAGGCACCAACAGGTACAAGCCATACCCTTTTCAATGCTTCTAGAAAGATATTGGTAGTATCATCATCCTTTTTCTTTATAACTGTGATAAGATGCTTTACAATCTCTGCTATACTAGTTCCATGCATAACAAAATGAGAAATGATCTCAGGAGCAAGATATTCCTGCACAAAAAGGAACAGATCCGATAACTACAAAATACAGAACATAAGGGCATGTTTATTGTAAAGAACAGTTTTCTTCTTTTCATTTTCCATTTTCTAAGACAATGGTTTTCTTAGAAAATAAAACATAGAAAACAGAAAATAAAAAATGTGTTCACTTGGTAATAATAAAAAAATATATATTTCATTAAAAAACAAAAAACATTCATAATTTTCATAATTAACAAAATAAAATATTGTAAAAATTGCTTAGAAACATCAATTTTGTATCATTTTGTAAATTTTTAAAAATACATGTTATTATATATATTATAATATTAAAATTATTTACATATTAAACTATAATATGAAAAATAAAAATAAAATATTTAATTAAAATAAAAATATATATAACTCAGATAATTTAAATTGTTCATGATTATTCACTAAAAATATTTTTCCAAAAAAGTCATATATATTATAATTTTAATTATGAAAATTATTTTCTTTTCTTTTCAAATGGAAAATGACTTTTGCCACAAAAGAAAATTATGGTAAACTTAGAAATATTTTATGCTACCCCAATCCTTCACCAACCACAAAAGGGAGGAGAGGGAGAAGAAAAAGAAAAGTTCATGAAAGAGTACGGTTGAGAGATACTCAATTTGTTCAACAAAAAATAAATTATCACAATACTCTTATGTTCTACATATGTATACTCGCCTTGGAAACTGTACCACTAGCAACCAACTTTGCTGCAGCTATCACAACCGCATCTCTATTTGTCTCCTCAATGTACTCTTTGTTCGAGTCTTCATCTTCGGTCTCATCTATCAAATACATTAAGATAAATAGAGAGAGAGAGGTGGGAAGATGAAACCAAAGAAAATGAACAAGAACTGAAACAAAATTGCTCAAGCAAGCAATCTAGTACATGTGAATAGAATGGCAATTTTACCAATCCGATTCTGGGCTGATTTTGGCGGGTTTAAGTAATGAATAAATGAGTTTACAACGGGTTGGGTTCAAGAACCCATTACTATTTAGTTAATATTCTAAAAATATTTAAAATAATTATTTTTCTCCAAAGAACCGTGCGTGAGCTGCCTCATGCGGCATTTTTGTTTTTCTAATTATAATCAATGCTATAATTATATTTAATATTTATTTTGTATTAAGTCAAAATAATAATTTTACAGTTTTTAATTACTTTTCTATTTTTGAAAAATAAAAATAAAAATGTATTTTTAACGTTAAATGAATAATTATAATCGGGTTTGGGTACTAAAGGTGAATTTTTTGTACCGGTTTAAATACTTAATTTATATTCGGGTTTGGGTAGTGTATTTTAAGCGGATACCTGACCCATAGCCATCCCTACATGTGAACAAGTAAAATTGAATCCAGATAGAATCACAATAAAGAGACAGCAATAAGAACTACCAATATCATACAATATATAAAACTATGACCAGCTTTAGTATATCAAACATTAGCAAGATAAAGTAAAAAAAAATAAGCCACCTGAAATGTTGAGCTGCTGTTCAGAAAGTCTCCAGAATTTTTGAAGAACAGAGGTATCGGGACAATATCCTAAGCTTTCCAGCTTTGTTGAAGAAAAATTTGTCTGTCTGAACAAACACCATGCTTCTGCAAGTATAATACAGACCTACATATGGAACACTTTTTATCAGATCAAATTAGAGAATCCCATAAACATCCAATGTAACATATTTTTACAGAAAGCTTGTGGTCAAATCATACCAAAGCAAAAGTGAAGATCTTACTCTGCAAGCTAGCTGATTAGCATATTTACTAACTCTCTCTTCATTGGAAGGGGTAATAAGAAAGTACTCAAGTTCCTCAAACAAGACATTGCGTTTTGAAAGTAGAGAGGACAACTGTGCTTCAGAGACAGTTTCGCTGTTCACAATTGACTGCAGAGACCATGCAACATGCAAATACATGTTGAGAAGCAGAAAACTGACAACCTAGATGGAAACAGCAATTAAATTATGGTTAAATGCAAGGAAAATAATTGGAAAAACAGAAGTCTCATGAAGAACATTTAATACCTCATCATCCACATTTCTGAAATAGTGGAGAATTCTAACAATATCATCATACAAACTCTCTATAGGTACAGCCCTTGATAACTGAAGCTCATATAACCTTTTCAAATTCACAAGAAGAGAGTATTCATCACCATCCTGCAAATTAAAGAATGTCACATTTCACGAGCTTTACCAGCATCGCAAAATAAAAGGTAAAAATAGTAACTGTACCGCTGCTTCTTTCAATGCAGATTTAAGTTTAGCAATTAGCTCATCTTCAAGATTCTTTAATTTATTACAGGCAAAATCTTTAAGCTCTCCTTGACTCTCAGTGGAACAAAATGTAATAGCCTTTACACAAGATCTCAATGCCTCCTTCTCACCATGTTTAAAAAACGCTTCTTTTATGAGCTGAAGAACATTTTTGAAATTCTGAAAGATGAAAAGAATAACAAGTAAATAGCCAAGATTTGATTGATTTACCAAATTCCTGTGCAAGAATTCACTAGCATCAAACTAAGTTGTGAAAAAATATCAAATCAATAGCATTGACAAGGAATTCTTCCACCCACCTGTTCTTGTCTCTTTAGGGAATAAAGCTCCAGGTTCATGTGCACAATAATCTCAACCAGTGATGGCACTTTTGCTTTATCAGCGGTGAATTTACGTAAAAGGAGAGGGAAGTTCTTCATCATGGCAATTGTTATGTCTCTTCTATTGTTTTCAAATATTTCCTGACATTTCAAAGGACGATTGATAATTTTATATAAAGTGACAGTATGATAAAGACCATGTTACCATGAAGACATCTAGCCAAAAAAAGAGAGACATGGAATCACGGTAAACTAACATGCTAGAGTTTGAATCCGAAATCAGATTTTTTAGAAAATGGATAATTAAAACTGAGCAAAAGTTATTGCATCATAACCAATTAGTGTTCATACAAAAATTCAGAATTCAGAGAGACATTTGATGTATAAATAATCACTTCTTTGACCTAAAATGATTTTTATATATATAACCAAGGAATCACGCACTTTTTGAGCTTTATTATAATATTGCTTTCGATTATCAGAAGCTGGAACTATCCTCTCTCCTACAGCCTTCCGGACAGATGCAAAAAGAAGTCTAACCAAATTTGTTGCATCATCATCAGTAAGCTCAACCTGTGGATTCTCATCCAAGAGAATGGAAATAATGCATTTCCAATCCTGCAATCACAGAAAAGTTTTGCCATATTGCTAAGCATATTGAATGTAACCAAAATATTTCCTAGTCATCATCAATGATTGATAAGCATATAAAATTTGCAGCACATAACTTATCAAGCAGGAAAATTCCTTTGTTCAGAACATTATCAGGAGCAGCGTACAGTAACAGTGCAAGTAGAATAACAGTGCAGGTGGACATAATAAGTCAACTTATTTGGCCAGAATAGCCTGTCTACAGGTTAGGGCCAGTAAGTTCTACCTTACCCTCTTCCCTTTATCAAACCCAAGTTTAATTGATGTTTCTGAAAGCAATAACAATGTACCTTCATTGCTTTCATGTACTCCCAAACATCATCTATGACATAGATACTAAGGATTGGGTCAGTCGAAAACTCCCTTAGAATTTGCAGCATTCTGCTAAGATGGACCACAGAAGAACCATTGTCATTGCCTGGAAAAAGATGGTTATGACTGTATGAGCTCTGGTGCTGTGCAATTTTGACAAAAACCATTAAAGTAGAAACCACAAGCAGAGTAACCTCTAGTGCCAGATTGAGAGCCATTAAACTTCTGAGCAATCAAGTGATCATAAACCAACTCTCCTATGGCACGTCTGATGTCTGCTGGATCATCAATGAGTAAATCATACAAAGGACCCAAGTCATCATCAGGTAGAAGCTGATGCCTGCAAGACACCACAAGGTCCATTCTCAGGCAGACACCTTTTTGAATAAACATCCAGGGGATTTGAAAATATATATGTATATAAAATATGAAAATAGTAACCTTAGTAATTGCTTTACGAGTCCAATGGCGCTTACAGCAACAGAAACATCAATGTCATCAGCAAGCTCAATCATACGGTTGGAAAATCGTTCAGTGAATAAACCAAGAGTGGGCACATTATCGTCCATGTCATAAAGATTTTGCAATGCAAGGATAGATGCCTTTCTTACACCAGCACTCTTCAAGCACAATAGATCAGAGGCAAGTTCTAATGGTGTACTTATAATCATAAATCGAAACTCAAAATTAACTTGTTAGCATAACTTACTTTATCATTCAATGTCCATCCAAGGTACTTCAAGTATAAATCCTGCAGGAAAAGTGATGGATATGACAAAATCCACACACCAAGTGACTCTATGCATGACATTCGAATGTTAGGATCAATATCTCTGTACCGATGGACAAATAACCTTCACAAAGAGACAAATAAGACAGTGAGAATGCTGTTTAAATAAAAACTAAAATATGTTGATGAAACAGGAAATCTATCATATCAGACACAATTTCTTTTAATAATAATAAGGACAAGAAAATAATTCCTACCCTGTAAATATTTTGCGCATCATGTCTTCTAACACAACTATTTTCTCATGAGTCACAGATAATCTTTTATTTAGTGACTCCAGACGAGGTCCCTCAGTTCGTTTCTTCTTTTCAGCATTTAACTGTCTCTGAGTAGTCTCTCGCTGTGCCCCAAGAGTTTTAGCAACTGATATGAATGATTTTACCAGCTGAAGCCCCATCAAGGAAGCAATTTGACGGTAAACTCTTGGAGGAGTGCTGATTACCATAAAATGAAGCAAATTGAATTACTTAAAAAATTCAGCAACAATTTGTATACATCATTAAAGAGAGAGAGAGAGAGAGAGAGAGAGATAACTCACCATGACAATGCTATTATGTAGTCCATGCATTTATCAAACAATACCTTATCAAACAGAGGTCCATTCTGGCATTCAACCACCAGAATGTCCCAAAATGAGACCAGGTTTTCTTTGAAGTTCTTGAATTCTTTCCTCTTTGTACTTTGATAATCTTCAACTTCTCCCTAATTATTCCAGAGAGAGAGAGAGAGAGAGAGAGAGAGAGAGAGAGAGGGGTTAAGAAAATAGTCTAAGCACAAAATCTGAAATGCAAGGTTTAATAAATTGTTTAATTGAATTTCCACAAAAGTATTCTGCAAAGAGATTTCAATAATTAAGGATCAGGAAAGGAACAGAAGTATAAGATACTTTTCTAGCGAGATTGACAAGAGCAACCACAACATCATCAACGTCGGTCTCATCAAGCAACTCTTCCTTGATATGAAATTTAGCTCCACATGCCTGTATAGTGCACATGCTATTAGTACAATATCAGAGGGAGAGTCAAAGAGAAATCATAGTGACTATGAAATTCCCAAAAAAAGGTTATTTCTCTCCTAGTGAGTGAGGATTTTATTGCCATCTATAATTCTTTTATGTTACAGGGCCACATTTATATCTCTAGTTTTTACTTTGTCTTCCAATTAAATGATGTTTTCACATTAGTGTCTTCATTTCTCTTCTTAGAATGAAATAGGTTTTCACTTTTAAAATTACCTCAAACAGCATGGTCAAGAGTTCAACCATTGCAGGTTTTGGATCCTTTTCATATTGCTCAACCCAAAGCTTCACCACTTGAGGAATTTGTTTCCCATTACCTTTGATAACCTCTACAGGAAAGTTATCAACATGCAAAGAAAAGAAAATTGCAACGGGTGAAAATGCTTAGCCAAAAACATCTCAGAAAAATAAAACTAATCGAGAACCCATTTCAAGCACGACAATGACATGATAATGCATCGAGTTAAAATAATTAATTAGCAACCAGCATTTTTATAAAAGGAAAATACTGCATGTCACATGCCTATGTTGAGTGGTAGTGTAGGAATTCAGATCTGTTCTACTTGGTCAGTATTGCAGCAGAATTTTCACTTGAACTAGCAATATTGTTATAATTTCCACCCCAGCAACAAATCGACAAATAAGCATCAGTTGTCTATGAGATTACCTCCTGGTTTTCCTTTTTATATTACCACAACACTCTCCATTTCGCTAAGATCATATTATTGTATGGGAAAAAAAAATGCTACAGCAAATACAAACCATTTCTAGTCCACAATAATTTGAATTTACTGTCTATGGATAAACGAGTGGAAAAACAAGTCCTCAGATATTATGACGACAGAAGGAATATTCATAATATATACCATTCAACAGAACACTATTAATGGTGATTTAGTTTTCCAAAAGACATGCTCGCAAAATCAAGTATTCGACAATTTAGATTCCCGCTTCCAAAACCAGGAAGCAAGTCTCTAACTAGTGATTTCCAGTCATAATTTAACATAAATTTGAAATTTGAACGAATCCGCAGTCATATGGTTTATAAATGTAATAAAAGTAAGAGCTACACACCAATCAAGCTCTGGTCAAACTTTAGTGTTTCTGGAGCTTTACTCCGTTTAGCTTTAGGACGGACCTCATCGAAATCGTCGGGAGAAGCCTCTCGTTCCGTCTGGTTTGGGCCATCGTCACTTGCATCGCTCGCTCTTTCGTAGTTCTGAAGTTGAGCTCTACTCCTCTTCTGTTCACAGAAAAACAGAAAAAGAAGAGTTCGAATTATGGGCTAATAAGAAGATGCAAGTTTAGAAAGAAAAAATTGAGACTCACCGGACGGCCACGGGAAGTTTCGGGGTCTTGGGGTGCGTCGTCCATGATCTAGGGTTTGAGTTAGAGTAAAAGGAGAAGAGAAAGAGAGATTGAAGTTAGAATGAAAAAATTGCGGGAGAAAGGGGAGAGTAAGCGAGTGAAATTTGATAGGAAGAGCGAAACAATTGCCGAAGTTTTGCAGAAACAGAAATGGAAAAATAAAATCTCCCGCCAAATGAATTTATATCCGCCTTTTTTTTATGAGATTTTGAGCGTTGCGATGGCAGAGCAGAATACTCTCATCTTGTGTTGCTTGTGTTGTGTACGTGTCCGTGTCCTCTAACTTCCTCCACAGTTCCGTTTGCCTAGTTTGATGCTTATTAGTTTTCTATTTTTTTCTTTTCTTGTACATGTCATTACCACTTGTACCCTTTGATAATTTCTTTTTCTTGTACATGTCATTACCACTTGTACCTTTGATAATATATATATATATATATATATATACAATATATAGTATTTAATAAAAATGGTTTTTTTAAATATTTTAGTATATTAATAAAAAAATGGTTTTTAATATTTCGAAAAAAAAAAAAGATTTATTAATTTGGGTCCAGACTCAATTTATTTGTAGTCTATATTCGAGCCGAGTTAAGCGTAAAAATTTCTGTCGTAGCATCCCAACAAATCAAGTCAAATTTGAACTTTTCAATCCACCTCATGTGTATACTTTCTATTATTAGAGCTTAGTGGCAGCCCAGCTTGATTTAGTTAGTGGCTTCAGGGCAAAACCAACCTGAACACGAACGGATCTGGATCCATGGAAATCAAATCATTTTGTCAATTGCAGAAACCTAACAGAGTGTAACATCCTGATTATTTAATTACCTAAACAAGTCAAACAACAAAAACAGCGTGATTTCAGCAGAAGATGAAGATAAATGTGAAACCATTGACCATCAGATACTAAGATACTTGAATATAGATAAATAAACACCGAGTACATATAGACATTGTATAATTTAAGATGCAGGGACACAGAGCCCTTCTTGGCCACCAAGCAGCGCAGGAAATCAATAACAAGTTTGCTCTAGGGCCCCAAGTAAGAATGCATAATCGCAATTTTGTAAGTCACAAGAGACAAGATTTCTGCCCAATAAAATGTATCAAGCAATTCAAGAAGTAGCCATGGACTCAATCAGGAGTTGGTAACCTTCTGGTACTGTCGTCTGTGTTTGCACACACTCTGCCAATGCTGGAACATCACTAATATCCAGAAACTTGGCTAGAAACAACAGCAGATGAAAATCAGAAATTCTTTTCACGAATGGAAGATTCTTTGTTCGATCCAAATGAGTCTTCAGTGCCCTCACTGTCACTTGGGTGATCCTGTTCTCAATGGGAAAGGAAGATGAAAGAGGACCCTGCATTCAGAAAGCAACAAAAATGGTTACCCAAGCAATCGAGAACGTGCAAAGCAAACAATATCACCCAAGCAAGAGAAAATCATCCAGGATTGGGGTGTTAATGTTAATGTCTTAGGGAATCACAATGTTAAGGTAAAGAAAGAGGAAGAAATGAGTGAACAATTATGCAATCAAATGTGAAAAATATTAAGTATTAACTCAATACTGTCTTTCTGCTTTGTTCTATATCCCCATCAAGACTACGGCTTCCTACCGTGATAAATATGAGAAAAAAAGTGTTGCAAACTCATGGTATTCTAAAGTATTATACTACAATAGAAAAGCATAATCTTAGCTTTGACTGAGAAAAAAAACTTACTCATAGAGAAAGCGCCTGACTGTTCAAAAGTATACATGTGAAGTTTATCTGACAACATGATCCCATTGGACTATCCCACAAAATGCCCACTGGAGTATATGTCATTGGTTTTCATGTGGTGGACCACTTCATTTGTGCACTTTCTACATTGAATAGATGAATAACACGGAATTTCAACTTCATACAGTTGATGGGCCAAATTTACTATTCCAACCTCCTTGTCAATCTATAAGAGTGTCATCACTATGCAACCAGGGGATTGATCCTACAAACTAAATTCACGCAATGGAAACAATACTCATTTCCCCCTTTTCCACTCAGAGATAATGGACAAACAACTCAATTTTTGACATGTATTTCAAGGTAACTAAGAAGAGAACAAAAGGCACACTGCTCACTCCATACCACTAGTAAATAGATGTATTCAAATCTGATATGTAGAAATGCAAGGATGAGTGGAAATGCAAAAGACTGCTTTTGTTCTATCAAATTCTTAAAATATTACAGCCTTGCACTTCTTTATTTCTTCGACACAATCAATTTCCAAGGCACATGTCATTATATAGCTAGATAAAATGCCTCAAGCAACATCACTGGTATTACTTGCCATCCCTCATATGTTACTCCCTTGGCTTGGAGGGAAAAATAAAAGTTGAGGCCAAAGTAACAAATTTGACGGAACACTGTTTCACAACTAAATTACTAGAAAGCTCAAGTGAATAAGCATTATTTCTAGATATTGGATATTTCTAGTTTACATCAGTATTCATTAAATCCTCATGGGTAAATACTAAATACTAGGTACACCTCAAGGATCAACATTCAGTTTGATTTAGCATATAATAGAAATATAATTGTAACAGCACAGCATGCAGGTACTTACACAAACATATGCCCTAGCTATCGGTGTCATATTTAGGTTCCCAAATTGTTGCATCTTTCTATGGGTCACAATTAAATCAGGTGTCCTAGCTACTTTACATACCATGAAAAATAATTGAATCAGTCACAGGATATTAGCAGCAAACATCAGCTCCTAATGCCTCGAAATATTACAGTCTTGCTAGATTTTGCCATTATTTCACCCCTCCCTCCCTGTGTTTCTCAGCTAGTTCAAATACCCACCTTTGCCAAAAATGAGGATTATATCGCAGCTCAATCTGAAGCAAGCCGCATGAACATCAGACAAGGTTCGTTCTGAGGCGACCAACTTGATCTATCTATATTATAATTGATGGAAAATCATATAATATTTCCAGGTAACCTATCCTGCATTAACCGTCATTTTTCCCAAGCTACAAGTCAAAGGGTCATTCAAGCAAAGAATGCAACTGACGGTACATCAAACCAAGAAAGTTCAATCAATAATAATCGTCAATCCTACAAATGTTTAATCAAGCACAACAAAATCAACCACAAAGTAGAACTCTGACAAGGACCAAGATCATAAAATGCACAAAGCGAAACAGACAAGAATAACGTACCTGGTGATCCAAAATCTTAACCACGACCAAGAAAAAATCATTATCAACCTCTCTAACATCCTTTCCTCCAACAACAACATCCTTCTTCATTTTGGACAACTTAGGATCAATATCCTCCCCAATCTCTGTCTCAAACCAATTTTCCTTAAACAGTCTAATGCACATATCACTTATCTGGAACGCCTCAAAATGAACATCAGCCACCCCATCTTCATTCACTTCCAGCTTCACCACCGCAGTAACCCACTCCTTCAGCTCACTCTCTGCATGAAATTCCGCCGCCTGCAAAACCTCTCTGTTGGATAAAGTGTAATCTTTCTTGTCCTGCGTTATAGTCTGTGTAAATATAAAGCCCACTCTCCTCATCCCTAATCCTGCTGCAATTGCATCCACCAATTTCTCTTCTTGGGGATCTCTCAAAAGCAACAGAACTTCCTCTGTGCCTTGCTGCGGTGGCTCGTATATATAATTCACCTCTACTTTCCCTTCCTCAGACACCGTTCCATACATAAACCCACCCCTTTTAACAGCAAAAGCTAGTGTCTCATTAACGTACTGCTGGAATGCATTGGCACAATCTCGATCGAACGAAACCGACTCGCAATGTGGATTTTCTTGTCTAGTAACTCGCATTTGTTTCGCGATTAAATCATCCATAGTCATCTTGCGGCCAAACGATCCAGCAGGATGAATAGCGGGTCCTGCGATGGTTCTCTCGCCTTCGTAAGCTAAGAAAACAATGGAGCCATGAGCGAGGTTGAGGGCAGAGAGAGAAGTATTGGGATCGGACATATCAGTGAATTTGAGGAGATCGGAAGGGGATTTAGCCAAAAGTAGATTTTGGTTAGTAGAAAGGGTTTGATTATGAATTGGGATTCGAAGCTGATTTTGGATTAGGGTTTTGAGCTGAGAGACGGTGGTGTTGGGGTTACCCACCGAGACGCGCTCGAGGCCGTCTCTGCTACGGATTCTAAGCATCATCTTGGTAACGTAGATGGAGAGATAGCAGCTGCAACGGCGTAAGAGGATTTTAAGGGTTTTATGGAGGGAATTGAAGAGAACTGATACTTGGAGTGCAGAGTCAGAGAAACTTTCTATGGAGTTTGCTTTCTTAATGTGGAAGACGGTGAATCGGACAAGGAAGATATAATGTTTGGCTAAAGAATGTGGGAAGGAAAACGACACCGTTGCCATGATATCTTTTTCTGGTTTCACTAGGAGTCCAGAACCCACCATGACCATCACATTACTGGGCCCTGTAACGTGTTAACCCATAATGTTGCCAGTGCTTTCGCAAAGGCTAAAACCTGTTAGGCCCAATATTAGGATTAAAACAATTTTACCACAGGATAAAACTTGTAAACACTTGGTGTATGGGGTTACATAAATGAAACCGATCCATTCTGGGCGTTTTTATTTTATTTTTTTCTCTAATAGTAAGAAAATGGGATTGATGTAATTAGACTAGAATTATGGTGCCAAATCAATAAAAATATAAATTTTTATTAAAACGAGTACATTTGTAATAATACACTAAAAAAAAAATAAAATATGTATAATTTTTTTAAAAAATTTTATTTTCATTAATTTAGTATATAAATAGGTCATGAATAGAGTCAAAGTAAGTTTTATTGGTTTGGGATATGAATCCGCGTTGACAGTAATTAATTCCTTCAAAATTATACACTCTTTTTTGTTTTTTAACAAAAGTGTCTTAGTGCTCAAATGGGAGGTGATATCTTTAAATAAAAGCTTTCCAACATTAATGACTCGAGATTTATAGTCTGAATTTTTTTTATATATATATAATTAGGAGGTTTAATCCATTAGAATATAGAGTGTGAAGATTTTTTGTTTTCCAGTAAAGTGAGATTTTTAGATATCGAATTTGTATTGTCATCCATATGAGAATTCAGATCTGTACCATTCCAACAATCATCTTATTGGTAACCCGAAAACTTTGGATTGCCTAATTTTGGACTTCAACTTTGGATAAAACCATTTACTTTTTATTGCCAGGACAAAAATTTTACAATTAATAATTTAGAAAATTCTACAATTATCATAGCTAATTAGCCATACGACAAACAATCACACAAACGAATCATAACACATACACAACAATAAATCCACAATTCAAGACATTACAAAAGAAAATAATTAATCAAGAAAATTGTAAATGCAGACAGAAAAACTCTTTCTGTCAAGAATCAAGAATTGATAACGCTGCACTTGTTCCTGATTTCCCCCTGAGTGCCAGTAAGAACCTGAATTGCTCCCATCCGTTTCATGGACTGTGAAAACTCTCTGAAGAAAACATTCGAACGAAGCAACTCTCCAGCAATTTTGCTTGCAATCTTGTTTGTTAGAAGAGCTGCGTCAGATTGCAAAAGGCCCTTGTTCTGCTTTAGAATAACGAAGTAATCATTATCGAAGGTTAAAGAGCTGTCAGGGTCCAGCTCTACAGTGGTGGTGCTGTCGGCAATACTTTGGCATTTTGTTTTCAAGAATTCAGAGTAGGTGGAGTTGAGAGTTGGATCTTGGTCGCCTTTTCCAGTGAAGTTGTAAAGCCTGTTGCTAAAGAGATTGCAATGTCCTCGTCCAATTGTGTGTCCACCTACAAGAAAATTATTCAATTATATTTGTAACTTGAATAAAAATTCCTATTCCATCTATCGTTCTTAGTATTTTTTTTTTTTTTTTTTAAATACAATTTATTCAATTATATTTTTGTAACTTGGAATAAAAATTCCTATTACCATCTATCGTTCCTTAGTTTTTTTTTTTTTTTTTTTTTTTTTTTTTTTTCTATATACAAATACCTGATAGCACGACTAAATCATGGACATTGAGTCCCTTGTTCTTGAAATTTTGCAAGAGAGTGGAGAAATTGGCGAAAGGTGAAGGAATGTTGTCAGAGACTTCGGAAGCTAGAGAAACGATGCCGTCTCTTCTGCCAGTAAGCACTGGCCACAATGGTTTTTTGAACTGCGGCAAGGGGTTTGGTTAGTTTTATATACAGTATTAGACACCAAACATGATAAGTAATGATCTTTTGCTTTTGAATTTTATACTTGTACGTCCCCTCCAAAAAAAAAAAAAATTATACTTGTACGTAGCACTATATATATACCTGGAAGGAAACCGAGTCTCTAGCAGCTAAGGCCAGGATGTCAGCACAGGATACAATTCCTGGACATGCTTTCTCTATCTCTGATTTTATCTCTTCAATAACATCAAATCCTGCCAAAGTTAGGTTTGGAATTGCATCTTTCTCCGCTGTGCTATTTGCAGTCGAATTTATTAAAATTGAACCATCACAACCCTGAAATGTCAATAAAAAAAATATACATATATTAGCATATTTGATGCTTAAAGTCAGATGTTTGCATGCATGGAGGGGAAAAACTGGTCTTACCCTGAGAAAACAGTCATGAAAATGCATTCTCAATAGCTTAGCAGGCAAGTTAGGGTTGCTTGGGACATGGTTCCAGGTGATGTTTCTGACAATTTCTTCAGCTTGAGGACATGTCTTTTGGTAGAATTCCTTCCTGAGACCACCCCCTCGACAAACCCCAATAACACTCAATACTACCAAGCAAACAAACACAAAGCTAGTGATCTTCATCGTGTCTAAGCCTAATTAATAATATGAATGGTTCTCAATATTCAGCTTCTTCTAAGTAAAGAATTGGAATACATTGCTTTGGACAGCAACTACTAGTTCATTTTATACTTGTCTAATGGCATATTTCCATCTAAACTTCCAGATAAGCAATGGATATATATTTAATATGAAAATGATTATTCGAGGGTGGTTGAATTTTAACTCGGTTTATGACTTTATATTATACAATATAAGTCCATGCATCAGCCACGACCTATTTCTTTTTCAGACTAATGATAAGTGTTCTTTCAAGACAATTATTAAAAAATTAAAAAAACAAAAAAAATAAGTAACTACCATCTCAATCTATTCTGCTATGATCGATTATCTATACACAGAATGAGGATATATGAACCTAAGCACGCAATATACGATAACTCATTGCAGCTAGGCCAGGCTTCTTAATGGAAAATACATGCATCTTTTTTTTTTTTGTATGTGTGTGTTGGGGGGTGCACGCTGTGGAGGGAGGACTTTGAAAATTTTGAAGTGTTTGCAAATCAAAATCAAATGTATTTTCGTTAATCTTTCACTAAAGTCTTATATTAATTCAATTAAAATAAGAAATTTTCAAAACTATTAGCACTTTATTATATTTTTCTCGTATTTTTCTCGTATGATAAGAAATATCATCATTTCAATAAAGTTTTATTCATAGTTAGAATCATAAACTCGATCTAGATTTTTCATAAGCATTTTCATATCCGTTTTGAATTGTATAACTTATAACATTAATCTCGTTTCAGAATTTATAACTGTCTCTCCCTATAATTGAGTGTCTAGTTGTTAATCATCAAACTTTAACTTTAAACCGGTGTTCTTGGCACCAATCAATGTGAACAACCCATGTATTTAACTCCTCATATTCATCTAGCACGTTATTGCAAGGGCAAGTCGACCTCTAATTATAATTAATCGTGCATAATCAAAAGAAACAGCAAAAGTCAATGTTGCATACAAGTAACAATATTCTCCTTTGCACATGGCTACTGTGATTTTCAAATGGTTTTTTTAATCCAATTATTAGCTTAATCTTTCAAGTTTCAACTTATTATGTTTGGCTAAGTTCGATAAATTAATTTATTCCAATGATTGGGCTACAAGCTATACTTGTGTAATAGTTCCTTAACTCTTGCCGTAGAACTTGTGTCTTAAAAGCCTGATGACAGGCAGAGTAGGCCAAAAATTGATAATATCATAAAATGGTTGTCTTAGCTTCTGCTTCTATTATTCTAATCTTTGTTTAATTTCATAATTATAGTTAATTATACATGATTTCCAAAACTGCTTTTCTTTTTCTTTTTCTTTTTTTTATTTAAGAGATTGCCTCCCATGATTGTAGAGGTTTATCATACTACATGTCAATTTTTAATTTTCTTACGCGTTTGACATTAGTTGGCCATGACTTAGGAGTGGAATTTATTTTTCCATTTAAAGAATTGGAGAATGGACAAAAAAAAATTAAATATCTAATTATTTATTCTTCCTTCATTCCACTTTAATAGTAATAAATAAACATTTTCCATTATTCCACTTTGAATAGTCATTTAGAATTTTGAGGCTATAAATTAATTGTGATTTTCTAAGTTTACCCATATTTATTATGTGTAATTCATTTTTATTTTTACATTTAATAAATGGCAATTTAAACATTTTACTATATATTTTTAGAAAATTAATGAATTTCAATCATTTTCTTAATTCTTATAAAATAAGCAAATATTACTATTAAAGTGAAACGGATGGAGTATTTGTTATCCAATGATTTTTTTTTTTTTTTTTTTTCTTAATTCTTATAAATAAGCAAATATTACTATTAAAGTGAAACGGATGGAGTTATTGTTAATCCATGATTTTTTTTTTTTTTTTTTTTTTTGAGAAGAAAATTTCTATTATGCTTTGGTGAAAATTGTAATGAACAAAAAAAAATATGTATCAAAGTTGAAGAAAACAAAAAATCATTTATACATGATAGAAAATTATGGGAAAATCATTGAAAAGATGTATAGTTTTGTCAGCCCATGCAATCGCAATCAAGCAGAGACTGGATTGCAAGGGCCCATTTTTTCTCCGCATCTGGGCTCATCATTTTATTCAAACAGTACACATAAAAAGGAAAAAAAAAAATAAATGGAACAAATAAGGGAATAAATATTTTTTTTACTAAAAAAATAAAACAAAACAATAATAATGATTGAAGTTTTTTTTTGAATTAAATCTAACTGTTATTGAAGGTATGAGAAATGAAGACTGATGTTTTTAATTTAGTAAAAATAAAAATTTAAGGGCTTAATTTTAACATAATAAGAAAATCTCAGTCAACTTCAATGTGCAGTTTAGCAATGATGACTAACACTGTCTAATTCTCCAAGTAAGAACTTAATTAAAGGTCAACACAATTGATACTGACGTTGATGCGTCCCACATCGTCCGCGGAGTACATTCTAGACTAGTGTATAAGGCTGGATTCAGTCCTTTTTCCTCTACGAGCTAGCTTTTAAGGCGAAATTAGGGGTCCAGTCCCTTATCAAACATGCACACTCTATGAGTAATGTAAGATTTCGAAAGCCTACTAAAAAAATATAATTAAAGGACAACAAAATAAACATAGATTTAGTTGATTTTAAAATAAAAATTTCAATTTGTAAATTTTATAAAATTATAGGGATTAAATAATTATTATTTCTTGATAAAAAACTGCATACTCTAGCAAAAGTAAAATTAAAATTTGAAGAGAAAAAACCAAAAAAAAAAAAAAAAACCAAAAAAAAAAAAAAAAAAAAAAAAAAAGAGAGAGAGAGAGAGAGAGACGAAAGATACAAATACAATCAAAGAAAGGAATGGAAAAGGACAGAAAAGGGACTGGCCATTAGCCAGTAGGAAGGCTCAGTAGCAAGCAACCAACGATCAAATGCTCAGAGATCTGAAAGTGCATTCGAAATTCAAATAGTGGCTTCTCTGGAGGGAATATCTCATTTAATGCCCATTGGCTACTATATGCGGGGCCCCGTATCGTATGGGACCCACATGGAAATATTTGCCGGTTGCGCTGGTCTGCCATTTTATTTATTTATTTATTTTGCTTTTAAGGGGGCCAAAAATTGATGAGGAAGTAAAACAGAGATCCACACAGTAACAAACGACAAAGATCGAATGCGGTCCGCTCCTTCTCGATTTCATGCACTTGGCTCCCAACTTTCCTTTTTTATACTATTTGCCCACAAGTCTATCGCGAAAATGCCCTTCTTTTAATAGTATTAATTGATCCATTGTAACACGTAACACTATAATAAACATGTTCCATATAATGATTATTGCGAGTCGCAAACTAGACTTTTTCATGTCTTTAAATGAGCTTAAATGCAAAAATCTCAATAGCAATTTTAAGATCATCATCATTTTGTAATTTAAAATTTTAGAAAGCCTACTATTTAAAATTTTCAATTTTCAAACATACACTTAGATAACAAAAGCACCAATAAAAATAATTCTACTAAGAAACAAAAATCATAAATACTAAAATTTAAACATATACATAAAATTTTTTTTTTTAACAATAGCAACACAAAAAAAAAAAAATGTAGATAAGGAGTATTGCCAATTTGTGAAAATGACACACTTATGGCCAATTATTGCAGAGTAAGAATCAATGATGTACACGAAATTCATATTGTAATAGAATCATGGATGTACCATATAAATTATATTAGACCGACAATAATTTAACCGAATGGTTAAATCTTAAACTTGACTGCAATATCGAGTCGTGGAGTTAGTATTTTGAAGAGGATTCTAAACATAATTGATTTTCGATCCGAAATGAATTAATCTTTTCATTCAACCATTAAACAGAATATAAATGATATATTTTGTGACTAAAAAAGAAAAAACATAATTAGTAATTTAGAACGATAGATTAATTAATTAAATTTCTTTTTATATTGGCAATTTATCTCAAAGTCACTGTACTTATTGAAAAAAGACAGTTAAGAGAAAGTACAGAAAAATACAAATGAAAATAGTATTGAATAAAAACTAAAAGGGAAAGAGGAAGGAAGGAGGGGAGGAAGGAAGGACAACGTTGTTGTGAATTTTTAATTTTAAATTATCTTTTATTGTATGATTTATAATTACGTATTCCTATTCACTCATAATTATATAAATTGATGAATATAAAATATATTAGTTTTTTTTTTTTTTTATTCATTGGAGGCTTTTTATTGGCCAAAATAACACACAGTAGAGGCAACTCTCTCATTGGCTTATCAAATTGAAAACCAACCGGACCATCATCTAATTGGCTTAAAATATATTAGTATTTAATAGCAGACACCGACATTAAAATTGGCTCCTCCAACTAGTTGTGATTCAAAAGAATTAAAAAGTTGCTTTTTAATTATTTTGTATTGTTATAAATATCAAATAAATGTGTTATATATTTATTGGCAAAAAAAAAGTTGAAGCATGTCGGTTAGTTTCTAATAAAGTGCAAGGGCAGCTCACCTATAAGTAATAAAAAAGATATTGTCATCTCGTTGAAATTGCAAGAGAATCCAATGTCTTAGATGTTGAAAATGAAATGTTCATGAGACCACATTTTTTTAAATATTTTAGTAGATTTTTAGTTTTAGATTTATCTTTTCTATTCATTTTTATTTGATGTTAATTTTAATTTGTCGTTTAAGATAGATTAGTAAGTAGAATTTTCTTTAATTTGATTAACTGCTATATTTTATTTCACATAATTATTTAATTTTCAATAATTCTTAGTAATTTGCAGCTAAAAAGAAGTGACTTAAATAGTAAAATGCACTTTGAATTCAATATATCATATTTTAATAAGTTGGAAAAATATTTATTTGGAAGGGCAATTACCATCTCTAAAAACAATTAAATTAAATGGTAACAAACACTTTTACCCGCACTACGATGTGAGCTTGCTACTGTATTTTTGTTTATTTAATGGTTGTTTTATTTATATTTTTTTAAAAATATTTTATTCATATAAATCTGCATGTCTTCATCTATTTTACTAATAGAAAATTTATTCCATCAATGCAAGTAAAATCATATTTTGAATAATATTTAAAATAATTTTATAATTTATTAGGGTATTATGCTCTCATATTTATTTATATTTTAATATTAAATGATTTTTTAAGAAAAATGTAAAATTCACACTTACTTTTTTTATCATTTCTTGCCATGAAAAAAATATCGAATCCAAAAAAAAAAAAAAAAAAAAGTCTGCAACAGAGACTGATCTTTTTCATGAGTGAGTTTCTTGCCATGCTTAAAAAATAAATCGATCCCAAAAAAAAAAAAAAAAAAAAAAAATTTGTGTTCCTCAATTTCTCAAAATTTATCTATCTAGTGATATAAATTTTTAATACTCTATCAATTTACCTTCATAAATTGCTCATGAATCTTTTAGTTCTAGTAAAAAAAAAAAATTTACTTAAAGTGAAAAAAATTAAAAATAGTCAATAGAACAATAATAATTTAAAAAGTTTAAAATTTATCTAAGATACATAACTTATTTAAAAATGGCTAAAAAATGGCTTATGAAAAAAAATTGGTGGTAATTAATTAGACCAATGAAATTAAAATAAAATATATGTTAATATGGGAAAACGACAAACACCAAATATGTCATCTTCAGTCCAAGAGAAAGATAAATCTATGTATATTACAAAATTCATTTATAGGGATAGAATAGTCAAAACATAAAACTCTAGGAATAGTAAAAATAAAATAAGATAAAAGGTGATAGTTTAAATGACAATTCACTGTAAAAAATGGTAAAAGTAATTATTTAGTGAATTTGATTTATGAAAATTTAAACTTATCAGTTATATATAAATGAAAAAAAATTAAACTAATTATCATAAAATTTAAATTAATAATACTAAATGTTAAGGTAACTTATTTATTAAAAATATTAGATTAATTTAATTTACATTGTGAAAATAATGGAGAATTAAGTACGTGGCTATATGAGTGTTAGAAAGACATTAAAGTGATGAAGTTCGAAAAATATTATTTAGTAAATATGACAAAGGGCAAAATGGTAATAGTATGAAAAATGATGTGGTTTTTGTGGAAAAATACTATTCATAGAATAGTGTTTTTAGGATTTGTGTTATTGTGTGTAAATATATATATTTTGTTGAATAAATAAATAAATTCTAAAATAATTTATTTATGGAAAGTAGTGTCAGCAACTCGCAGGTCAACAAAACCAAGGGCACGAGAAAATGGAAGTGAGTTCTGTGTTCTAGGCAAATACTCAAAACGACGGAAGAATAACCCAATTCCGTTTCCCTTTAATCACGCGAAAGACCTAAAAAGGACTTATCATTATTGGAAATATCAAAGTTGTTGTGATTTGATGTTCTTCTCCAAACCCCAACGGTCCCTTTCCTTTCTTCACCAATTCGAATTGCCTTTTTAAAACAACCAACCAAACAGGTACTTAGTTGCTGTAGTTTGGAAAAGACATTATTATCTTATCTATCTAATAAAATAAAAACACATGCTTGCTTATAATTTCTTTAACCCAACCCAGCTTCCTTCCATGCCCCACTTTGCATCTTCCTCTTATAAACCCCCAAACCACCATTGCTAAGGAATACAAGATCAAGATCAGGAATATAAACCCAAGGCTTCAATGTACATATGGGTTTCTTTGTTTTTTTTTTTTTTTTTTTATTTTTTTTGATCCAACTAGTAGTCTGGATCTATTCCGATTCGTTCGGAGACAGGACATAATCCTGCATCAAGCCTCGGGTTAATCAACAATTATAACATATTAGTCTTTTTCATTTTTTAAATTAGTCTTATTTCTTATTTTAGAAGAGAATGATTTTGTACTTATAGACTTTTATCTATCGATTGAATACAATAACAATTAATTATAGGCTGACCCCTATATTACAATTTCATAAACTTTAATATACTTTATTTTACACATGTTAATAATATTAGGAAACTCAATAAATTAAAGTTAAATTAATTGTTAAATCCAAGTTTGGAGGACATGAACTTTTTTCTTTTTTTTTTTTTTTTTTTTGATCACTAGTGTCTGGATTCTATTACCGGAGACCGACTAATCCTGCTCAGGGTTTAATCACAATTAAACATATAGTCTTTTTTTTTTCAATTTTTTTAAATTAGTCTTATTTCTATTTTTAGAAGAGAATGATTTTTGTACTTTACTATTATATCCTTATCGATTGAAATAAATAAAATTATTATGGCTGTACCCTATATTAACAAATTTCATAACTTTAATTACTTTTTTTCATGTTATATTAGGAAAAAACTATAAATTTAAAAAAGTTAAATTAATTGTTAAATCAAGAAAATTTGGAGACATGAAATTTTTAAATTTGAATGAAGTCATTCAAACTTTGACAATCATGGAGTAAGTATAGTGTAGATTTAATTTGATTGGATTTTAAAACCCTAATTAATTATGATAGTAGTTGTGATTAGTTATTTGCAATAATAATTTTCATGGTATCAAGCATGAATAATTAAAGAAGTAGCAGATTTTAAATGGGTAATTAATGCAACAATAATGGCCTTCTTGATAAAAACCATCAAATTGGAAGGACAAAAATGTCCAACAAAGAAGATAAAGTGAAAAGTCCATTCAAAATTTTAAAACGAGTGGCCGTTTGAACACCAACTTCAAAGAGCTTCAAACTTCAAAAACCCCCCTCTTCTCTTCAATGCCATCTTCTCATAGCCCGAACCTGAAACACAAAAATAACTTCGTTACACTAGACAGAGCCGGAGAGCGAAACAAACTCGTATTTCATATAAATTTAGAGAGAGAAAGTTATGACAGGACTTGTAATGGTGACGAAGGGAGGTGTTAGGGGAACACCAAAGGGAACAAAAGGAACCGAAGAAGAGCAAAACCAGTTTTCTATGGTGGCCATTCTCTTAGCAGCTATAAGGAAATCGCTAGTGTCTTGTCGTTTTGAGGAGAGAGAAGATGTGATTCCTACTGTTCATCATATGGAGATCGGTTGGCCTACTAATGTTCAACATATAACTCATGTGACTTTTGATCGTTTCAATGGGTTTCTGGGTTTGCCTGTTGAGTTCGAAGTCGAGATTCCTTGTCGAGTCCCAAGTGCTAGGTAGATATAAATCTCCTTTTCTTGTTATTTAGTGCCTTGTTTCTTACATGAACTGGGTTTTGCTTAGAATAATTTGAACGTACTTGTTGTTGAGGGGGATTAGATCTGACGAATAGCAAGGAGCAAGTTGTGTTTGTTTTAATACTTTCTTAAAACATAAAGAGAGTTTTGAAAAATGATCTGAGATTCTGAATTGAATTTGAACTAATTTTCTCTCTATTTTTTTTTCCTCAGTTGTTGTGGATGTTAGCCCGCCTGTGGCTACTGAAAAAATATTGGACTAGATTACTAAACCCCAGTTACAAAATCTAGCTTTATGAAGTGAAATGAACTTCATTTGTTTCTTAACTCAAGCATATTCAAGTAGCATAATTTGGGTGTGATTAATCTGTAGGAAAAATTCTCTTTTCTTCCCACTATGAGTCCTTTTGTTAACTTATTAAAGTTGTAGAATTTCGACTGTTTTTGTTCCCCAATTCTTTTCTCACTTGGTTGGCAGTTGAAGTTATTGGACTTAGCTCAATTCTGGTTCTTGATGAGTTCTATAAAATGGAGATTGATTTAGGATGTTTAATGTCCCATCTGAGTCAGGAAGAATACCCAAAAATGTTTGTTCTCAGATTTCTTGCTTTGTTCAATTTCAATTCAACTGGGTCGGATGTACTGATTTATGCTGGTTATTTTTGTGTATATTTTTTCTACAAGGCTTTAACTTCATGCATTACATTTTGCAGTGCTAGTGTGTTTGGCGTCTCAGCAGAATCCATGCAATGCTCTTTTGATTCAAAAGGAAATAGTGTCCCAACAATTCTCTTGCTAATGCAGGATAGGCTATACTCTCAGGGAGGTCTAAAGGTATTATTTTTCAGCTTCCGTTGAAATTATAAGTGTTATGTTACCTTGAATGAATAGCCTTACAGTTTATATTTTTGGCATGGTTTCTAGGCAGAAGGGATTTTTCGCATAAACCCAGAGAATGGCCAGGAAGAGCATGTGAGGAGCCAGCTGAACAGGGGCATTGTGCCTGATAATATTGATGTACATTGTTTAGCAGGCCTTATAAAGGCCTGGTTTAGAGAGCTTCCTTCAGGGGTGCTGGATGGGCTTTCTCCTGAACAAGTTCTCCAATGCAACACAGAAGAGGAATCTGTTGAGCTTGTGAAACAACTAAAGCCAACAGAAGCTGCTTTGCTCAATTGGGCCATTGACCTCATGGCTGATGTTGTTCAAGAAGAAGATTCCAATAAAATGAATGCTAGAAATATAGCAATGGTCTTTGCTCCCAACATGACTCAGGTACAAATTCATTGTTACATTTCTTTCTTGCTAAAGGAAAATTACACAGGATACTAGTTTTGCTTTTTAAAGCAAGAACGTCAGTAGGTTTTGATTTTTTTTCCCCAAATATAATTGATGGTATTCCCTCCTTTTTCCTTGATCAGATGTCTGATCCTTTGACAGCACTGATGCATGCTGTACAAGTAATGAATTTACTCAAGACTCTAATTACAAAAACATTGAGAGAACGCGAAGAGACTGCAACTGGAGGATATTCACCTATGTCATCTCATTCATCTAGTAGGCAAACTGATGAGGATTTTGAAAGTCAGCAAGAGATGGATACCAGCTGTGAGCTGAGACAGGAACCATCAGAATATGATGATGATCATGCTCATTACAACCCTCGTAATGATGATGATGAGGATGAAGTTGAGTCATTGAGTGAGATAGAAGAATGCTTCTTGAGGCAATTAAATGAGAATAAAAGTGGCTGCAATATTTTCTTCCAGAAACCACCAGATGATTTACCCAGAGAATTTCCAAATCCCAGAATTTTCTTAGGGTTTAAAACGGAATCTGGCATCTCATTTACTGGTAGCAAAAGTGAAAGTTCTAGTTCAGCTACAAGTGATGGAGAAGACTCCAGGGCAAATATGATCGCTGCAGGACAAGAAATTGATAGGAGAAGCCCATCAAAAGAACAAGAAAACTCTGATGATGTGGATATGGTCGAGAAATTAGACGTTACCATCTTGCCTATACAATCCTCCAGCGAATCCGTTTGACTCAGTTTTAATTCTTGAAGCGCCTAGGAGAATACTTCATTGCAGATTTTGGTTTGCTCCCTCAGAGTGGTTACATTTGTACATTAACACTGGATTAACTGTGTGAACTTTGCTTGAACTAGGTTTTGGAGGATTCAGTTGTCGTCGATTGTTAGAGAGTCATGGTTCAGCTTTGGGCTGAACTTGTGCTTGTTTAATGAGTTTCAGCATGGAGCTGAAAACTCGCTGTCGATGTCTTAGTAATGTGGATTTCTAACCTTGACATTCTTAGGCTGCAATGAGTCATGTACCCAAGTCTTAATTCCTTGTCTTTATCAAACAGATATGCAGAAGTCTGTGATGCTGAATTCCTGTTTAGCTTCATTCAACTTTATCTAGAAATGACGGATATTACATGTTATATGTGTTTGATTTGCAAAAGCTGTGTGGTCCATGTTTCGGTTATTGATAAAATTAGATTATCATCTGTGCCTTAAAGTCTTGGAATTCTTGGAGTTGAATTATTCATGTATAAATTCCATTTGCAGGTCTCTATCAAAAGGTTACTCGGAAGTCTTTGTAATGCTCAATTCCTACATAGATTTTGTTGAATTTTATATGGAAGTCATGCATGTTCCAATGTGGTTTTTTTTTTTTTTTTATCTCCTTGGTAGTATCTCCAATTTTAACGGTTAGACAATAGATTAATCCATTTTAAATTTGGAGAGTGATCATATTGCTATTGACTCTATGGCCTCATCCTATGGTGACATTTAATGCGTTTCAACCAATAAACAAAGTTAACTCAGCACATTTTGATAAAAATATACGTTTTGCGTTAGAATTTCTGCTTTGGATTCCATTCTTATGATTTCCTTTTATATCAATTTTATGGTTTGGTTGGCAGTATTCGATCAAAGGGAATTCTGATAGACACTATTAACTTAGTGATCAAGTCTTTGTTTCAGTAATTAGAAATGACAGTTCGAAATACTCATCATTTCTTTGCTTTAAGGAATCTCCATGTCCCCCCAAATTAAATTCAAATAGTTTACCTTTTAGTTGAGTTAGTTAAATGGGTTCTTAATCAGAAAATTAAGCAAACACAAAAAGGGTATGCATGTTCAATATTTTTTATTTTCTGGCATAAGAATAGTTTAGATCTGAATTTGGTTTTTTAATTTGTTCTGGCAAGCAAATTTGCGAGGGAATATATTTACTTCCGTCCTTGTCTACATTTTATTACTCTCAGCGAGATAGTGGAATCTGATCCCATCAAGATCTACCATTAACAAGTTTTGTCTTATAGTCTCTGTTCGTGCTTAAGGACGATAAAAAAAATATCCAAAGATTTTTCCCAACTTTTGCAAGATAGAGGATTAAAGATAATGAGATTTCTATATGGGTTTTATTTGAACGTAAGCTCTCTCCGATTTTCAAACTTACTTTGGAGGTATGGTTCTCGAAAAGTTGCTGCTTTGGATGCTTTGATGGTTGCTGCTGTAAGTGTTACTCTTTCCTCTCCCTCTTCAATAAACTCCTGAGATAAATCAATAGAACAGTGATTTATTTTAATCCAACTTAATTAGTCTCTTTAATTGCATTCTCAGAGTAAGAACAAAAATAATTTATTATTATTTTGATACGAAAGAAAATAAAAAGAATTGTTGCTCAAATACAAGCAGCAAATAACCTGGAGAACAAAAAAATGAACCTCAGAAATGGAAAGGAATGATATAGCATATAATTAATATTCGCAGATTCAAACTTCCACAAATTACTAGTAAGCAGCAAGAATCAATATTAATATGTACAATTGTGTTATCCATCAAGGATTTGAACTGTGCTTGACCTCTTCTTCCTATCTTTTCTCAGACCAGGGAAGCTATGAAAAAATTGATTAAAAAAAAAAAAAAAATACTAAAGCCCCAGAAAATAGAGAATAAGGCGGAGGAAACAGAAATCAAGAGGCCAAACAAGTCTCCCAAAAGAGCTTGTTCTTCTCCTTTTCATTCATTTGCTCATTATCTGATTCATCAACAGAAACACGTGATTTCTGATTTACTGATAACCCATCACTCCATTTTTGACAACCATCGACCTTAATCTCTTCTTTTTCCTGCTCTTGCTCTTCCTTGATATTATTCTTATTATTATTAACATTTGAATGAAGAGGAGGTTCTTCTTTAACTTCACAGCCATTGAAATCCCCAACACAAGAATAATAACAACAATAATATGATACATCACAACTGCAAGATTCTGCGTCGTCATCATCATCATCATCATCATCATCAACAGAAGCAATATCTTTACTGGGTTTGTTGTTTGGATCAAAATCAACTTCAGAATCACCAGAGGCTTCTATCAAGAAACAAGAAGATAAATTACATTTTTTTGAATCCATTTTCTTGGTGTAGAAAGACCAGAAATTTTCCATGAGTTTGATAGTTTCAGGCAGACTTTCAAGCTGAAGATTTTATTACTCTCTTAAATGATAATGGCTCAAGTCTTTATATAAAAACATTTCAAACAAAAAAAAAAAAAAAAAAAAAAAAAAAAAATCCATTTTCTTGGGTACGAAAGAACCAGAAATTTTCCATGAGTTTGTGAAATAGTTTCAGGCAGACCTTTCAAAGCCTGAAGATTTTATTACTCTCTAAATGATAAATGGCTCAAAGTCTTTATATATTAAACATATTCAAATTTCAAACAAAAAAAAAAAAAAAAAAAAAAAAAAAAGAGGAAGAAAATATTACTTTTTCTTTCTTGAAAGATGAATATTAATTAGTTAAAACATGGCAAAGGAGGAAGGCTCCAAAAAGAGATCGCAAATGAGACAACAGCATACAGTATGTGTCTAATCTTCTAGAAGGATTGATAATTATAGGCAATTTAATTAGATGGATTAATTATGGGGCATCCTAGAAGCGTAATTTAAATATCCCGTAATACAGTAAGCTGACGTGTCAATCTGACATATTTGGTACTTTAAAAATTTAATTAAAAAAGTTGAGTCGCTGTAACTTGTAGTATATATGTTAAATAGTATAAAAAAAGGAAATATTACTATTTATTTCATGATATAGATTAGTCACATTTACTACACTAACTTTATTCTTTTAAGTCGAAAAAAAAAAAAAAAAAAAAAAAAAAAAAAAAAGAGGAAGAAAAATATTACTTTTTCTTTTCTTGAAAAGATGAATAATTAATTAGTTAAAACCAAGGCAAGGAGGAAGGCCTACCAAAAGAGATCCAAATGAGACAACCATACCATGTGTCTAATCTTCTAGAAGGATTGATAATTTAGGCAATTTAATTAATGGATTAATTAGGGCATCTAGAAGGTAATTAATCCCTAAATCAGTAAGCTGACGTGTCAATCTGACATATTTGGTAACCTTTTAAAAATTTAATTAAAAAGTTGAGTCGCTGTAACTTGTAGTATATGTTAAATAGTATAAAAAGGAAATATTACATTTATTTCATGATATATATACACATTTACTACACTTAATTTATCTTTTAAGTCGAAACTTAAATATTTAATTTCTATCGACGAAATGATGATAAATTACACCAATGAATATTTAATTTAATTTTATTATCATAACAAATTGTGACGTGTTAAATTAAATTGATACAACGTGTTAAATTAAATGATTGTAAAGAGTTTATGAATTAATTTATTATTTAATCGGTCTTAATTTATTACTTATGACATAAATCAGATAAAATTCAGCTTTAATTCGTTAATTTTACATGTAATCGTATTTAAAGTAATTAAACAGCTTCACACGACATCCTAAAGTAGTGACGTGGTAAAATGGGGGATAACCTCAATTCAAATCCCATATGGCACGCAATTTACTCATTCAATATTTTATTATTCTAATAATTGACTGGGCACATCGACAGCCATCAGAGCGGGTCATGGGCTACCTGCTAAAATTTTTATTTTTTTTTTTAAAAAGAAGAAATATCCGTTAAATAATCAATGAGCCAATGAGGCTTAACTTATTTTAAGCATTTATTAAAGAGAACTGCGAACACGATGCCCCTATAAATAATACGTCGACACTAAAAACGCTAGAAGTGTCAAAATCTTCTAGAGGAGGAAAACAAAATCAGGTATAACAAAAACAAAAATGTAATTTCCATATTATACCAAAAGTCAAAAATAGAGACTTGGAATATTTTTGTTTTTGAACTTTACCAAATATTATTCAATTCAATGTAATAAAAATTGACGTCAGTCAAATTGTCCAATAATGAAGCTATACCAAGTTGATATTTATTTTTGGTTTGTTTAAAGCGTGGAAGATTACCTTGTTAGAGAATTTTAACATAAAAAATTATAAAAACAAACAAGTGGCAAATAAAAATCCTGGCTTTATTTATTATCATTACTACTTGGGGTTAAATTGTATGCAACAGTCGCATCATGGATTTTCACTAATTCAACCCTCTAATCTAATCACAGATCATAAAGCACGTGTCACATCAAGTTTTTGGACATAAAGTAAAGTCATGGTCCCCTCGGCACAATAACCCAACACCCACCATTTTATTGGTTGCCATTTATTTATAGCAAACCTACCTCAATCACATGCATTTTCTAGTCACACATTGAAGAAAAATAGAGCCTTGTTCAGCTGTGATTTACGGTCTCTTCCAGCAAAAATTAAATGTTTTTTTTTATAGATATTAACAATTATTATTATTAACTGTTTGATTAATTTTTTATAAAATATTAAAAGACGATAAAAGTTATTTGATTACTCTTTTTAAAAGTGGATAAAAAGAAAAGGTATCAACAATCTTTTTCCTTACACCTAAAATATTATTATTCATAAAATTATCATATTATAATTTATTAGTCTAATTATGCTTTTAAATAAAATTTAAACTCCATAATTTTATAATTCTAAAAACAAAGACAAAAACGTCACATGGTTTTATATTATTGACTTGCGTGTTATGATATGATGTGATAAATTGTCATCATTTGCCCAAAAAGAGCAATGACGATAAACTTGTCAACCGGACTAATAAAATATTTAAAGCATTATTGGAGGCGTTTAATTGTGGTTATAGTAGAGCAGAACTCTTTTGACTGCCTTTGAATTCATCAAATCAAATGTCAATCGTTAGCGTCAGAGATCTATCACGCAAGCATTTTTACCTCGCAGTCAAAACCCTGTAAAAAGTAACCCCCACAGTCATACCACTATTTACTGTTCCACGGTCCATTGAATAAGAAAAATCAGCAACTTCTAGACTTAAAAGTCTGAAAGCGACAAGGACGTTGGAAGCTAGAACTTCTTTTAAACGTGGCCAAATCTGATATAAACGACAGGCTAACCATGGATAAGTTCGTGCCGCTATATTCGGCATTTTGTCAAAAAAATCCACAAATCACGTTTTTCCACCTAAAGGCCTAAGACGAATTGGTAGAGTATAATACAATATCATTATTATTATAAAAGATTAAAGATACAGCTAAAACATCTACCAAGGGTGCAGTTTCTGCCCGTTTTTCAGTGTTCCACCATTAGCAGTGTACAAAGAAAACAATCATTATCCCACTTTACATAAAGGGCTGAATTGAAAAGAAAGGCAAGAAGATAAGCAAGCGACCTAATGCATGCATAAAATTTGGAAACATGATTTAAGATTTTGAAATTCACTATTGATGCCTTCAACCTGTGATCCATCTCTTGAGAACTTGAAAAAAGTTCCGTTAGAGAAAAACTGACCCATGCATACTTGGTAGATTTTTGAAAGTCAAACTTTTCACAAAGTTTGTTGAGGGTCTCTATCAGGTGAAGCTCCCTTGATATTCCGGAAGAGTTACCTGGTACCTTACAAAGAAGATGTGGACCAATTACCAACTTTCCGCAACTCTCACCATCTATGAAAGCATCTCCAAGTTCTGTAATGCTCCTGATCTCCAGCTGTTTTGCAAACTGCAACAATGGCATAAGTAACCAGACAATGTAGGGAACAAGAATCAGAGCCTAGAATGAGCATAATAAGTGGTGCAGTAAGCATATCATGTCCAAATAAAATGTCAACACACTAACATTAACTTCATTGTTTTCTTTCATTGTGCAGGCTTCATAAATTTCAAGCGAGTAAAGGGATCGTCCTTTTTCATTCGTTGTGCCTGCATTTTTACACTAGCAAATCAACTGATAAATGTATCAAGCCAATCACTTTTGGATTGGAAGTTTGAGTTTCTGTCCAATTGTAATTAAGTTTCAGTTTTCGTTTTTGTGGGAGGTGGTGTTAACAACCCTTCAAAATAAAATGCACCAATAGGAAAGGCCAAGCAACATGTATACGGGATCCTTGGCCTCCTCATAAGAGGAAAATGAAAGGGATAAAACAATGAAACCAAAAGCAATCTTAAAAAATTGGACACCATTAACTACCCAGATAACTGGGAAACACACCCATATTAATGTTGACTGATGCTGTTCAAAATGATCAACCCTGAAAAGTATAAACTTCTAAACAGATTTAGTATACACTATAAAACAAAGCTCCAACATACACGACATCATGTTAAGCAATTTGAAAGACTTTGATCCACATGTATCAATTAATGAAAAACCAAAGCTCTTTTTGGTCCAAATCTTTTTGCTTTTTTGTCCTTTAATGTATTTTCTGCAGAATCTGGTGTAGTCCATGTGCACAGAGAAAAAAATGTAATAGCAAGAACATTTGAAAAATATATAAAATTTACTTCATGCAACACATGAAAAAGTCATGTACACAGAAAGTAATTTTTGCACATCATAAAAATAACCTTTTTCGTTTCTTCAATACTGTATTTGTTGTCTAACCCAAAAAAAAAAAAAAGTTGATCCTTTTCTTTTTTGCTTCCAACCAAAATAGTCAGCTAACTACACAAAGCCTGCCTCTAACTCTTTTTATTTATTTATTTTTTCTATCATTTTTGTTTTTCATAACTATCTTTTACAATAGCAGAAAAAAAAAAAATATTAAGTTAACCAAATGAAACCTATATAATAAAACGTAGGATTACAATTCAATAATTTCTGTCCAGCTTGGCCTTCTGAATATTTTATCTACGGCAAATCATCATCAGATCTCAAAGCTTTAAATGTAGCCAATCGCTCAAATTATTAGAGTTCAACACTCATTGAGGGAGGGAGGTAACCAGAGGGGATGAGGAAGATGGATGAGAGGGCAAAGCAATGACTGTTCCCACTCTGGTGGTTGTTTGTTTGTTTGGTCTAGGCACCATAAAATTGATACCTAGCAGTGATACAAAATGACAAAAAGGAAGCTGAGATGAGTTCCTAATCACAAACATAAAAGGTGCCATCAGCCAAGCGTAAAAGGGTTGTTTTCCAGGGTTAGAACTCTGCTAACCAAAATGCATAAACAGGTATTCATTCAAAATGAGAGCAAGTGACTAACCTTATAGGTCCAAGAGTTCATTTCATCATTTGGGCAACCATGTTTCTCTTCTTTCTTATCTCCCTCTTCATAGATGGGATAATCCTTTTCTATCAAAGTAATGAACGAAACCTGAGATGAATCGTTTTTGCTATCCTTGAATACTGTTTACTGTAACAATAGAAATATTCATGTAAATTAAAATGCACAGACCAAAAAACTAAATGCATGCAACAGATACAAAATCAATAGTACCTGAATCATATGAAAACAAAACACCAGTAGAACATCTCCAAACTTTTAGAATGCATAATTGAAAAACATCAGCACAAAGATGTTATAAAAGAATAGCATTCTTAAATCCTTGAGATTCTACCTGCTGAGATTCATCAAGATAAAATCAACAAAGGCAAAAAAGTATAAATCCAATAAATTTCTAAATTAAATCATAGCATGACCTAAACAGACATAATAAATACCAATGTGCCACAAAGCAACAAATGCTAGAAGATATAAAAATCCACTCACAAATCATAGGAAATCAAGATGATGCAGATAGATGCCACAATACCTGAATACTTGCATGCCTTCAGCTTAACACTCGAGGACATGTCACAGAAAGGCAGAATGCTTAGTATGGCTATACAACAGCCAAATTTCCAGTTGTGTCAACAGTTTTGAAATTGATGATGCATCTCGAAAAGAGAGAAAAATGTGAAAAATGCGCAAGGGTTCATAGAACACATGGGAAATTACATGCTTGATGCTCTCAAACATCATCAACATAGCATGTATTAGTTTCCCATGATTCATTTGATTGATGATAAAAGAAACAGAATATTTGATTAAAGAAAATAAGTTTTCAAACTGCAGAAAGGAAAAAAAGAATATATCAAGAAGCATTAAGTTATGGATGTTTCCACCCACATTATATTAACAGGTGCTCGAGGGAAAAATCAAAAAATTAATTGATCTCTAAAAGAACTTCCATGGTACAGAAATTACAAATTGTATCGGTGCAAAATGCACCATGAATTACAAGTTTTGGGAATTCCAATCCCATGAAGCAATTACAAGGATGGAATAATGCACATGACCACAAGATTCTCAATCCATCCTCAAATGCTGATAATGCAGTCACTCCCATATATCCAGGTTGCACGCGACCACATATCACATAAAATTCTGCTGGCTTCCATGACTCACATTTTGATCAATAAGGTTTACTCTGTTTATTGTCTCTCTTAAGCTGAACTTTCAATTTCTTACCACCTAATTGGCATCCATTCATCATATTAATTGCGGTTTGTGCTGCTGCCGGCGAGTCATAACTTACAAATCCTGCAAATAAATTCATATTAGAGATCCAAACTCCACTCGTTAAATATGGATTCAAAAGTAACTAAAAAATGTCCATACCGAAACATTTGCTAACACCAGTTGCTTTATCAACAAAGACCTTGGCACTCAAGACTTTACCAAATGGCTGAAAAGCATTGGCAAGTTCTTGGTCACCAAATTCTTGGGGTATGTGATATATGAAAAGATTAGCACCGGCTGGACCTAAGTCAAAGAAAATAGAACATCTAGCATAACACCACCACCAAGAATACATAACAAAGTGACAATGTCTAGAACTATTACATAGAACAAACCTTCTAATTGACCACCAGAACTTGAACTGACACCTGAAGATGTTGCAGAATTACTGCTTGCAACAACAGGTGGTGCTGTACCAGGTGAACCACTCAAAGGTTGGTGACTTATCATTCCTCCAGGGTATGCCATGGGATACTGAACACCTGGCACAGCAGGATAAGAACCGACATAACTTGCAGGAGGCATTGCATAATTTCTAGGGCCCATACCAGGGGCAAGATCAGGTCTGATTCCACCACGCAATGCATTTCCTTGATTTACAGGAGGAATCATACTATGAAAAGCAGGTTGATTCTGCAATGGTGGCAAGCGATATGGCACAAGTCCATAGGTTCCAGGAGCCTAAAAGAGAGCACCAGTTACACCACAGTTTGGACTCCAATTTGATGTTAAAAATGAATGAAAGTTGAATTAAAAAAAAAGGAAAGCAAAGAACAACAAAATGATAGTCAATCAAGAAGCTCAAAAGAGGTTGGCTTCGATGTAACGGTAAAGTTAATGGGTGTGACCCACGAAAACAGACTCTCTGCAAAAACAAGGGACGGCTGCATAATTCAACCTTCCCTCACAGATCTAGGATGCTTCGTGCATTGGGTCACCCTTTTTAATCAGGATGCTCGAAGTTAGGACAGCATTAAGAAAAGATATTGAATACAAACAATGGCTAGGCATTGCAAAAGTTGAACTATTTATCAACAAATTCATAACAGCATAACTGACCTGGTACCCATATCCATTATAGGGGGGAACATACCCCATTGGCAAGGCTCCAAACAATGAAGGATGTTGTGAATCTGCATTTGGCAGGCTAGAAGCCTGAGATTGTGCTTTCTGAGCCCTTCTAGCTTGCCTTTCCTTTTCTGTATCTGCCCATTTGACAACCAAAGGAACACTTGAACCCTAGTAGAATCAAAGATAACAATTAGGGTGCAAATCATTAAATTTAAATAAATCCACATGAATGCCAAGGTTCTGGTTTACAAGTAGAAAGGAAGCATAAACTCAACAAGATGGCTAAATAGCAAGGGTCTCATTGCTGAACTATCAGTTGGTATATTTAGTGATAAGTGAAACGAGTCACACATATTTGTTGCCATGGTATGGTCAATTAACACAATTACAGAATGATGCGCACACATTTTTCTGCTTCTGCAAAAAATTCATTTGGCCTTAATCAAAATGCTACCACACCCATTGAAGAGACTTTTGGACCAAGTTACACTATCTCACACTGTCATCAACTGGTCTAGGATTAATGTTGACCTCCACATGAAAAAGTAATTACTTAAGCTAGAGAGGCTTTGGACCCAGCAAGCTCATCAACTCACTACAACATAGATTAAAGTGTGGATAAGTATTATAGCTATAGAGAACAGCTGACCTTGCATAAAATAAATGATTGAGTTGAGGAGGGAAAATTTTTCAATAGACCAACACATTTATCATGTAACTGTTGTGATGCAACTCATCTTGCAACAAGTCAACCACCATAGTCCAAATGCAAATATAACAGGAAGAAATCTCCAGAATTACTTAGCATCCATTGACAGGTGTATAATTGAAATGAATATGGATTGGTATTTGAATTTCAATAAAAAAAAAATCATAAAAAGATTCAGACCCTAAATATTTTTTGCACTTTAGCAGAAAACACACATGCACACACACGAACCTCCATTTTATGCTTTCCATTGACAGCCTCCAGGGCAGCAAGGGCTTGTTCTTTAGTATCATACTTCAAAAAAGCACATCCTACCAAATAATTAGTTGAGATCAGCTAAAACATTAGATTATAGTACTTTTTGATAACTTGAAAGCAAATTAGGATTGTTAAATAATTACCTTTGCTTGTTTGTTGAGAACCCCTTAGAATTTGCAAGTCTTTTATACTTCCATATTTAGAGAATAATTCAGATACTTCAGCTTCAGAAACATTTTTCGGAAGCATACCAACGAAGAGTTTGTGTTCTGGTTAGAAGCAATGCATAAAATCATTCAAAAAAAAGAGAAAGAAAAAGCACATAAGCACAAGATAAAACCAAGTTAAAGATAAATGAAAACAAAATCAGCATCAAACAAGAAACAAGAATATCGATTGCAGCAATTTACAGCAATCCTCTTAAAACAGTCAATGAAATTATATTACACCTAGCCTTTCCAACTCGCCATCTGCATACTTCACTTGCAACGGACTAGATGCCTGAATTGGACAGAAAGAATAGGGTGTATTTCAATTAGAGAGACATGATGGTTGGATCAGAGAATAATAAAAGTAAGAAACACAATTCAGCACTGAATGAGAGCAATATGTATCCGTTGCTAGATTATCCAATTAAGTAGACTCAAATTTGCCCCGAGCTTTTGCAAAATGTTTGCATCAAGAATTAAGTCATTGACAATTGGTTAAACAGTGAGGCTTGCTCATAGAGGGCTCTTAATTCACTGTAATACCTCGGTCAAAAAAGTACAAAGTTGCATAGGAGTGCATATGCACTAATAGTTGGGACATGAAATGCTATTAATCATACATTTTCTTAGATCAATTGTAGTCTTCTTCTCACTTTGCTCATTTTTTATGCAAGAAGAGACAATTTGGAAGTATAATATGTAGCGAAATGCTCATTCCCCTAGCCACCTAAGCTACGCCTAGAAGCTTCAAATTGAAATTTTCTTGCTACAATATCTTAATAACGTAGACAGTTATTACTATCTTCACTGAAATCATATATTTCATCTTGCAACCATCAGCATTAAAACCAAATTTGAACTATCTATAGTGTCAAAGAGTTCTACAATTCCATCACAACTTACTCTCATAAAAGGTGATTTCGTTCCCATAATAAATTACTTGAAAACAATACACAGTTTTTTGCTTTGCATTTTACTAATGAAATCTAGTTATTCTTCCTAAAAAAAGGTTCAAGCGACTTCTCATTCTATTGCCGTATTTTTTTTAATATGTTGTTCCCTACATGGTATGGTCATGTCCTACATAGACCACCGTGAACCCCGGTTCACAAGTGCAACACATTACATTGTTGGTAAAGGATGCTAAAAGGGGAAAGGTAGACCTAAAACCACATCGCGGGAAGTTGTCTCATAAGATCTGCTATTTCTTAACATTAGTGTGGATTTATTCATAGCAAACATGAAAAGAAGAAAAGTAGGATTCATATAATCAACCCAGACTGGTTTGGGATCAAGACTTAATTATTGTTATTGTTGTTCCTGTTGATAAGAACAACCTTTCGAACCACTAAAATTTATCAAAATGTTGTCACTAAACATTAGTCATGACTCATGATATACATTTTGCAGAGTCAAATCTGAATCTTGTGGCTCCTTTAACAACATCTTTTGTTATGGCAAAATAACCCCTTAGCCTTGTGAATAGATAATGGACTCCAGATTAAAGCAACGAATGGTTCTACACAGCCTAAAACTGCATTATGTTCACAAACTTTATATAAACAAGAGTGAGAACAACTAAACAAGATACTCTTGTAAGTTCATTACCAACTTCACTGATTTATCGTGCCATATAGTGCATTAAAAAAGGTGTGGCCATATACCAAACAATGCAGGAATAATTCAATTAACCTAAAAGTGTGAGAGCAACTAACCCATATACTGTTGTAAGTTCATTACTTAAATGCAGTATTACAAGTTTAATATTTAGAGAGTTGATACAGTTTTGGTCCATCATTGACTCTGTAATTGCTCACTAACTTGATAAAAACCAACTTCAGTACGTTGTATAGTGAATTAAAGGTATGGCCACTTATCAAACAATGTAGGGATAATAATTAACCCAAGTCATTCTCTCTACTTCACTGCTAAACTACATTTGGCAATTGCCATAAACAGCCATTTTTATGAACTACTCAATTACTATTCGTTAATAAGTCACCGAGATCAGTAAATGACACTAAATAGCTAAATAGGTAAAATTCCTACCAACATTTATCCACAATGTGGAATATAATCAAGACAAAAATAAGAAAAGCAAGTGACAGAAACGAAATTTACACTAACCCCAGGAAGTGTTTTCTTGTTATGGCAAGCATTGACTGCTTTATCTGCTTCCTGCCGGGACGGACATATTACAAAACAACACCCTACAAACACACAACCATGAAATTAGAGTTCAAACCACAACAAATCTTGAACTAAATGGAGCAAATCACGCAAATCCAAAAAAAAAGAAACCAGAAACGGAAAAGAAAGAAAAGGAGAAAAAGAGGAAATGTGAGATTCGTTAAATGTGAAAAGGAAATAAAAAGCAAGCAGAAACAAAAAGAAGGAACCTCTTGACGCGCGCGTGGCTTTGTCTTTGATGATGTTAACCTCGTCGACCAACGCAAACTCTTTAAACATTGCGAGAAGCTGAGCTTCCGTCATGTGCTTCGGCACTTGACCTACGAACAGCTTAACGCTCTCTTCGCTCGATTTCTTCTCCTTTTTACCCTCCGCCATTAATGCCGATAGACCACAGACAGAGAGAGAAACACACACTTTCTTTCTCTCTCTTTCCGGTTTTTTGTTCCTCTCTCTAGATTCTTGTTGCCTATGTTTTTCTATTTTTTCTCCGAAGGGTCGTCGCTGGGAAATTGGGGAATTTCTGGATGGCAAAGTTGGATCTTCGATAGATATATTATAATTAAATTATTTGCAAATGGACTCCATTTTCGCCTGATTTACGGGCGTGACCTTACAGCTGTTTCGGTTTCATGCTTAGAGATGGGTGTACCTTTAACAGTTGGGAGGGGAAGACAGCGGTTGTACATTTGAGAAATTGAGGAATTAAAAGACGAGAATGCCCTTTGAGTTCTTGTGCTCTCTTCTCTTGCATGGCAAGTCTGAGTCTGGGTTATTGGGTCTCTGTCCCTACCCCGAAAAGGGAGGTCTTATGAGAAAAAGACAAGTAAAAGGGGAATACTAAAATTTGATAAAAGTGGACTCTTGGGTTAAGTTAAAGTGGGACCATACTTGAGTTTGCAGTTGCAGCAACATATCTTTGAACATAAGCATTTATAGTAGTAGTAAATATTATCTATTCTTAAAATAATTTTCACAATAATTAAATCACTTAATTTTTTAAATTATTATTATATTTAGTAAAAATAAAAATAAAATTGAAAATTTAATTAACTTTTTTTTTTTGAAAAGGAATATAAGTTGGTTACTATTTCATTTTTCTCCACTTGATTTTGGAAAAAGAATGAAAATAATTATTTATTTTAAACCTAATTACTAAAAATTAAGGGTAAGTAAATAATCCTCTATTTGTTTTGAATGATAGTTAAAAATTAATTATTATCACCGAAGATTTTAATATCATCTCAATCTTATAATAATATGCGTAATTTGACTCTCGTGCAGATTATGAAAATATAATTAAGATGATTGAATTATAATTTTATAATTTTTTCCTAACATATTCTTATATTAAATCACAATGATTAATATTTAAAAATTATATATCCAAAATATTTAGAGGACAAACTTAAATATATATATATATATGTCCGTTGGTTTTATTACAGTGACTGGGCAAGTTATGGCGCTTCACTCCCCTGAAAAAGACAAGTCTCCCTCTTGTTTCTTTTGGTATCTAACGCTAACATTTTCCCTCCTTCCTTTTTGAATTCTTTTTGCCATTTTAGACACGTACTCCCCTTCACCAAAAAGGGCAGGAAATATATTTGTCAATTTTTATTTTATTTACTGATTTGTCCCTACATGATATGTAACCATAAGATAACCACCATTTTGAAGTAGAAAATATTTATGCGGTTTGAGGTTTTTTTTCGCTAGGAAAATAAATATTTTTCATTAATAAAAATACTTGAGTTATAATATTCATTTATAAACATTTTCTTTTTTTTTTTCTTTTATATACACAATGAAACATACACCACTAATCAATTTTCATATTTAATTAGATCCATATATTGTTTACACATAAAAAAATTTGCTTGGAAGGAAAATGTTTTATTATATACGATTCAATATCGATAATTAAGATCTAAAGTTATGTTTGGTTGGATGTAATGCAATGCAATATAATAAAAAATGTAATGGAATGTAATGCAATTAAGATTCCATTACTATGATTAGTAATAGAATTGAAAATATTTATGGGAATAATTACCATTTCATTTTTATCTTTATTTGTAAATATGTAATGTAATATAATTAAACACTTATCACCACTAAACATATCGCCACCACAACCACCAGTCTACCACCACTGCCATTACCTCAAATAATTTTTTCATATTTGACAGATGAAAATAATGAATAACAACCGTACCAAAGAGATATATATATTCCATAAATTTGAACTCATTTGGTTCGTAGTTTATTTTATTTATATAAAAACAATAAATTATAGAATTTGGTTTGACATAATAACTAATTATTTATTTGTGGAATAATATATTCAATATAAGTAAATTTTTTATATGAAATTAACGCCAACAAGATATGAATGACTACAAGTTTGACAAATAATTTATTTCATTTTATTTGGTCAAAGTAATACACAATAATTTTTTTCAAACAATAAATTTGATAAATAACTGAGTTCCAAATTACTCACTTTTAAGAATAGTCCGTCTATTTTTTAAAACAATAGAAATTTATTTTAATTTTCATGTGGATTTAGAAACAATAATCAATATTATTTGAATAATAAATTTTATACCATTGTATAAATCTTTTTATTTTTCGGCTGCTTTGTTTGTAATTAGCTCAATACCAATATTCAATTAAAAAAATTCATTATTTTAATTTTTAACTTATTATTGGTTCGTTAAAAAGGAGAGTAAATCAAACTTGATTATTTTAATTAAATTCAAATGAGTTTTATTAAACCATTTTAAACTTACTTATAGCATTTTAGCAAATATATACTATCAGTAAATTTTCGTAAATCATAAAACTAAAACCAAAATTGTTGTAATTACAAATTTTGTAAATGAGAAAAATATCTCATTATTAATAGGTTGAATATTGTCAATTGAGTCGACTATTAGGATTGAATTTACTAATAGTGATTTTAGCACTTACTATTTTTACATGTTCAAATGCATACGTAAAATGTAAGATCTAAATACATAGGTGGTGGAGTGGTTGAGATGGTGACGGTAGTGGTGGTGGTGGTGGCGGCGACGCGGTGGTGGTGGTAGTTGAGGTGGTGGTGGAGCGATGATGGTTGTGGTGGTGGAGGATTAGTAATGGTGGTTGTGGAGGATTAGTAGTGGTGACAAGGGTGGTAGAGCAGTGGTTGCAGCGGTGATAGTGGATTAGTGGTAGTGGTGGAGCAATGGTGGTGGTGGTAGATTATTGGTGGTGATTGATGTGGTGGTAGTGGATTAGTGGTAGTGGTAGAGCGGTGGTGGTGGTAGTGGTGGTGAGGTTGTGGAGCGATGGTGGTAGTGATGGCCAAGGTAGTGGTGGTGGTGATACGGTGGTTGAGGTAGAGGTCGTGGTGGTGGTGGTGCAATGGTGGTGGAACGGTGATGATGGTTGTGGTGGTGAGGTGGTAGTGTTAAATAGCATTAAATGGTAAAGTTTTTATTGGGATAGTTCGATGTAATTGGTATTACATTTGTTTGATGTAATGGACAATATATGTGTTTTTTAATATAATGAATATATATCAATTTAAGTAATGAATATTACATATATAATTTTAATTATATTATATTGTCTAAAAAAAATTTAACCAAAGAATGCAATCAATCATATAATGTAATCATTATTCCGCTGCAATGATTGATTACATCAAACTAAACATGGTCTAAATAACAATGTAAAAGATAAATGTCCTCTCTAAGAATTTATTTGGTTTAAAATATTTGGAGTGATTGAATGATCAATTGCTAATAATTCATTATTTAAATTTGTTATTTTAAACTGTTAACCAATGTATTTTAAATTTATTAATCACACTTAATTAATATTTAAAAATGTAAATATTTAAAAATATAAATACTTACACATCAAGACATAGTCTGGTGGTAAATGTATATACGATCTAGCAACAGATTTGCATTTAGAGGTGACTACTACTCAGCAACAGAGAGGTAAAACACTTCCTACCAAGTTTTGAAGGTGTTCTACAACCGAAGATTTTCACCATAAAAAATGAGATGGAATGAAAAGAGTTTATTCTAATGGAATGATGTAATATGGTTATGGACTGTTTTTCGCTATGTAATAACAGCATTGATGTTGCTATTAATTGGGTTTGAAGATCAGCGAATAGTGTTGCTCACACTTTAGCACAGCATATTTTTATGTTGGTTTTCATATTTGGTTTGAGCTTCCCCTAATATTGAAGCTTTAGTTATTTACAAGCGGAATGACCAGCACGTTGTCATGGATTTTTCACGTTTTCATTTGAATTAGTTAGAATCACCCGCACGTTGTCACAGGTTTTCCTCTTGCCTTTATGATATCACAAAATATAGTAAATTCATAGTTAGAATTTAGATTTAGAAAGTTAAATTTGGGGATGAATTACTTTTATAATTGTCGAGTAAACTTTACATGTGCAACTCAAGTAGTAGAGCTCTAAAAGAGTCTGTGCACATTCATAAATAACTGTAAGATAAAATATGACAATGTGAAATATAAAGCATATAGTGTCATAAGCGCTTATATTTTTTTTAATAGTTGCATAAAGCTTATACCAAAATGTAAATTTTATTATTTAATAGTTCTCTAATATCTATGTTATTCAAAAAAAGAGTTTGAAGAAAAAAGAAAAGTACGTGTTAAATGAAAAATTATTATTATTATTATTTTTTTTTTTGCTTGTTTGACAATACTAAATAAAAAGTTTACATTGTGTTATTTAAACATTCCAAACTCTCACATAAATTGTAAAGTATACTTTACCTATATTGTTTTTTGTACACAACAAAATACGTTTGAAAAGTCTCAAACAGAAAAACATCTCCATCCCAGGCAATAGAATTTTAAAAGTGTACACATCTATAAATTAAACCAAATAATAACATATAAGAGATAGAAAAAGTTTTCTAGAAATAATAATGGTTATTTCGAGTCAATAGGAAAATACCTATTAAAATGCTAAGTAAAAAAGACTATTTAAAATTGCGAGAAAACGAATTTGTAGAAGGAAAGAGAAGTCGCTAGAAACAGAGAACGAAAAGTTAAGTGGTTGTTTACAATGTAAAGATTCAAACCAGCATTTAAAACAAAAAAAGAAAAAATCTAACCGACCTAAATAATAATAAGTTGACATGGTAAGGATAAATCGGAAAAACATGAAAAATAGTATGATTTTACATGAAAAATACTGTTCAATGAACAGAGTTTTTGAGTTTCATTTTAGTATATATATAATGATTTAAGTATTATTAATGAATAAGATTTATCTCTCCTTTTCAAAAAAGAAAAAAGAAAAGAGTCTCTTCTTTTTATTAGGAAGATAAGCAATAATTCATTGATTTGTTTCAAATATGAATTTGGAGGATGGAAATTTCATCGCAAAAATCCAAAAAGCAGCCTTTCTTTCTTTTCTTTTTTTTTGGGTGAGTCGCCATTTTTTTTTTTTTTTTAAAGATCCAATGAAACAGAGTTTTTGAGTTTCATCTATTTTTAGTATATATATAATGATGTTTAAGGGTATTAATTTAATGAAATAAGATTTATTCGGTCCTTTTCAAAAAAGAAAAAAGAAAAGAAGTCTCTTCTTTTTATTAGGAAGATAAGCAATAGATTCATTGAATTTGTTTAAATATGATGGAAGATGGGGAAATTTCATTCGCAAAATCCAAAAGGCCAGCCTTTCTTTTCTTTTCTTTTTTTTTGGTGAGTCGCCATTTTTTTTTTTTTTTAAAGAGAAGAATTTAATCATTTTAATTAATTCACATGGGCCAGTCCACTCTCATCCAGTATCGGTAATTAGCAGGGGTGTTTACTTGCGAAATTTTTTGTAAGCTGGGCATATGCGCTTTACCAAGGCATTCTTGAAGTCTTGAAAAGAACAAAAGCATGTAGCACTACATTGAAAGGAGTCCAAGCCATTTGTTCCGAAAGAAATTGTCCTAGCATCCCCAACATCACTCCAATGCGAACATAAGAGATAAAAGCTAACTTGTTCCGGTATTATTTTGCCTTCAAAACCTGCAGGATAAAGAGTTTTAAAAGAAAAGTTTAGTAGAAGTTCCTCCACCGGCTACACACCTTCCAATACCTCCAACACCTTTGTGCAGGAATAATAATGCATGATCAACATCCTCTCAAATCAACATAAGGGCAATAGTGGTCCACATCTCACACCCCTTCTGCTGCAATCTCCGTCGACGTAAGGGCATATAGTGTCCACATTCACACCCCTTCTGCTCAATCTCCGTCGAGTAGGCAATAAGTTACGCATAGTTCTCCAAATGAAATCTCTAACTTTTGATGCAACATTCAACTTCCAGATACTCCCCCACCCCTCACCTTCTATACGTTCATCACCCCTTCCCAACACCCTCAAGTCAAGACAGTAACATGATTTAACACAAAATACCTGACATGCCCATGTGTAGCAACATCTTTTTCAAGTTGTCCTTTCTCAAAATTTATCCTTTCGTTGTTCCTCTTTTATTTGGGCAGTCACGCTCTGGTCTCTTAAAGTTTAAACAAAGCAAGTATAAACAAAATACAACCAGGTGCTCCATATAGATTCACAAATTTTCATTTTAGACTTGGTATTTTTTTTTTTTAATTTATTTCATTCTCTTAACAATTAATACTCCATTTAATGAAATGTAATAAAATTATAACCCTTAACTGCTGCAGATCATATCCCTTGTCAAAATGCAATTTACATATCCTAAAATGTAAAATCACGTTTAATTTTTTATTTTTTTGCATTTATTCAATGCTACCTTTATCTACTAAGTTCCTGTCAACGTTACAAATTCCACGATGGTCTTGCGTTACGAGAGTTTTATGTTTTTAAGTAATCGCACAATAATTAATAATTAATATTTTTTTAAAAAAAAAGAAATTAATAACAGTAATAACCGCGTGAAGAATGCGAGGAAATTGTCTGATGGGTTCTTTTAAACACACACGAAAATGAAGTTGTTGACCCAAAAAAAAAAATAAATAAGGATGACGGGCGGGTCATTTTCGACACAAAACGTACGGGATGCGTTTCCTTTTGCAGATGTGGCAGTGGCGGTGGATTCATCGTTCGAGTGCAAAACAAGGGCAGTATAGTAAATCGAAAGGGAAGGATATAATGGTAGTTAAGCGTAAAATAGGAGGTTGAATGATAAGTTCGCCAGACTGTCCCGCCAACGCCTCCTTTCTTCCTTCCCTTTGTTCCAACACTCTCTCATCTCCCACGTTGCAACTTGCGGACCTGTTTCTGACTTTCTCCACACACTCAAACAGTTGCTTCGTCATTCCCATTATAACGTCAGAATAAATCGAAACTAACTATTAAGCTAACTCTGTCGTTCTTTCTTTTTTTTTTTTTTTTTTTTTTTTTTTTTTTGGCGTGGTATACTTTTAAAAACATACTACTTGCATAATATATTTTTTGAAAAAGAAATTATTTTAAAACAAAACTTAAAAAAGTTTATGGTTTTTAGAGAGATTAATGAATAAAAAAAATCATAACAAAATAAATGCATAATATAAAAAAAAGATAATAGGAGAGATAATAAAAGAGTTTAAAAGTTAAACATTTAGTTTACTCTAACAAATTGTATCATAAATAATTATTAGATTTTTTTTTTCTTGAAAATAGCAAACTATATTATATAAAAATGGATAGTCATATATGTGTATTTACTATAAACTCATAATCGCATAAATTAAATAAATATATTTTTAAAAAATAATTTATTAAAGTAATTGATTCAAGTAGTTCTCATTAATCAGACAATTAATATCAAATTTCTTAGTTGAATGATGTCAGAACGTGTAATAAAAATATTCTTTAAGCATAGTTACACACAAAGAAGAAAAGAGAAATGGAATATGTGAGACGCACTTTCTTATTTGGTCTAACAGTTTCAAACCCAATTCCATTTGTTTCCAATTCTGTGGTGAATATGCCAAAACGGATTTGTCCATTGAAAGCAGACCAAAATTTACCATTATTGTTGCTTTTCTTTTTCCCCTGAACAGATACAATTCTTGTTCTTGCTCCATCCAAATTCATCAAAGAGGTAAATACTGCCTAGTGCCTACTGGCAAGCAAAAAGGCTATCTATCTAATTTCTAATATAATAGTGCATTTAATTTGCGGATTGGCAGCCAGCCATAAACAGCGAAACCACATAACTGGGCCCCTCTTGGACAATCTCAGAGGTCAAAAGGCTATAATATAAGTTGATTGATGATGGGTTCAGTACTGTTTCAGAGTTAGCCTGCTTGACTACATCTTTCTTAGACAAATAATTGGCCAGAGAGAATGGATTGTTTGTCCTATGGCCTCTTTTTGAAATCAAAATAGGAATACCTGTTTGTGACATTTTCAGAAAGGGAGAGCTCTCACCACTTGTCAAAACTCCAATGAGTTGGAACTGGCCCATCTCCATTATTTGGTTTTTTTCTGTCGGCTTGAAACAGCTGTGACTAAATTTAGACACAAGGGTTAGACCAACATGGTCCAAATACAGCAGAAATATATCATGAAACAAAACAACCAATTGCAGAATCTTACTTTGGAGATCAAATTCAGTATTTTAAATAAAATCTTGCGTTTTAACTGTCAATGGGAGACGTATGAGCATTCTTGAGGAAACACAAATAAAAAGTCAAATGGAAGTTAGTTGCGCCTAAAACTTTAATCAAGGTTGTCGGTTATACCCAAATGAACAAGTGTGAGTTGGTTTCAATTTCAAGTTGCTCCCAACAAACCTCCAACTGGTCTAGACCAAACCCAGAAATTTCATCTGTAAGGCAAGCCCAGTGTAGGCCTGCAGTCTGTACCAAGAAGGGCATTTCATTTTCAGTATAAGTCTGTTCTACAGGATGTCCTCAACCATTAATTCATCGAAGTTTAGGAAACCGCATACTGCTGTTTAAAGGGAAAAAGAAAAGAGATTGTTGCCCATTTTTGCAGAAAAACTAAATAAATTTATTATCTCCACATAATACAACAATGTGTAAATACAACAACACATTCCCCAGAAACAAATGCGGGATTGAGCAAAAAATCAATCATACTACAAGTCTGCAACTTTATTGAATAAATGGACCCCCTTCCATGAAAATTGATGTATTAGAATGGCCTTATAAATAAGTCATTGTAAGAACAAACTAATAAATTCTCCTCATTTGTGACTTGCTAGCAGCGAAGGCAGCTCTTTGGCACTTCAAAACAAAAGCACAGTAAAAGACTGCAAGGGATCATAGATAGACAATACCATTGCTAGATGGCATTCAATCCAGCAAGTTCACGTAGCTTCTCGCACAGTATAAATGTAATTGTAGTTTGAGGTCCCAACCTTGCAAAAATTGCAAATCCCCTGAGGAAAATTTAAATGTTAAAACTCTAAAACCATGCATAGAGACAAAGAAGAATTCAGATAGAAACTTTGCAAAATAAGTCTATGTAACTAGTGCTTTTTCAGTTTTGCAAAATGAGTACAAGTTATTATTTATTTATAACCCAAGGAAAAATAAGGCACAATGGATCTAAGGATAGCAAAACAAAAAAGGGAAATTGGTGATCATGATGTACTAGTATGGTTAAAAGCCAAAATTAGAATCTTCAAAGAAAACTGAATTATTTCCAGACTTTCTAAACTGAATTATTTCCAGACATAGAAAGAAACACGCCTTAGTTATGAATCTAATGAGAAAGCACTGCTCATGAAGGTCCGGATAGAAACTTACCCCTTGTAAAGTGCACTAGGGCCTTCTGTAAGCACAACCTGAAACAAGAAATTGAAAAAAAGAAAATATTAGCCAAGAAAACAAATTTCCTTTTTAACTAACTCATTTACAAAAGCTGACTCTTCTTAAAGCTTTTAATACTTTATATAAACCCCCAACAAAAGACATAAATCAAAAAGAAAGAAAGCAAAGGACAATTCAGTACACATATTCTTAGCAATTTTTGTTCTCTTAAATATAATTTCCTATCAGCAGTCATGTAATTAGTCCAAGTGTAGACAAAGCCAAGCAAAATGGCAAAAGAAGCCAAAAAAAAAAAAAGCAGACATAGTATCAGCATCCCATGCGTAAGGAAGACCCAACCACAGGACTCTTTTGTATGCTCTGCTGCAATTGCAAAACCATGTCTATAAGTCACAACACCAGCGGAGCCTGGAGAAATTCCAATGCTCACCAGATGTACAATTATCCTGTTACAAATCATCCAAAAATTATAGCAACCATTTTGATTCAATATGGATAAAATCAAACACGAAATTATTTATCCAATTCCGGTTTCAAATTATTGTTCGCTGCAATGTTGCCCTAATCCCCTATTTTAGATATCATCAAGTTTAGAGAGAGTTGAGTCGATGCCTGATATCCGCAATGAAATCCATTCTTATAGCCCCCAACTCTCTTGGATTCCCTTTGAAGCATGAGGCGAGTTTTAATCATATCCATTGGTGCAGTTACAAGGGTACTCACTGTCCCTGCTACTGTGCTTGAGCTTCACAAGACAAAACACACATTTAATTAATTTTTACAGAAGAGAAAAAAAAAAAAACTCATATGAAGTGTGCTTGTAAATTGTATGGGTTAAAAAAAAAAAAAAAAGTTAATTCTGCAAGTCAGGTTAAAAATAAAATAAGGGAGACAAGATTACCAGTTTATGGGTGTGCTTATTTACAAATGAGATATTACATGGGTTTCTTGCTTTATTAAAGTGTACATTGTTTCAATTAATATGTCCAAGAGAGAAATTGACAAAAATGTTTTAGTTTTTATCGTGTTCATAGTTCTCATTATAGAAAATGGATGACCATAATTGGTCAAATTCCAATCAATAAATTACATGTTTCTTTCATTATGCTAATCAATGTATTGATGAACATAAAAACAATAGAGGCAGCAGTTCCGTACGCTAGATGTAGATGAAATCCTTCTTCCAGAGGTGTCCATCTAATGAGAACCTGCACTGGTGGAGAATCAGAGAAAATTTTAACAGAGAAGGGAAAATTTAAAATAAATGTAAAGACAAGATTATTTTAGACTTCAGTTAGATATAAATCAACCATTTAAACGATGTGGAAATTACTTCGGGGATATTCAAAGTGAAAAGGGACATGCTTAGAACTTGACCCGCTTGGTTTCATCATATGTTGCTAGTTGTGATGCAGTCAAAGCAGCAGCTCTGGCCATGGCAGGGCCAACCCCCTTCCAGAGAGCTCTAATTCCCTCTTCAGAAACAATTTTACGCATTTCTGCAATTGGTCCTCCTTGACTCTGGTTTTTGTTCATTTGTAACCGAACCTGATAAAAAATCAAAAGAAAGTCCCTTAGATCAGAATTCAAGGGGAAAAAAATGTTCCACGATGTCTAAGATAATATCAAACCTTCAGAACTTCAATTGGATTGGTCAGCGCAGTGGCAATTGCACCGGCAAATGCTCCTGATGCAATCTTGACCAATATATTGGTGGACCCAAAAACCAAATCACAGGCATGCTTTGAGGGTTCATAAAGCCCTAAACGGAGACCTCCATAAAGAATTGACCTTGTTAAAGCAGGCGTCAATCCTTGATATAAAGCCTTTGGCCCTTCATTTTTCAATACATGAACAAATACACCTCCCTGCACATTGTATATTGATGTTTCACTTCGACATAATCTAACAAACGAAATGACTATTGTAAAGCAATAGTAAAAGCTTGCCACACCATTCCAGTCAAAGGACCTCTTTGCCCCACAAGTTGCATTTGCAGCCGAACTTTGAGTACATCTGCATTTCAAGTTGAATTATTAGGTATCAACAGATTCAACAATGTTAAAGAAACTTTCATGTGCATCAGTTGCTTGAAAATCACACTCAGTATAGTTTTTGTTTCAAACGAAGATTTTTAAGTATCACTTCTACATCTTTCCTTTGAACTGCTAAATTTTTGCTTTCTTCTACTAATTCTTAAAGATTGCAGTCAAATAAATGTTAATTCCATCCACTTCTTGCCTTTCATATTTATTCATCATCCAAGTGTGTAAAAACTTAACTTTGTGCATTCCATGATTAAAAAGTGAAGTTAATCTCCAAACTCACAGTTTGTTTAGTAGGCATACAGGCTAATACACTTGTACATAATAAACAATCAAAATGAAGTGAAGCTTTGTGTAATAATCATGGTTGTGCAGTCACATTCATGGCTCCTCCTTTTTCCTATGATGTAAAGAAGGATAATGAAGTTTTATGCACACCATCTACTAAGAGTAACTAACTGCACAACACAAATAACCTTTTTTAAGCCCAATATAAATTAATAAAAAAAATTATGCAGTAACAGTCTGCCACATCCAGCTACAGTGTTAGTGTACTTTGAGACGAAATTTACAACACAGTGTTCATACTTGACCCTATCTCCATTTTTAATATGCGTTTTCAATCAAAACATTTACAAGTACATCATAAAAATACAACATTTTTCAGCAACTCGATTGCAATTTCTCTCTTTTACTTAGGTACAAATTTGTTCAGTACTATGGTAATTAGACTATGTTAAATTGATACATGCATAAGAAGACTTTCTAGCAATTTGTGGCAATGATCCAGCATCATCTCAATTTCTTATTTATTTATTGATAATCGATGAGTGGTCAATTTGAAGGAAAGAAGAGAAAAAAGAAAAAAAGAAACAAAAAAAAAAAAGCAAATTGCAAAGCAACCCAAACCCAAAAATGAAATAAAACCAGCACAAGATAAGTTTCAATCAATAGATTTAAGAAAAAACCGCTATTTATCTCCAATGTAAAAACCTAGAAAACCATAAATTATAATATATCAATGTCATAGTTCCCAGCTGCCCCCATAAATTATAATATATCAGTGTGATAATTCCCAGCTGCCCCCTATCTATCTTCTTCAATAACACTAATAACTGTCAATTATAATCCAAAAACAAAGCATTTACCTTTGTGCATCTTCTATCAAAATTTAAAGAGCCCAGTATACAATAATAACCAGCTGAGGATGATATATATAAAGATCAAGATGGTGAAGGAAAAACCTAAAGGATGCGTGACGCCGGTGGCAGCCGCGACGGAGGTTCCACTGGTGGCAAAATGATAGAAGACTTTAGACGGGGAGGCTGCCCAAGCCTGCTTCTCTTTGACATTAGCAAGAGATTCTGTAATGATACAATTTTCACATAAGATTTTATCTTTCATTTTCGAACTAAAAACAAAGCAGAGAACATAAGCTGTTCTAATGAACGTAAAAGAAACCTGAAAGCGACGAACTCTTGGAACCTGAGTGGCTCATGGTCCTGATTTCCTGGATCGCAACTTTCCTCTTCCCAATGAAGAAACAGAAATGAATACTGCGATAATATACTAATTCGGCAAATGACACCGTATACTCTTCCGGTCTTCCCACGTGAGAGGGGACTATTTAATTAATTTTTGATATGAAGATCATGACTTTTAAAATTTCACTAAAATATAAGGACTAAAAAGTAATTCTCCTACCCTATAATCGAAATTTCGACGTTGGAGTTCAGTAATTTAACCTGACTTGAACGACAGTGCGTTTATTTACCGCCCTACTTTAAAAAGTAGTGGCATGTCGCTTGCAAATCAATCGAGTATGGCGCTTAAAACTGTTTTACTTGGGGAGGTTTATAGACATGTCGGTTTTCTCATCAAAGGTTGCAGTTTGGGATTCCAGTGTTAATTTGTTTAGACAAATTTGAAAACCCTTTTGTATCTGCGTTCCTGCTAGGGTTTTGCCTCAGAATTGTAATTCACCATTCTAGGGTTTTTGCTCTATCCTGTATTGCTGTTTGATTTTAAAAAAGCGATGCCTCGGTACATCTTTCATGTCCTTCTTTGATCTTTGTTGGATTTTTTTTTTTTTTATCTCATAATGGATATTAATGTTTTTCTGTTCATATTTCTGCTTTGAGGTTTGCAGGTACTATTGCGATTATTGTGATACTTACTTGACTCACGATTCTGTAAGTCTCTCTGTTTCTCTGTAGTTCAGTTCCTTTCTCAAGGTTTATTGTTTGTAATTTGAAGATATTTATTTTAATTTTTTTTATTGCTAAATGTTTCCTTCTATAAATTTCAGCCATCTGTTAGAAAGCAACACAATGCAGGTTATAAACACAAGGTACTTTTTGATTTATGTTCATCTTTCATTATTTATCGTTTTTGCTGTAATTAATTATTTATTATTGTTGTAAGCTGATTCAATGCATTAAATTTAGACAAATGTGAGAAACTACTATCAACAGTTTGAGGAGCAACAGACCCAAAGTTTAATTGACCAAAGAATAAAGGAGCATCTTGGCCAAAATGCAGCATTCCAGCAGGTTGGAGCTGCATATAATCAACATCTATTGGCACAGAGGCCCCACCTTCCAACGCCAATAATGCCTATGCCAGTCCCTGGATTTAGGCCTCCTGTTTTTCCAAGACCTGTTCCTGGTACTCCTGGTAAAGCTGCCATTTGCATGCAATTATCATTAGTTTGTTTGCATTTTGTTTCTAAATTAAACAGATGTTCATAGTATGATTATGTTGTTACTAAATGTTTTCATACTTAGAGAGTTATGATTAATAAATTAGTTTTTTTTTTCTTATTATGGCATTTTGTGAGTTATCAAATGCTTCTGCATTTTTGTAATTGTAAAATTACTAAAGTTGATTGTTTAGCTACTTTCTCCTTGTTCATATTTGTGTATAACTGTTTTAACAATATGGTAATCCACTTTTATTTCTAGTCAATGTTTGACCTGCATGCAAAGTATCATGTAGTGATCTATCCTGTTACGATGAATAATTATGATAATTAACATTCTCATTTTGTCGGTAGGTTATGTGTCAGGTCCAACACCACAAATGGTGGCACCACCCGGTGCTTCTTCCTTATCTGGTCAAGTAAATGGCATTCAAAGGCCTCCAATGATAATTCCTCCCTCAATGGCTCCTGGGAGTACTGCAGCACCTAGTGGTGCCCCTTCCATGGTTCCACCTCCCACTTATCAAACAAATTCAGCAGTTTCCACAAATGGAGGCTTTGATAGCTTCGCTAACACTCCGGCTCCAGGGGCTAATCATTAGGCTGATCAAATTGGTATATTTTGCTTGTTTCTTGATGAGGAAAGGATCTGAAAGCCACCTTACTGATGTTTGATACTGTTTTCTAGGATAAAGAACTTGAGTTCGGAAGTATAAGTATTCTTTGGTTAAACTTATGGTACTAGAGTAGAAGCAATTTTGAATTGCATTATTCTCATGGAACTAGAATTCCAATAGTAAAGTATTCTATTTGGATTTTGGTACAACTCACAAATGCTCCTTTTTTTTTTCATAATTTTTTTATCCACCCTTTATCCCAAGTTTACATGCCCCTTAATTATATATTTGCTGAGTGGCTTGGCTGCAGTTTCTATGATAGTATGCTTGTTTTGCTGTCAAGAAGAAGAAGTTGATAACAGTATCTCCACACTAATCCTTCATTAGATCTTATCATATCATATGCTATGTAATGTGCCATAACGTGGTGCTAAATTGAGAATTGTTTGTGCACCAACATCATTTTTGTAAACAGAAACATATTTTATTGTAAAATCATATCTACAATCACCTTAAAGGTCCTGCTTTTTCCCTGAATTTGAATTTTATATCATTTACTCAAATTCTCAGGTAGAATTCTAACTTAAGTATTCAGTGACTCTGGTGCGGATGGTTACAAGGCCAAGAATGAATGTGTACAACCAGAGATTAATGCCCCTGGTTTTACTGGTATTAATAGGTAGTTTCTTCTGGATTTTAAATTATGATACTTCAAGTCAATCGCCTTCTAATTTCAGTTTCTGGATTATGGTGTGAATCATTTGTGTGAATACATTATCGTTTAAATTCATTTTATATTGTTATTTTAGTCAAAAGCTTGTAGCATTGAGACTGGTAGATTTGTCATTTTTTTCATGGGGAAGGGAGAACACTGCTTATCCATTTCTTATGGCTGGTGGATTGTTGCTACATATGTTATTTCATTACAGCTACTATAAGCTAAGGTATATAATTTTTCAGACATACTGTTGTCATTCTTTGGCTGTGGCTCAATTTATCGAAGGTAGCATTTGATGATGAGATGTGAACTCTGAAACTTAATCAGTTTAGCATATTGCAATTTCACAAAAACCTGATGTACAACAGTGTTCTATAATCGCCATTAAACCGGTGACAGATGATGCTTCAATATTTACAATGAAAAGAGCCCATCTATATTCCATTAACTTTCAGGCAAAAGAAGAGAAAGGGGACAGTAAGTAGTTAATTACATACGTCAACAAAATTCACCTTCGCTCCGTCATCTTTTGCTGGAGCGGCGTTTTGTCTTGGCAGAACTAGTGAAGAGGTGATGCCTGTCAATTAGTTAAAAGCAAAAACAAATAAGGTAGCGGAGACAAGTTTTAACTGAATCTATCAAATCCCCTGATTCAACCTACTATTATCAGATAAGAACTTGATTATCTCCACGCACGTCATTAAAAAAAAAAGAGAGAGAGAGATAAATGTAGAACCCCAAAACTTGCACCAAGCTAACAAGAAGCTAGAATAGGCATGACCTTTCGTATTCCAATTTCTGTATAACTATCCCATTCAACAGAAGCTCTGAACTGTAAGCCGCTGCTCCTGTAAGCAGGATCGGATGCATTTTATTTTAGCAAAATTAAGAAACCTTTAAATCTACAAAAGAAAAAAAAAAATCATATTATACCTTTGTTAAGGAAAGGCAAGCAGATTGCATGATCTTCTTTGCATGTAAGAATTAACAAATTTTCTGGGATCTTCAGTGCAGATATTTGATCTTTTTCCACTACCTAAGGAGCATTTTTAAGGGTTTTGAGTAATTTCATCAAGGATTAATGCAAGAACTATAAACTACGGGAGACAGAGAGTTGTATATTGCTACCTCCAAAACTATTAGCCTAAGAATTATAAGCAAAACTACCTACCTGGCCATGAACTGCTTTGACCAAGCTAGTAATCATTTCTTTTTCAGGTTTTATGTTTGGAGTAATCAAGATTCTTCGACCCTGTTAAGAGACCATATGTTAGTGTATAACTTGGTCCAATGACATGACAATTTGATAATAACAATTTCAATGGAAGCTGCCAAGAAAAGAAGGAACATGGCTGAAGCATCGTAAAATTAGATGATCACCTTTAAAAGTGGATGCTGGCTTGCACGAGCCAGTGAAATAGGCATGCTAAAACCAATTTCCTTTTCTTTCTTGGCATCTCTCAGAATGTAATTTTTCTCATCAATTAGACAGTTTGCTTGCCCACAGCTTTCGAGCCACAAATGATTTACTACTGGTTTACCAACAGCAATAGTTTCCAACATATTCCTTGTACGAACGAATTTGTCTGCTATAAAATGTGTGGCATTCATTGAACATGACGCGATGGAAATGCCCAATCGTCCCAATATCTGTTCAAATAGAGAGAATACGTATGTGATATGTAAGCGATAATGCTACTAATTGGAAGGACAGAAGGAAAAAAGAACTACCTTTTTCTGTTGCTTGATGATATCATCATCCAGATGCTGGCTAAACAGAACTTGGACATATGCCTTATCTCGTCGGTTCCTTAAATCTTTCCACTTAGAATCAGGTTTTGGGTCAGGAATGCCTAATCTAATAAGCTCTTTCAAAAAAGATGATTTGGGAAGGTTTTTGTTAAATGGTTTCTTGTAATCCCCTTTCCGGTTTATTGCTATGAATGAGGTATACTGGTTATTAGCTCCATTTGAATGCCTTGGCCGTTTCCGAAGCGTTCTTTTCCCTTTGGGGTACATCCATGCATTCAAATTTAAATAACTAGTTAACGAAGCTACCTCTAAGCTTCTTTGATTTTGTTGAGTCGATTTGTTGTTTCTTGCTACCTCAGGTATATTACAACAGAATTTGGCATGTTTTTCTTCAGCATTCGACACTTCAGATAGCTTGGCATTTGAAAGACTCTTTCTTTTGTATGTAATCAGACTGTCCTTCATGATATCATTCATCCCTTTCCTTGAATTACTCGGCCCATCTTTAGTCTCCTCCAAATGACCACCTGTCCTCGAATGGTCAGATTGGTGAGCAATCGCTTCCCCTTGTATAAGTTGATTGCAACACAATTTAGTATGTTTTCCGCCAGTATCCAACATGTCTGATGGCTCAGTACCCAAACGACTCCTCTTTCTTTTGTATGTAAATGCAACTATACCACTATTCATAATATCATTCTTCATTTGCCCTACATTCTCTCTTCCATCTTTAGTTGCTCCTAATGTACCTTCTGTCATCCGACTCTCAGTTTGGTAAGCAACAGGCTTCCCCTGAAAACACTGTTTTCCAAGTAAAATATTTTCAAATGTCATAGAGAGACTCCCATAATTTTCAATCTCTTTACGGTCGTTTTTGTTATTACCTTTCTCTTCCTTTCTTTCCTTGGCTGGTTTTGGATTTTTTCCAGCTGAATGTTCATTTGGGTGTGTAGTGTTCATCCCATTTAACCTTCCAGCCGAGGATTGGCTCCTTTTCCTTTTTGTTGCTATTGTCAATTTATTATCCAACTCCTGATTACTTTTGTGTTTCAGAGATGAGCTGGAAGTTCCTTTTCTAACAGAGCTCTTTCTTTGCTTTGATGTTCTTGCAACGCCTTCTAAATTAGAGCAACCACCCTTTGGAAAAGGTCTTTTGGAATGAGTTTTAGTCTTTGTCACAACAGTTGAAGAATCGGTTTGCAAGTTCTGTAGACAATGATGAACATCGCCTGCACTGCTATTTGTGGAGAGACCATATGCTAAGGCTTCCATAGCTTCAGCTGCCATTTGAGTGCTAAAACCAACATCAGACATATCCGGTGCATTTCTTTCAATTCCAAAAGTATCCATCTCCTGCACCAATTGGACTTCATGCAATTGCTCATTTGGGTGCTTGGCAGAGTTGTTTTTGAAATCCATTAAGGATCCTTGCTCTATCCTGCTCATCTTCTTTGGACTGTATCCTGAGATCCTTAAATCTGAAAGGGGTGAACTTGTGACTTCCTCATTCAGGCTTATAGACTTTTCTTCACACTTGTTGCCCGTGCTGCTTCCTCCTTTACTGTCAGCATGACTAGCCTTCTGATTTTCCGACCTCTGCCTGGAGGCTCCAAGACCAAAACATGCATCCGTCCTCTTGCTGTCATCAATCCATTCAAAGGTTCCAACTTTTCCAGCTTGGTTTCTAGCTTTGATTTGTTTAGACAAACTTTGACAACCCTTTTTGCTCGAGACAGGAGAAACTTTCTTCCTGGCGGCATTTCTAGGCTGAGCTCCTGGAGATAAATCCACATTGTTAAGTGAAAGGTAGTGATTAACGAAGTTAAGTGCTTTTGCTTGAGATGACTCTCGAGGTTCCTCATCGTCTATAGGTCTATCACAGGCTAGCATCTGAGGAAGGTCTTTTCCGCATCAACAATGAATTCACAACAGAAATTTTCTCAAAATTAGTCATTTTGCCTGAGGATGATCCAAGAAATGCACATGGAAAACATAAATGCAAAACCCAAACTTTTTCAAATTAATACTTCCAATACTAACCTGTATCACCAGCAGACCCATAAGAAGCCTGACAAGACCACCCTTTTTGTGATTCTCTTCTTCTGTCTGTTTTATAAACAGACATCCCATTGGCAGCAAAACAGTTACCTTCATCTTCAGTGTCAAGGACAACTTCCTCTTCATACTCAGTTATTTCATGGGGTCTCACACCCTTGATACAGTCATCACCATTAACTACTTGGGTAACAAAATCGAGCGTCTCCAATTGGGTTGCATCAAAGTAACTATCAAGCACAACTGTATCATATAGAGGTTCAGTATCTTGGAATAATTGATGATCGCCTTCCATTGCATCCTTGCGTCCCGATCCTAAATTCCAACCACAAAATATACATTGTATCAATAGATTATTTCATTAGCTTTCTACCTCACTTGTTAACTAAATATCAAAAAATCGAAATCCCACGTACATAAAATCGACCTACCATGGATTTTTCACTTCAAATGTTTGTCTCTCACATAAAAATCCAAATAGAACACAAAAGGGATGGCATTAAGAATTTATCCAAAAAAGGGCAAATGCAGTTTTCTATTTTCCATTCAGATGAAACACAAAAAAAGAATCAATTTCCAGAGAAGGACACCAAACACTGTTAAACAATCCGATCAATAAGCATTTTTCATTGTAATCAACAGGGAAAATGCAAAAATTACCGGATGGTGACTGAGACCGAAAGTTCAAGACTTCGGCCTCAATGTTGCAATGGTCGGCCATGGAATATGAACAGAAAATAACAATTGTCTATGGCAATAGTAATAGAGAATCAAGAGAAGAGAAGAGGAGATCGCTGGTTCTGTATAAGGAAAGCTACAAATGTAGCCATTTTCTAATGGAAGTTTGGGCGGGAAATGAAAAGACGAGTGGGAAATATTTGACAATTATTTATTCGTTATTAAATATGAAATTTTATTTATGTCAATATAAATCAATGCAGGGCATTTGGTCTAGTGGTATGATTCTCGCTTAGGGTGCGAGAGGTCCCGAGTTCAATTCTCGGAATGCCCCATTCTCTTTTATAGTCTTCTAAGACATTTGGGTCTTTTCATATACTTTTTCCTTTCGTTGCATTTGTCGTTTTGTACACTCCCACTTCTTCAGTTCTGGTTTTTAGACCTCACTTGAGGTACATTTTTGTCTTTTCGGTTTCTTTTATAGTCTTCTAAGACGCTTGGGTCTTTTCATATACTTTTTCCTTTCGTTGCATTTGTCGTTTTGTACACTCCCACTTCTTCAGTTCTGGTTTTTAGACCTCACTTGAGGTACATTTTTGTCTTTTCGGTTTCTTTTATAGTCTTCTAAGACGCTTGGGTCTTTTCATATACTTTTTCCTTTCGCCGAGAATCGAACTCGGGACCTCTCGCACCCAAAGCGAGAATCATACCACTAGACCAAACGCCCGTTGTTGTTGTGTTCCATGGTAAGTGCATTCCTATAACTTTTGTTATTTTCGGACTCATAGTTTAGATTTTGAATACTACAGTCACACAAATTCCACCGGTTTAAGGAAAACCAGATTGCTATAAATTCTCAACTTGCTATTCTGTCTTACGAGTTACGGTGGGTGTTAAGTCTCTGTTATTCAATCCAATCCAGTATGAGTTCTTCGCCAAAAGTCCGAAGGTAATATCAATATTTTGATTCTCTCATTTGATTTCATGTTCTTGGTTCCCACTACAAATTACTTTGTACGCATTACCATAATATTGCAACAGTTTTAGATTTTTTGTTTCAAACACCAGATTTAATCACCGAAATTGATCGTCCTATGTTGAATCCTTCTATATAATCTACCTGCAATCTTAATTTTTCAATCCAAAATTGCAATTTTTCTTCCTCTAATCTAGTCTATAGTTGCAATATATGATTTAAAATTTTGTTTGTTATTATATCTTCTTGTTTGTATTATTATTGTTGTGATGGCAGGGCTAGCAATGTTGACAATACAACAAGACAATGGTCTGATCTTCCTCATGAGCTTTTAGCAAAAATTGCTTCTCTGTTAGGCATAATTGATCTTCTGAGTTTTCGCGGTGTCTGCAAAGACTGGAAGTCTGCTTCTAATACTGCTTCGGCTGAAATTGAATCCATATCTCGACAACCTGGGTTTCTACTCTACGGAGAAACTCATCCATGTGTTCTGCTTACTGAATCAGGCAAAAGGTACAAGATCAACATCCCTGAGTTAAACGATAATTCAAGAACCACCACCTGCATTGCCTCACAGGGCGGATGGCTGCTTATACTTACCCAAGAAAACTCTGCTGTTTACTTCTTTTGCCCTTTCTCTCGTTCGAGAATTGATCTTCCAAATTTGCCTCCTGATTTGAACTTGTCTAATTATGGTGCTTCCTTCACATCTCCCCCAACTTCCAAAGACTGCGTGGTTTCCTTCATTTGCCAGGAGAAAGACTCATTAGATTTCGAGTTGTACATTCTCAGTCGCGGAGATAAAGGATGGAAGAATTACAAGCTCGAGAATCGTAAAGGAAAATTGTTCAAAAATATTAAATTTGCAGGCTTTTTCGAAGAAGAATTCAATTTTTTCGACGACAATGATAACCTAGTCACGTTTTCCGTTAAGGATTCGCAGTGGAGAAAATATAACATAGTTCCTCATCGTGTACCTGCTGGAAATGTCTTACGATTTATGTTGATAACGAATCATTTTGAGAAGAAGGATATGAAGCAGCGATTGGGATTGGAAGGAGAAGATGTTTCCATTTCTGTTTGTGGAACTGCAGTTTATCTACCAGAAAAGGATTTCGCCATGTTTTCTGAAACAATTACTGGGTCTCCAGATTCTCAGAGCAAATGTCTCAAAGGAGTGTGGATTTATCCTCGATTCTTTTCTATTCCTATGGACCAGAGATGGTAGATATCACATAGCTATGGATAGGGTTTAGGAATCTTACTTCAATTTTGGACTTTCTTTTTTTTTTTTTTTTTCCCTTAAACGTTTCCTTAACGAATTATAGTTTATCTCTTGGTTGTGGGATAATAATTATTACATTTTTTTTTTTTTTTTTTTCCCTTAAACGATTATGTTTTTATCTTTGGTTTTGGGTAATCAATTTATGCATTTCATTAGTTATTTTGAATGTCTCCTGCTTATGATTCAGTTATTACTTCAATGTTTTGTTAATTCAACGAGTTGATTGACTTTGGTTTAATTTATTGTTAATATATTAATGTTTATATCAATAATCATATACTTTTATTTAATATTTTAACGCAACAAGTTTCACAAACTAAAATATGCACGTATAATGAGAGTTTTCATGCAATGAGCGACAAGTATTCAGGTCGAGTTCTCGAATATGAGTTTTTACTAATTTTATGCTTTAGAAGAAGGATTATCCTATTGTATTATTTTGATTTATTGATCTTTCGTATGAATTAAAAAAATAATAATAATTTAATTTTAATATTTATATTGATAATATTTTAAATTTTGATATTTATATTTAAGATTACAAATCAAAGTAAATTAACTCAAGAAACTCATATAATACTATTATTTATAAGTCGAATCAAATTTACAAATCTACTAAGATAACTTAGTGTTGGATTAAAAGTTTAATCCAAAATATATTTTAATTTTTATTAATTCAAAAAATATATCGTTAATTATTTAATTAAATATTTTGGGTCTGATAAAGAATTAGATTAAAAGTGATTAAAAATTGATTTTATTTTTTATATAAATAAATAAAGCATATTTTAATTGTCCAAAAAAGAGGTTTCCGACCTGCCGGATTCGAACCAGCGACCTAAGGATTAGCTGTGGATCTCTCCGACTACAGTCCTCCGCTCTACCAACTGAGCTAAGGTCGGCTTTAATTAAGGAGTCCACAATAATATTATTCGAGAACTAGGTAAAAATACATAACCATAATTTATCTTGACAACATTTGTTTGAATTCGTTGTAGGCTTTTTGTCTGAACAACATTGAATTAAATATTTAAGAGTTTATAATACTTTCTCGTTCTATAATAATAAATCTATGGTTATTTTCACACAAATTAAGAAATTGTAATTTTTATGATTAAAATTAAGCATTTTTCTCTCTTTACTATAATTAGAAATTTTAAAAATATTAATTTATCATTTAGAAATTCAAGACTAATGTTATTGTTGGTTGGCTAATATTCTAAAATATGTATATAAACATAAAGAAGATTAATCTGTAATGTAGTTTTCTAATATTATATTTAATATTGTTTGCTTGATAATAAGCAAATTAAACAAGGATATAATAGAAATTAATAAATATATTGTAATCTTATAAAAAAAAATTATCTATATTTTTGAAACGACGAAAAATAAAGATAAAATTATCAGAATGGGACGGAAGGAGTATAAATTTGAAGTTGGAAATATGAAAAGGTTTAATTTAAGGTTTTGTTTGGAAATAAAAGGGAAAAAAATAATAATGAGACCGGAGAGATTATTTTGCCAAATACTGTAATAATTACCCAATCATTGCTTTACTCATCCATTTTACCCCTGAAAGATGGCAATATGGCCGGCACAATACGAGAAAAGAACTCAAGAAATAGTCAATTGCAAAGGGCACATGCTCTGTCCGTCAAACAAATTTTGTAGAAAAACTTGTAATATTGACACCTTTCTCTCTCTCTCTCTCTCTGCCACTCTTGACTTGAGCCTCTGTCTCTGTGTTTCACTTCACAGTTCTTCTACTCGTTCGATGTATAGAAGCATGTTCAAAATTGGATTTTGGTAAGTACTACTAATTGCAGCTTCTTACTGTACAATAAGGAATAAATTTTGATGTTTTAATTATAACTGCAGATTCAACTTATTCTGATTTGTTAAATTTGATTATACTCCTTTTGCCTTTATTAAAGCAGTAGAAATTCATCTATTTCGAGTGCTCCTCTTCCTCAGATTTTCAGTAAGGGATTTTCTACTCAGATTGGAAGGTGTGTGTTTCAATCTTAATTATTTCTCTCTTTTTATTATTATTATCATAACCATTTTTATTTTGCTGTATTTTGGGTTTTTCGATATTATCATAACCATTAAAATCAAGTGGGGTAGGCGGCCGGCTAGTAAATTGTTAAGAAAAAAAAACATAAATCCACATTTATACACACACACTAATCGTCTTATCTGCAACTGTGACCTTGGAAAAGGTAAAAGAATAAAGGGCTATAACTGTTTTTCCTTTTTTACCCACAAAATAATGTATTCAGAAGAAATATTTCCTTTGATATGTTCTCTGAGCTATAGCTTTTTTTTTTTTTTTTTGTTCACACACTCACTGCGTATCTGCTACAACCTCGTGACTTTTGGAAAAGGTTTAAAGACAGGCTATAACTGTTTTTATCCTTTTTTACCCACAAATCATAATGTTCATTTCAGATAAGATGTCATATTTTCCTGATATTTTCTTGAGCTAATAGGCTTTTATTTTTTTTTCTTTGGATTCATTATTTTTAATTGCGTTTGTTTTTGTTGAGCTTTTTGAAGTTTTTTATAATCGTAGATGTACCAACATCTTTTATAGAGAAAAACGTAGTTACTAATTTACACGGTGCATAAACCTCTATCTGTTTGGGTAGTGGCTCTGTGTTATCTTGCAGGAAGCTTTAGAGGCAGAAAGTAGTCCACTGATAAAACGGGTAGCAGTATTGGTTATTGGATAGCTGTTGCTTACTGCAGTCTAAATCATTCAGCTAACGGGTGTTCTATATAGTTTTTGTTTCATTGTCTTTTATACTTTCAGACACCACATCCGGTTGCTCAATGAAACATGCAAAATGAACGTTGTTTCGGTCCACTGTGAAAACTTAGAATTTCTATTTGCCTCGTGATGTAACTAAAGATAAATCTGATTTATCTATCCACTGCTGTTTTTGCTCTTCGTCTAAGTTCAATCAACTTTCGATCATGTGAACAACAATCCAGGGAGAGCCTGCCAGGATCCTTCCAATAGTTATATCTTGATCCTTGCTAGTGTTTTTTTAAACACCATTGTGTAATGTCAATGTGCGAGAGTAATGGCTGGAATTCACAAATCATGCTTCTTTCGTGTGATGATCCTATCGAAGATAGCTGCGTCCCTGCTTTGCACGGTCCAGTGTTACAGGAATCATGTGTGTTTGGGCTATCCATCAGCACCATCATATGTTCTGGGCCCAAGGCTTCTTATATATGGCATTGTTTAAATCTGTTTTAGCAGTTTGATTGCAAGTATGGGATTTTATTTTGTGGGAGTCACATTTTGTGCATATCTGCCTTATTTCATTTTCAAGAATCTCCTGTTGTTGGGAAGATTGAGTTCGCTCTTCCTTGCTGTTTTTGATGGCTGATAAGTACTTGTGTGGACAAGTCAGTTACAGAGTTTGTTGGATACATTCGTTGATTGGGGAAAGTGTGAGCCAAGGGACGAAAGTGCTTGCATTGTTTTTGTGTGTGTGTCGGTGATGATGCCAAGGTGTTAAGTTGTGCATATATTATTGGCGTTGGGAGTATTGGAGTGGTTGTGACATCAGTTTCAAGAGGTTCTTGGGTGTTTCTTCTTTTATTCCCTGCGGACGAAATCAGGTATAGTTTGTACACTACCTATAACTTGTTTTTATTGAGATTTGCAAGACTTGAATATTGTTTGAGGTATTGCACCAATGCAATTTTCATTTTTTCTTTCGTTTTTTTAATCGTTGCATCGTGTAGTGGAATTTTTCTATCTTGTCTTCTTCTGCTCTCTAGAATTTTATACTTGACTTGGCTATTTTTATCAATTTGTAGCATGATTAGCTGCATTGCTTCTTTCTTGATTTGTCATATTCAGAATGAAGACTAGAAAGCGAGATTTTCTGCTTATTGTCGTGAATTTCTCCTAAAACCGTATACATGCATTTCTTCTTGAGATACTTATATTTCTGTAAAATTTAGGAATTTTTGGCGCGTAGTACTACTGACCTTCTAGCACAGTAAACCTGAGAGACTGTAGTGACGATTTTTATAACATCATTTATTAAGGATTGATTTTGTGTTGATTACAGTATTAGCTATTACGTGCTTTGCTCCTTCTCAATAATATTTATGCTCAATCATTTGAATACAGAATGTTGATTATTGTGAAAACGCAAATGGTGTGTGACGTGTGAGAGAGGTGGGAAGCGGCGCTGTGGCAGTTTATTTCTCTCAATGCTGGTTGGAAAAGTTGTTGGAGAAAGTTGTTGAAGGGTGCTTTCCCAAAACCAGTGTGGCGCAGCAAAGCCGCAGGTTTGCGGAAAAGGGCGGCAGGGAAAAAGATGATTAGTTAGTGGTACAGGTATGGGTAGTGGGTCTGCAGAGGTTAAGCAAGAGGGTTAGTAAGGAATGAAATTATGCCACCACTCGAAGAGGCGGAATTGATGGGCTGGAATCCTTGACTGGTTTTAACAGTACTGACATATTAGCCGCTGTACTTGCAATTGCTGTCACCTAAGCTCCGGACTACGTTTGTACAGTTTCATAGCCTCAAGAGTGGTGAGTGTAGAGGTGTATAAGTACTTAGGAGAAGATGTATAATACCCGACATGACAAGAGGTGAATGTACGCGCAAAGATAGCAGAAGAGTGCTGGAGTAGAGCAAGTGATCTCTTTAAATAGAGAGCACAGTGTTATGAAAATCAGAATCAAGAGTTTGTAAGTGGTGTGAACATAAATTTCCTAGTGAGTATTATCCATGGAGCAGAGGTATGAATGTAAGAAGTAATAGCAATGGAAAGGAAACTTAGAGGAAGTACAGAAGAGGAGGGTGTCTAGTGGCAGTCGGGAGTGGTCCAGGCAAGAAGTACTAAGGGATACGAAAGGTGGCAAGGGAAGAGTGCCATCGACGGTTTACGGGTCGTATCACACTTATGAGGAGTCTGATCGAATAAACTGTTTACCAAATTGTTGGTTCGTGGTTGTAGTACATAAGCCTATTCCTTGATGATGAC